ATTATAAAAGTCCGAACCTATTCTTCATCATTACAATTTGCACACATGTCCTCACTAAATGTGTAATTATAACCAATCTGAATTTGCAGGTAAGATTAAGTCTGAATGTTTTTTAGATATTTTTACTAGTAATGTTGATATTTTGTCTTTGTTGAATGTTTTTCGAATATTTTTCAGTATCAAAAATGAACTCAATCTGTAAAATCAAAATTTGACGTAGACATCCAGAAATGCAGATATTCAACATAATAGTCATTTTGTAACAAGCGAAGCTCTCGAATCGTTACTTATATATTTCTTGTTTTATTGGTGCAGTAGAACCACCAGTTACAAGATAAAACAAAGTGAAATTATTCAAAGATCTAAACCTGAATTTCATGGAAGAAAATGAAAGTCATGGATTTTATCAAATCGATCAAGACGAAAACGTCCAACGTCAAAAGACAATAATGACTCGAAAGAAATTCGTAGTTTTTATTAGATTTTTGAGAATTCAAATACGAATAAAAGAAACCTAGGTCCTGAAGAGATTCACATTAAACTAATCGGAGTATTCTGAAGCGCATCACGATTTATTCGAATGCACAAAGATGTCATCCGAGTTAGTCCAATTCATTGAAATTTATTACAATCTATTAAAATCCATAAAAGTTCATTACAATCTTAACTCAAAGAAGATGCGCATTCTCTTGGGTTTTCATAGTTACTGAAATCACTAGCATCCAGTGGAATTCGAAATAAATTTATCAATAAAAAATAGAATCGAATCCTATGATTTCCAATCATAACAAACTTTGATGAATTCTAGTGAATCTTGATTACTTTCGATAAACTTTGATTAATCTATTCTAGAATTTATGAAGAGATGGAGAAATTTGTCAAAATGGACAGAAGTATATCATACTGCCAAGATCATAAGTCCGCTTTCTTCTTTCGTACTTGAATTTTTGGGATCCAATCGATTCACCCTCCGTTTGATTAGTTTTCATGAGTTTTTACAGCAAGAGTTTAATTATTCAGATTTTTTTCTCGATATTTATTTTATTTTGATTGAACGCTTGTATTTCTTTTCACTTTAGTATAATAGATACTGAACTAGTATTCAGTTTATCATCGGAAAAATCTTTTGTTATTGGATGAACAAGTTGATCGAAACAGATTTACCGATGATTATTTTGAAGTGTGTTATGAAAATATACAAACAAACCGTTATTTTCAATATTTCTCGCTGCAGTGTTCGATATTGATCCATATGCATTGAGTATCAACGTTTGTCATCAATTAGATTATTGAAATTTGATATCTTTTTTTCCTTAGATGTCAGAACACGGAACTAACTGAACATCCGTAAAACAATAATATATTGTTCTTCGTGATATTCAAACAATATGTCATTTCCATACGACAGAGACACATTATCATTCTAATTGCTTAATATCCTCGTGCGATTGCGACGTGCAAGATAGAACAAATCTAAATTATATTCGGAGTTATTCTCAGAGGAAAATGTGTAATCAAAATGATCATAAGACTAAGTTTGTTGACAATTTTTCATCTGCCACAAGTCAAAGATGTTGAACTATATCAATTGATTTTCTTTCTCTTTTTTACGTTGTGTCGGGGTTGACATTATGAATCAGTTATTAAAACAGATGATAGTAATAAATATAGACTTCTTCTATCAGTTTTTGTCTTTGCCATTTAGAGATCAGCGTGATGGTTGTGACTCACGTTCACGGTCTTGGCCATGGTCAAAGGTTGATTAAGAAAAGCTTTTAATTTAGCTATATGAAAACTATTTTTAACTTACAAACACTAGTTCTTAACTTCATATCTTCTGTTATTTATCATAATTTATATTAAGATCCATCTTATACTTTTCTGATAAAGTTTTATTGTAATTAAATAAGATTTCTTAACAGTGAAAGTTTGAATAGAATACGACTAACAATGAGAACACATTGGAAGAAATAACGGTCTCAACGGATCTACTATCAAGAATAACAAATCACAACTATGGATAGTCGTCTTGTAACAGATCACACTAATAAAAATCAATAGAATTTTCATGCCTTACAGTCACGATCGTGATCGTATCCAAACATTAGTGGTCACGCTGATCTTCACTCTCACTGTATATGCTCTTTTCTCATCTATGTCTATGAGCATTATCAATGATTGATTATGTATTAAAAAAAGCATAATCTTTTGCACTTGATTGCAAAGATAAGTATTTCTGATTCATAGCTCATTCATATGGACTAATGCTCATACGAACGCCGTCAAATGACAAGTTAATAATAGGGATGCAACGATGACAATAATCGGTCAGTCGGTAAGCGGTCCACCGACGAGTACGGGTCATCGATAAATGGTAATCATTCATGCGCATCCATATGCACCGATAGTCACGTGTTTATCGGTGAACATCGGTAAGTATGCCTGTATACTATACACTATATTATACACCGATGTTCGCGGATATATATGCGTGTACTGGTTAATATCGGTCTATATTGATGCACATTGATGCATAGTATACAAGGATACTCACCGATATGCATCGTTATTCATCAGTATACACGTGAATGTACACTGCTGCACATGAGTGAGTACCCTTGTATACTATGCATCGACATTCATCGATTTCATACCAACTCATAGTGGTTGTCAGTTCGGATCGGTGAGGGTACATGATCATCACTGTTGCATCCCTAGCTAACACAATCCCATCGGTTGCTTGTTAACTTCGTTTTTCTATTTATTCAAAAGCAAGTAAATAGGATTATTTGAATAGTTAATTTATGGTCGATCAGTACAAAAAAAATTAGTTAAATATTTCTCAATCGTGTTTCTTTTTGTCAAACGGTAAGAATATGAGAAAGAAAATAATTTCCTTACAATTACTTATCTAATTAGATGCAATTTGGTTTTCAGAAGTGTGATATAGAAAATTTTGAAAGAATATTCTTGACCAAAATCTTTGTAATAAAATTGATGTGAAGATCGAAGTATATTTGATTTCCAAAGCAGTAAATTATGGCTTATTAGTTAACATTATGCAAAAATAAGAGATACTAGTTTGTTTGGTCGTTAGTGATAATACTAAAACGAATAGAATCATCTCATTTGACTGCAAGTGAATGAGTGTCTATTTTTTTCTTCTTTATCCATGGTGTTGTATCATCCAGTTTTAACCTTAACATACAAAATATAAAAGCACAACTACAAACATATTTCGACATTATCATAGATAAAGTTCTTATTATAAAAAAAAAGGTCATTTCAACTTTTCGCAATAGATTATTGTACATGTATTTTGTATTAGTTACATACATGTGATGTGGACTTTACCACAATGCAAGACTATATTTGTCTCTACGCTTGTCGTTTTATTTGTCGTTGGTTCATGGCTTAATCTATCTGGTGTATGGATTGAATTTCCACTAATTGTCGATCAATTACCTGAAGGATGGGGTTTACCAGCTATAATGGGTCTTGTTGCCAATCTGGCCAATATTGGTGTAGTGATTATTGCTGTTGTTCGACGACTTTCTCGTGGTGGTGTTACTTATGAAATTCCTGCAAATTTATTTATATTAACAACAGGTACTGTTGTTTTGGTTATTCTTGCTTTTGTATGGCAAAAAACAACCATAATTAATAACACTCCACACTCAAGTTATTTAATGGGATTTTCGTTAACATTATCACTTGTTGATTGTACATCAAGTGTAACATTTTTACCATTTCTTGATCGTTATGAACCAATTTATATTAATGCTTATTTTCTTGGCGAAGCACTTTCTAGTTTATTTCCAGCTTTATTAGGCATAGCACAAGGTGTAGGTCAAACATCGTGTATAAAAAATGAAAATGGAACATTAATTGAATACAATTCTCCACCACGATTTTCTGTTAAAACATATTTTTTAGCATTATCAGTGATAATGTTAGCGTCACTTCTTTCATTTATTACTCTTTGTCTGACACGAATGGGTCGAAAACAAGATACGAAATCAAAGGATTCTTTGAATCTAAAGTTTGCATTGATATTTTTTCTTTATCATTTGAAAATTATTTCATTTTTAGAGATGCTAGACCAGTTGTTGAATTGAGTACAGTCGAAAAGACTAATATTGATTTAGATATTATTGAATACAAGGACGCAATGGAAACTGAATGTCAAATGACCACAGAGGAATTTTGGCTTTCAGAGCATGGAATATATTTATTTCTCTGTTTTTGGACAAGTATTCTTATTATTGGTAAAATCAATCGAAAATTTCTTGTGTCATTTTCTAATTCGAATTCTTTTATTTAGGTGCTACTCCAAGTATACAAAGTATATTTGATTTTTTTAAATTTCAATATTTATTCTTTTATTATGAAAAACTTTATTTATAGGCTTTTCTCTTTATCCTTATTCAATCGAAGTTTATCATCATACAATAATAGCTTGCCAATTTGCATATCCTCTCATGTCATTTCTTGGTGTATTAGTTCCGAATTTACGTCCTCGGTACATATATATTCTTACTGTTATTGGCACTGGCCTTTTTGCATATACATTTATTGCTGCTAAACTTTCACCTTGTTCACCATTAGTTGATCAATTTATTGGTCGACTTTTGATCTCTATTATTTGGGTATTGAAATATTGTGTATTATATTTTATTCGTGTTTTACTTGGTAATTATTTTCGGCGTAAATCTGGTCATCGTGGTTTATTTTGGTTTGGTGTATTAACACAAATAGGTTCATTAATCGGTGCAGTCGTTATTTATTTATTTACAGACCATTTACATCTGTTTCATGAACGTAAAATATGTGTTTCATATGCATGTTAAATTAAAAATAAAAGAATTTTTACTTGATAGAGAGACATCTATCGCTGGTCTTGAAAAAGAAATTTTATTGAAAAGAGGTTATTGTCTAAGAAACTATTATAATTATGTCTGAATAGTATGAAAAAAAAATAGTTCGTTTAATTTGTAGTGATGGTGTCTGCAGAAAATAGTTCTCTTGAATATTTACGTAGTTTAGGTAATTGATTTGAAAATATTTTATCTGATTGAAAAGTTTATGTATTCATAGTTAACTATGATTTAAACTCAATTTTATATGATGACACATTAATTTGTTCATTAACAAATAATACAGATGTTGGATCACTTGAAGTTAAATTAACAAAAACAAATTATGGTAATCTTCATGATTGTATTCAAGTTATTGCTAATAGGTTTATTGAAAACTATTCAAATAAATAATAAAATCATGCCTTTTTTCGATTTTAGTCAAGCAACTATTGATGATGTTCCTTGTGGAACAACAGTACGAGCAGTTGTGACGAAAGAACTTGTTACTGTACAACAAGAGCATACAGAATATGTCAAAGTATGTCAATCAAAATAAAGAACTACGACAAAAGATATTTATGCTTTAATTTAGTTGCCAAGTCCTATTACACGAATCGTTGATTTTATTTCAGAGTCAACAGATTATGTTATTACAATAACTAATGAAGAAGGAAAAGTTCGTTAAAAACAATCTGTTAGACGATTCAATCTATATTTAAATATTTTTCTTTTAGAAAAAAACAACAGAAACAAAACGTATTCCAAAAAATCAAGCGCATGGACTTATTTTAGAAGGTAAAAAAATATTAATTTTTTTTACTTGGCTTCATATGATTATGTATTATACACTAGGCGCTAATCTTATACTTCAACGTTTAATGATTCAACGTAATATGCCAGAAAAAGTCACATTACTTTCACTTGATTCATCATCTGAATTAAGTCGTAATGTTTATGTAAATAAAAATTTCTTTCCTATGAAAATAATTATTTTTTTTTTTCAATAGACATCACTCGGTCCACAACAAGTTAATATCAATGGAAAAGATGTTGAAGCATGGGGTATACAAAGACAAATATTTGAAACAAAACCAAATGCATTACCAGTTGCATGGCAAAGTTATTTTAGTACTGATGGGTAAAAATTTTCTATTTCTAATAGTATTGATTATTTCCATACGTAAATAGACATCTCATCTCTCGATATCAAGTTGGTTCACCGATTAAAATGAAAACAAGAACATTACCGACAGCAGAAGAATTCGGTAAAACTTATCAAAACAGTTTCATTTTTTTTTATTAATTTTTCTCTTTCAATTTTTTTTTTGTTTCAATAGATGAATATTTACCTAAACCAGAAATTCCTAAAAAACAAATTAAATGGGAAGATGATTTAGAACTACGGTCGAGATTTATCGATCGACGTGTAAGTAAAAAAATTCACCTTTAACCATCACTTGGAGGTCAATGCTTCCTAGAGCCTTGTATTCGATTCCGAAATCCAACTCCATCGAAGTTGAAGTTAGGTTGATAAAACTGCCAAGTATTTTAACTCTTACATAGCAACAGGATTATTTTTCATATGTTAAGCAATCAACAAAAATACACTGCTTAATAGACTCATAATTAAGTTTTAAAAAATATCAAAGAGACATTCTCATGAAGAAGTATTACTACTACTAGTCAAAAAAGTTTTTGGAATATCGAAAAGTCAAAAAATTTGACTCCGTAGATGTATATTGCTTTCCCTTCTTGAAATAAATACTTTCTCTCATATTCTTCAGTGAAATTTCTTAGCTAAATATCTTACTCATCAGTTTGAATATTAAATACAGATAGAATATATTTTATTTTTTAGGAAGAATTAATCGATGATTACAAGTCTTATATTTATCATCATCCGGATATAAATGCACTTTTATCCGATTTTCTTCAATCAGTTTTAGTTATGAAACCTGAAAATATAATCGAATATGCAACCGAATTTTTCGCTCCGTTTAATAATCAAACAGCTGATCGTTCGTTATTTCGTTTTGCTGATGAAAAAATTCCTGTGCCAAAATCAAATATATCTTTAAAATAAAAATTTCTTGCTTTTGGTTTTTTTTATTCGACTTTATGCGAAAGAAAAGAAAGACACATCGAAAATAGACAACATCAATAAGAAAGAAACAAAAAAAAAAAAAAAGAAGAAAACAAACATTGCGCGTACATTCACGCACCTTTATTTTTAATATATGTATACAAACAGGTTAAACTTTCGTTTGGAATTCTTGTTTATATGCTTTAGGAGCAGTAAGAATCAAGGTGATACTGTTTGTTGCATGAGAGAGAGAGAGAGAGAAAAACAAAGAAAAGCATGTACAAAATACACGATTTGTTTCTTATGTACATATATACGCAGACAGATACGAAACGAAAACGAAACAAAAACAAACGGCTACTGTTCTAATTACAAAAAAAAACAAGTTTTTTCTTAATTTGCTGTATGGAATAGAAATAACGACTAGCAAATACACACAAATGATTCTCAATAAAGAACAAAAACAAACAGAATTTGTTCGACATACAAAATCACAACACGGAAGCACCCGCTGCTGACTAGAAGAAAACATACCGATAAACAAAAAGATAACAATTCGATAAAAATGTTATATTTCGCTTGATATTTTTTTTTCATTTTATTTCATCCGAAGAGAAGATTATTGGATAATTGTCAATAATTGCTTGAATTAATGGTTTCGCTTTTTGACATGTTTGTTCAGCTGTACGTAAATCACGAAATTGTGGTTGAAATAAATTTGGCCACCATAGAACAGCTAAATTTGATGAATCCATATGAGTCAAAGCAGCATGTTGTGAAACACTGAAGAAAAAAAAATTATTTTTTGAATTACCAAATATTATCCAACATAGTGAAAATTCGAAATTTGAACAATTTTCTTTCTCCACAATTTATATATGTTTAGATACAGCTCATTAGTAAAAATGTTTCGCTTCTTTATGTACACAAAAAGCATTCAATAATACTGAGAAGATCATCCTATTGTATAGAAAAGTCGCTTTATTTTAGGAAGCAAGGATTGACTTTTATTTTGGTGCCAGTGTTGTATCCGAATTTTCTTTTTCGAGAAGATGATTTAAAACTCCGAAAGGGCTTATTCAACCTTCGGAGGTACGCCACTAGAGTCTGTCAGATCTGGGTTCGAAACTTTATACCTGATGAGCTCTATCGTACATGTTTCTCACACGAGTCGTCCGAGAAATGTGTAGGATGCACTAATCATTGAATAGAACAAAAAACAAGAAACAGTATCTCGTATTTTCGCCGCAGTTATCAGATTCCAATTGAAAAATTTCATTGAGAGTATCAAAGTACGGTTCGACCGGGTTCGGATCCAAAAGTTTTAGACCCGATAGGCTCCAGGTACCATCTACTTGATCCCCACACTGGATAAAACACTGTTTAGTTCTATCACTTGTAAACGTATTTTGTATTATCGTTATGAAAAATTTACTACAAAAAAAGTAATCTTCGTCTCGTTAGAATACAACTTAACTAATTGTTTTTTCTCTACATTTGAAAGCTCATTCATCCTTGTTACTATTGCAACTTGTAAGACTATCTTAGCTTTTTTGATAAGATATGACATCAAGTAAATATGTTATTCGAACAAACATCAAAGAAGTTACGGGCTTATGAACCGATTTTTTGAAAGATTTTGTCTACTTGAAGAAAACTGAAGATTTATATAAAATGGCTAGACGACATTTTTGGTTCTTAAACTGGGCTGTTTACGATGGGAATGTCTTGCTCCGATAAAAATAAATATCATATCCGTGATCAACGCAGAAGAAAATTGATTTAGATTACATATCTTGCGGGACCATTGATTTTTCTGAGAAAATTCCCTTGTGGTCTCCGACAGGAAGAAAAAGAGCTAAGGGGGACTATAGATAAATTTTGCAATGAATATTATGTGCACTAGAAAATATGTCATCTAAATCAAATTTTTCGGCTGATTACGGATATGATATTTATTTTTATCGGAAAAAAACTTTTCCATCGTAAACAGCGCATTTTGAGAACCAAACATGTCATTCTGCCATTTTATTATATAATTCTTTAGTTTTCTCCAAGTAAACAAAATCTTTTGAAAAAACCAATTAATACATCTGTAACTCTTTTGATTCTTGTTCGAATGGCATATTGAATTTATTTCGTATATTGTCAAAAAAAGCTGAGATAGGCTTTCAAATTACAATACCAATGTGGTTGAATAATCCTTCACATACAGAGAAAATACAATCAATCAAATTTAGATTTAGTGACAAGGGGAATGTCATTATATGTAAAGAAAAAAAATGCACCAGAGCTCAATAAAAATGTTCTCGATACCTTCATATTATTCTCAAAGACTTTCTAGTATAGTGTTTGTGTAATTACTTTATATATTTCTTTTCGCCCTTTACTTTGTCTTTTGTTTCTCTTTCTTTTATTATTAATTAGATGTTGTATCTTCTATGTCTCTTTAGGACCGAAACACTTAGAGAGCTGAAAAAGCAATTGTTATATATATATATATAACAATCAGTCAAGTTATATTCCAACAAGACGAAGATTACTTTTTAATAGCTAATTATTCGCAACAATTACAACAACATACGTATACAATTGTTAGAACCAAGCAATATTGTATCCAACGTGGGGGCCAAGAGGACAACACCCTTCTAAAGGTCGAGATGGTCCTCTCGGACTTTGTACTTCTTGTACTATGCATCACTACTCTCAAAAATAGTTATTCCCCTTTTTGAAAGAGAAAATTTGAAGAAAACACTGGAATCAGGTAAAAGAAAAGACAGTTCTTATTTCTTGAAATACAGTGATTTTCCTATACAATAGGATAATCTCAGTATTTTGAATTCTTCTTTTTGCATTTAAAGGAGAGATTTTAATTCTTTTAAAATACAAAGCCTAATGAGCTCTATCTAATCACAAGTAAATCATTCAGAGAAAAAAACTTTGCTTAAATTTAAAATTTTTTGTCGTATTATTTAACTTACAAATGAAGGTGTTTAAAAATAAACTTGATTGTTCGATATTTAAGTTCACTTGTACGAGACAAAGCTTTTCGCAATGAGACAAAATTTTGTTCACGTAATTGATCAACTAAAAACAAGAAAAACGACAAATTATTTTTTTTTTCATTTTATAAACAAATATTTTCTTTTTTACTTGTTAAATGTTTACATTCATCAAATAATTCTAATGATAAAAGTGGTTGATCAAGTTTTCTCATCATATCTTTTAATGCCGTCGCTACTGCACTTGCTGGAACGTGTAATAAACGAAGATCATACGATGGATCTATATTTAAAAAATTTTGAAAATTTATATTTTTTCTAATCTATTGAAATAATTATTTTAACCTTCAGTAAGTTTATTAATAACTAATTCAACTTGATTTTTAAATCCAGATACTCGATAAAGTCCTTCAACAGCTAATCCATATTCTTCAATAAATTGAATACATTTTTCCATAAATAACGGTACACCTGATTGCTTTGATAGAATACAACGACTTAATGATAAACGTAGTGGAGAATGATGAGAATTTTCAACAGATGATAGTGGAGATGAAATTGTATTTGAATTTGGAGGAGTTGAAGTCATTGTTGCTTTAAATGATGGCAATGGTGGTGAAGAAATAGACGTGACTGTTGCAGCAGGAGAACGAGTTTTTAAATCATTTTTCTGGAAAAAAAATAAAATGATTATGTGGAAAAAATTAATAAACATAGAAAAACATACATCACGTCGAGCTTGAGCAAAATATTGTAATTGACGACGAATCCAATTAGCTGTGGGTCGTTCTTCAAGTTCTTCAATGGATGTATTCTTTAAATAAAAGACATTTTTTTAATTTTTTTACTCAGCTTCATTTTAAGAAATTTACTTTGCTATCTTTTGTATAATCACCGACACTTGAGTCATCTTCATTTGATATAACAACATTTGATAATGATGATGGATCGGGAGCAATAATAACTTTATTCGTATCTTTTTGTTCTATACAAAAAACAGTAAAAAATTTATCATTTCAATAAAAACAAAACACGAATTCAAAATAAAACCTTTGAAAATATTGAGATAGATACATGCTTCTATCATTGCTTTGGAATTTATCTTTTACTTTTCTTTAAGGAGCTATAAATGAACTGTTTGCTCTCTTCGAATTGTTTTGTTTTATTCTTGATTTCTATCCCCAAGGATTTTACTTTTTTGTCCTTAAAAGATAGTACTATATAACTTTTGTTCTAACAACTTCCGTTGTAATTCTCTGAGGAAAATTTGCAATAGATATGAATCGATAAAAACACAGGTAATAAAAACAAAAGTCTTCATACCCATTCGAGAATCAATGCCTGAGTCAGTTTGTGCTTGATCATAAATAGCTTTTTTTCGTTTTTTAAAACTTGGTCGACGTTTCTTTTTTTGATGTGATTGTTGTTGAGGACGTTTATCATCATCAACTAATATTTCATCATCAGAACCATCTTAAAATGAAATAATAAGTTTTAAGAAATGAAACTTTTTGTTTTTTGTTTGTTTATTACTTTTTTTCAAAACTTCAGTACTCGATGTTAAACCTGTAACATCATTTTGTTTAGCACGTACACGTTTTGATTTTCTATCTGATACTTTTCGTTGTAAAGTAACAGTGTTTAGTGGTTGATTACTTGTTGATGAATTTATATTATGTAATGTTGTGGATGATTCACGTTGATTTTGTAAATGTTCATCACTTGAACTGTCAACAGATGAATCAGTTGCTAGAAAAATGAAAAAAAAATCAAATATTTTAATTTTAGAAAAATTAAATTAAATTTAAAAAAAGAAACCTCTTGTTTGTTTTGATGAATCTGTAATCGATTCATCTATTGTACTACTATGATTTTGATTTTGTTGATGGATTGTAGGCGGTGATGATGATGAAGAATTGACGACCGGTATTTCATCAGTATGATTATTTGTGAAAACTAATGATGTATCAGAATATTGTTTAATAGAAAAAGGTGTTGCTATTGATTCATTGAATTCAATTATTTCAGGTGTAGCCAATGGCACTTTAACTTGTGGAGCAGTGCGATGTTTATATAAATGAAATTTCATGTCTTCTGATGATGATAATCCTGACGAGATTTCGTTTATTCGCCTATGTTTTGTTAATGACTATAGATAAAGAGAAAAAAAAATTTATCACTCATAGAAGATATTCTCTTATTTTGTTTTTTTTTGTACATACACTTTCTTTATTTGCATTACTGGGTGATGATTGGTAACTGGTACCATCGGCTAAAAGAAATATAAAAAAAGGTACTTATTAATATTAGATTTCGATGAATATACAACAGAATAGACTTGATGGAAGCAACAGCAGTGCTAGCAATAGCCACTTGTCAACAGTCAAAAAAAAAACGAGAGGGGGTAGTTACTTTTCTCGTCGTCTATTTCTTTTTTTTTTTTTGATGGTAAAAGCGTTTGTATTTGCTATCGGTGGTAGAAGTTGCTTTTCTTTTCTCTTCTTTTTGGGTTTATACAAGCGTTAGGAATAGCATCGTATAGATAAGTATTTAAAAAAACAAAGGAGAAGAATAGATTCGGACAAGAGATGACGGATATTAATTAGCAATTGTAAAAGAAAAAGTATCCCTCGCCTTTTTGTAAATAGCACATAAATTCATTGATAAGTGTAATAGAGTCTTTATTAGTATTTTGTTGATCAGTAGTAGACAGTTAATAATAAACTTTCAATTCTTATCAATGTCAATCGATTTCTGACAATAATACCAAAGCCATATTATGTTCTTTATGTACTTATGCGGTTATAATACTCTTAAAATTCACAAGTGTGATTTTCCGGAGTCTACGTTCAATATTTCAAAAATATTTCTAGGATTCCAACAATAGAGTATTTTTTTATCTTTGCGGAAATCTGGATCAATATACATATACATAGATTGACAAGACAAAAAAAACAACAGAACGATTAAATAAATAAATAAAAGCACAAGCACAATGATTTAAATCTACTTTACCGTTAAATGTTAAATAGTTAACTAGAATAAATAAAATTAAAAGAAATATGTTCTTCTAATATTTTATTCTAATAGTTTTTTATTTTTATTTTTGATTTACTACAAACTACGAACTATGATTAATTAGTAGAAAAAAACTTACTTGGATGCTCCATAAGTTTAGCAAAACGCATACTAGTTGATTTTTTAAATTGTTGACGTTGAATATCAGATATAGATGATGTTGATATTGATGATGGAGATATTAAACCAAGATTTGTTACAGATGGATCAACAGGTGTTGTTGGAACTATTGTTGATTCAGCACCATTATTTGGTAACGATAAATATGGGTAAGATCGATAAGAAAATACTAGAGATAAGCAAATATTAAAAATTATATTCTCGTTTTCTTTTATAGTCGAATATGTTTTTTTTACTTTGCTCATGATTTGTTGGTGTTAACATTGAGGATTGATGTTGTGGTGAATGTTCGTTAGATTTACTTGATAATAATAATGAACCTACTCGATCATTTATACTATTCGTTAATAATTGTTTACGCGTACGTTCAAGACTAGATGTCATTAGATCGCTAGCTGATGAATGAGTTGCACGACTAAAATTCAATAAAACACGTTTTTCTTCTAAAAAAAAGCCACATATTTAAATTACTCAAAATACGACGTAACACCAGCAAGAAGTTTTTCCTTTTGATGATAATCATTATCAGTTATATTTCCATGTTTACCAGTCCAACAATGATTAAGAAAAGGTAAAAGATGAGCTAAATAAAATGAAATATGATTTGAAAAAGCTATTAGTATGATTGCTGTAGGATTAAAATGTAAAACACGATATAACTATTCTTACTAATCACAGAGAGATTGTTTTATTCTATCTATTCTGAGACACATTTCTTCATCATCCTTAACTTAATGCTCTAAAATTGAGATAAAGAAGTACTTCATGTATTGCAATCAGACGTTATTGATATACGATTTTTGATTATACGCCAACAACGTCTGTGACAGAAAGGAACACTTTCCTAAGGCCTCTGTCACAGTTAAAGCCCGTCGGATCGAAAAATTTCGTACTTGGTCGAATCGAGCTTGGACATTTTCAATGAAATTTTCTAATCAGAACCGGATAGTCGTCTCAATGATAAGAGATACTTTTTTTTAGATTTTTTTTTGTATTTGATAGCTAATTCACCTTACACATCTCTCAGACGATTCGTCTGATAAATGTGTAAAGTAGAGCCGATCGATTCCAAAGTTTCCAGACTCGGCTAGGAACCAATTCGATGGACTCTAGTCACAGTCTGTGACGATCTCTGACTATCATTTATTACAGTCTCCTATGATCTCTGATTATCGTCTGTCATCATCTGTGGGAGGTAGAGATATGTAGGATAAGCTTTTTTTGTATGATGTCTCATGACTCAAAAAAATTTTGTAACCTTTACCCTACTCTGCCCTACAACATGCTTACCCTTACCTTATCTTACCCTGTAGGATATGGTAGGTTAATCCTGCACATTAAATGTAGTCCTGAGTGCGTGTAAATTTCTACTGTGAATAGTTTAACGCTCCTTTGAGATGATATTTTACAAAAGTAGGAAGAATAACAAAACAAAATTTTTACATTCAACAAAACTTCTTATTGTTCCATGATGAGATTGAACACTAGGATGGGTCTGAGGATATTTTTTAATATTCAACAAAGCTAAATCTTTAATACAAGATAAAATGTATATAGGCGGACGTGTTATTTTTGTTCCATCCATTTCTTCATTATCATCAGCTTTTTTTAATAAATCATTTTGTAATGTTGTTGAAATATGTTTTTCCAAGTATCTAATTAATCAATAAAATGTTTTTTTTTTAATTTAAACTAAAAACAAAAACTCATACGTTATTGTATTCATAGCTGCTTTTCTATCTTGATCATAGAATAAAATAAATCCATCAAAATCAATTAGTTTAATAGTAAATAGTGAATGAAATGAAACAGGAATAAATTGAATCTTTTATAATAACAAAAACAAAAGAAAATTTAAAAAGAAAATTTATTTAATTTATTCAAATTACTTTTCGATTTGATCGTCCAAGAAAAGCATTAATAATAAATGATAATTCTCCATATTGATTAGTTACCATAAGAGAAAAACGTGATGATAATTGAGAAAAAAACTTTTCTACATCATTATTTTCTCCACCACACATAAAACAAATTAAAATTCGAAGATCAAATTGATTTTTATTTGAAACTATTTTTTCATTCGATAAAAGTTGTTCAAGTGATGATCTAAGTTGTTCGATCGTTATCTCATTTGGAATGTTATTAGTGGAACTATTTAGATATCTAATTTGAACAAACAAAAAATCGTTACAAATAATCAAACTTACTCATTAGGAATTGGAAAATTTAAATTCACAATTGGAATAGCTAGAAATTTTATTTGTTATTTAGAATTCAATTCAATTGTTTTTTTTTCAAATACTTACTATTAATACTAAGAGGGAATCGTTTTTGAGAAATAAATTCCTCAAGAATCTCTCGACCTGCTGGTGAAACAATAAGACAACCTAAATAAAGTATTATTAAAATAAATTTTCTAAGAATAAATTAAAATCGAACCATTAATTGATTGTGTTTTAATATTATTCAATGTCCATAAATTAATTTGTAATTCATTGATCAATGATTTATCATTCTACAGAAAGAAAGAAAAATGATTTAATTTTAAGCATATATGAAAATTTTTGAAAATTTCATATCAAATTCATTCCCAGAAACTCATTAGCATCTCATAGATCATATCTATGACACCAAAAGAAAAAGAACTATTCCGATAAGTTAAACAATGCAGAGGACAAGAATCCATAGATAGATATTTGGTTTCGTACATCTTCAAGTCATACATGACATGATGATCACTAATTGATCAACGCCAATTGAACTGTTGTCTAGACGTACATTTAATGATCCTTAGAAGATTTTGAAAGTTTCGACTAGAAGAAATGCTCGCTTCTCAAGATATTGAATTTTTATATACTGCTCATACTTCATATGAAGGTGAGGAATGGCGAATCCTTCTAGAAATTTAATACTTTTAGGAGAAGGTATTTATTGTGGTTGAAAGTTTCAAAATTTTGTAAAGACTATTAGTTGTGAATCTAGATAAACATTTCAAATCGAAATTCGATCGTAAGATATCTCCATCAATACTGTCTTGCTTCTATGCAAAAAACTCATCACTTAGGAAAGAAGATCCAAGGACTCTTGTTCTTTCCGATTTTAACTAAGCACACTAAAGCCTTGTGTTATAGGCGAAAAATATACTCATTTCTAAAGTATTACTCTATAACCAATCCTAATCTGTCGAATATGTCAAAATAGTTTACATAATCCAATCAAATCATTTGTTAGCAAATGTAAGCTAAAACATCGGTTTTCACTTTGTCAAATCAGAGTATTAGTGTTTCGGTTTTAATGAGAATTGAAATTCTTCAGAAATGCTGCATCATCAAATCATCTTCTAATGTTCCGACCTTTGGCCAGTTCCTATACTAGAGAACTCATTGCTAGTTTCTTGAGGTCGACCAGATCCATTCAAAATCACGAAAAAACTACTCAAATTGACGTCTGCCGTTTAAATTCATATTGAGCCGACAAAGAAGTTTCAGTAAGATGAGAAAAAGCTAAAAAGTGTTCGTTCCATTGATCCCTGGAATTGCATGGAGACGAGCCTCTCTTAGCTTTTTCTAGCCTTACCAAAAGTTCCTTCTCCAGCCGTCCGGAAAATTTCTTTTTGCGTTAGAAACGAAGTTTCAGTAACATAACAATAGTTTTTAAACCTGGAAGTGCCTTCCTGAAAAATAGAACAAAAATTTTTCAGACAGCTCAGTTACAGATAGCGTACTTGTTTACTTCTATTAGTTTCAACAAAAACTTAAGATTCTTTTTTTCTTGTTGAAATCGAAACTGCTGATATTCAATTATATTTACTCAAAATTTGTACTTCTGAAAACTTTTAATTTATTCGAATCATTTTTAAAGAAGAATCTGTTTTTTCACTTACGGAAAGTAATCGAAGACAATCATACATATCATTCTCGTTTCCACAAATTAAAATATTTCTAAAAAAAAAATATATTAAAAAAAAAAACTAAGAATTAATTTTAAAATAAATCGAATTTCATACTTATTAATATTTTTTTTCAAAGGCATTAAAGAAAAAAATTCATTCATAATTCGTACATCAGCACATGTTTCTTCCATTGGACAACCAATTTCAAATTTTTTCTTATTTATTCCTTCATTTTCATTTGTATTTGATGAGAATCTTCTTGTATATGGACAAAAATTTTCATCAATATTTATATTATGACTATATAATGATTGTAATGAAGATTTTCGTCGTCTAAATGAACGTTTACGTTGTTTTAATAATCGATTTAGATTTCGTGTTGGTGAATAATAAATACAATCATATAAAAAATGACAATGACACATAATTAATCTATGACGATCTGTTTCACGATTATTTAATGCTTGGTATCTATGACAAAAACAAATGAATGAAATCAAAATTCTTATTTATATAAATTAATATTTTCTTTCTACCTTGGATCATGTTTTATTTGCTGAATTATTTCTTTTTCAAATATATCATCAATAGTAAGAGTCGTAATTTTTCTATCATTATTTAATTTGTTTGTTGTTGCTGAATTCATTTTTTGAAATGTATGAATAAATATTTCAAATGATTCCAATAATAATTCAACAAGTTTTAAACATAATAAACGATAAAGATATGATTGATGAAATGCAAATGCACGTAAACGATCTTGAGCATTTAATGATTCATAACATTCACGACCCAAAAAATAGACACAATCTTTTTCATAAGAATGACCATATTGAACAAGACCAGCATCAGAAAAACGATTTAATAAATCAAAAAATGAACGACAATTTGCACGACGAGTTTGTTCTAATTGACGATTATTTATATAAGATTCAAAACGAAGACGAGCTTCAACTGTATCAAGTATATCATCAGGAATGATTAAAGATGAGGATTGATTTCCATTATTATGCTCAGAATCTGACCATATCGAAGATGGTATCACAGTTGACGAATAGCGAGGATGTTTTTGCATTTGTAAACGTACATAATCCCAATTTCTAGAATAAAGTTACATATGGTATCTAGAGATGCATAGAACTAACGAGGAAACCTCTCTAACCATCAAATCACTTTTTGACAGGGGTAAGATTCATTTAATGAGTGTTAGAGAGTCCAACAATTGTTATAACTCGGAAACCAGTCTTCCACGTAGCCTAAGAAGAACCACAGCTTTTTGTTGAAAAGCCCAGTAAAATTTCGACATCTCAAGAGGGACAAAACCTAGAAAACTAAACCATTCTAGATTTTTCTATTACTCATCAAATGAACGTCGTCTCGGTCGAAAAGCGATTTGACATCTGAAGAGGTTCCTTCGTCAGTGCTTGCTGTCTTGATCCCAGACGTGTCTTGTTCAACAGTCCTGATCATTGTCGTGTTAAATCTAGTGTCATATCGGTCAGGATAATTTTATTTTTTCAGTTCTCGTCTTGATCTTAGTTTCGGCTTACAGAAAAATTATTCGCAAACTACAGCTTTTAGCTTCAGTTCGAGCAAGTTTTTTTCTTACAGTCTCGGCTCTGTGATTGGAATAGGGACTAAAACTAGTTCCGCATATCTCTACTAGTGTCATATGAAAAATCAAATTGCTAGAAAAAGGTCAAATGGACTAGGTTTACTTATGCGGATAATATTCCTAAATACCGCCTTGAACTGCTATCATGGATTTTAGTTAAGAAATGCAACATTTTGCACGATTTCAAAAACCATATATGGAGTGGCTCATCAACAATTTCATGTTCTAACCAAAAAATGAAAGAAAATTTTATCAGACCTATCAAATAGATGGACCTCAGAATATCTAATTCTCGTCGAGCTCAATGAATCATTACTCAAAAGCTTAAAGTTCATCTATTGGATGATACACTTTCAGCATTGCAACAGACAGTAAAATAAAATTCCAATAAAAGGAATCGGCGAATATATAAATGGGAAATATGTTCAGATTCATTTTATATATCTCGATCAATTTCGTTTATGTGAATTACTTTCACAAATAGTAAAAAGCAATACTTTGAAGTGAAACTGAATGTACAAGAAAGATAAACTTGTCGAAATACAATACGTTTAAAGAAGGTCTTATGAATTAACTATTAATAATAAATGTAATTGTATTATTTGATAAAAAAAAATCAAGTAAATAGACTGCACGATAACTAATAATTGGATATATAACTATCTTGAAGGAAAGAAAAGTCAAATAGTACTCTGTTTGTTCTGTCCTTTTTGTTAAAACAGAACGAAAAGAAACTGTTCTATACTTACCTTTGATTGGTAATAACGGACAGCAATCGAATACTTTTGACAAAGTTCGTTTGACTTTTTCTTTTTAACGTCTCAGTTGAGAATCGAAAAAATTTCTTTTACACATACTCTATATGTATTTTTTCTTACCTTTCTAACTATATTGTTTTACGTTTGTTAAAGTCAGCGATTATAGGTCAATGCAGTAGTCGTTAACATTATCCTCATGAGAAAAAATGTCTACCACGTTGAATCGAATCATAGTAAAAATGGTTAAGATTCTAATCGTAAAATTATCTATGATATTGATAAAATTGTCTAAGTAAGAAACACTCTGTGCAGGATGGAACGTTAAGAATTGTGCAATATATTTCCCTTGTTTCGGCTGACGAGGGAATCACCTGAAGTGACACTTTACGTTCAAGATGAAATCTCAGTCATTACTCAGAGTCTATTGAGACTAGACGGACTTTCCCCATGCACTACCATTCTGGAGTTATGGCCATTACAGTACATTTTTTACCCATTGACAGAGTATTTATTAAAAAAGGCGAACAAACGAATTTTGACGCAAAACTTTGTCCATAGACAGCTCTTGAAATGATTAAGATCTTTCAAAAATTTCAGCTGAAAAAGAGTAATCTCTTCTCGAGTTATCAAACCCACAGAAAAACTAGATTTTCCTTCCATTATTTTTTTTATTTTGTGAACTTGATATCTCGAGAGGACATCACTCTTTTTGTCTGAAATTTTGAGACTAAAACTCATTTATTCAGTCATTTTTGTAAAAAATATCGTGCTAAAGATAAAAATTCAATGTAACGGTTATAACTCCAAAATGACATCGCATGAAGAAAAGTTCTTCTAATCTCAATGAGTCCTACGCCTGACTAAGGTTTCATCTCAAACGTAAAGTATCATTTCGAGTGATTCTCTCGTAAAGAGAATTGAAATTTTTCAATTTATAAGTATATGCTTTCGAATATGTCGACACTGTTACAGTATTCATAAGGATTCATGTAGTTTTCTTCTAATTTAAAATCAATTTTAATCTTAGCTTTAATATGTATGAGCTTCTTGATTTTTTGTCAAAAACAAAATATTTAGAATTCTTTAATAATAAAATTACCTCGATAATTTCGTTTTTTGATCTGTAACAAGTAATTCAACAATTGGAATTAATCTTTCATCAATTAATTTTTGTCTTGATATTGTTTTTAATTCATCAATATGCTCATCATATAATCGTTCAGCTTGTTGTTTTCCAAACATATCAATAAATGTCTGTATACTTGTATGATGTTGCCAATTTGTATAAAATTTTATCCATAAACCTAATCGAAAATCTAAAACATGTCTTGTTAATAATGTTTTATATTCAGTTTGTATAACATGTTTTAATGATTGCTCATTTCTATATGCATCTTCATATGTTGGTGGAATATATTTTGACATTAATATATTTGAATGTGAAGATTTTCTTGATGCGGATGATGATGATGATGATGATAATATTTGTTCATCGCATGCATATAAAGCAAGTTCAAGTACAGCTTGAATATTCACGTGTTCATTTGCTGATGTATGTATAATAGGTATATTTAATAATAATTGTGAATCATTTGATGATGAACGACGTATTGATTGCTCGAATTGTAATGCCAAATCAGATTGATTTTTAATTAAATCATTTTTCGTTGTTATTATTAATACAGGACGACGTGTTTTAAATAATGAATGAAGAAGAAATAAAAGTTCGGATATTTGTTTCGTAGATGATAAATCATGTATACATAAAAAAGCATCAAGTGTTATTTTATCTTTTGGAAATGTTTTTATTTGTGGATAATCTGAATCATTTTGAAATTTTTCTTCTGGGCGTAATGTTAATGATGTTATACGTTTTATATAATTATCATATTGTTCATTATCTTCAATAGCTATTGTTGAATGTTCAATTAAATGAAATAATGCTTCACGTTTTTCATCTGAACGTCGATGTCTTACTGTACCCCAATAAAACCATGTTGCTATATGTTGATTATTAGTGGATTTAGTTTTTAATAAAAACGATTGATAATTATCAATATTTGAATCAATAAGACGTTTACATAATGATGATTTGCCTGATAATGGATTAACACTAACTACAGCTAGAGTATATGTTGGTGGTGACAATGATGAACTTGTAAAACCGCTTGAAACGATAGCGGTAGCTTTAGACATGATATATTATCCATTCAAGGACATGGCAAACAGGTGTGTGCACAATAAAAGAAAGAAAAAAAAATGTCTAAAAATAAAAGCGAATTATGTTTCTTCATTCTATTCGATACACTGTACAGATGTTGTTAAATAGAAAAGTAATCAATTTTTACGATGAAAAGGGAAAAAAATGAAGAAAGAACAATAACACGACGATATTTATAGACCTTTACACTTGTCATTTTGGTTTCTTTTATCGATTTGTAATATGAGAATAAAGAACATTGTAAATGAAAAACGAGAACAATCCTATACGTACTTTAGCTAACGATAGAAGCCTTATGGAGACACTCAAACAAGACAAATATAATGTCAGTTTTTCTTCTTTTCTTTCGATTGTGGACATTGGACAATGAGTAATATGTAAAATGGACAAGAAAGAATGTAATCGTTTATACGAAGTATTCTTTCAGATTGGTAGAATAGTTAAACGTCGTAGAAAAAAAAACAACAATACAAAAAGAAAATACTATAGATTAAAGAATTTGTTAAGAGAATTCTTATTGCATGCATGCACGCATACATATATAGTCTTTCAAAAAAAATAAAAACAAACAAATTGTTGACAAGTTCGAAAAAGAAAAAATTTTTTAAAATTTTTTTATTGGAACAAAAATTTATACCAATTAAAAAAGATATTGATATAGATGGCGGCAATTAAATAAGATATGAAATTATTTTATTACGAAAAAAATTTCCTAAAAACAAACATAAAATTTATTGTTTTTTTAGACACTATTTTTCGGCATAAAATTTTTTGTTCATATTTTAATGAAAAAATTTAATAATAATTCACTACAATCCTCTATACATGAGAACGTTAGCATTATCACTCAAAAGTTATTTATAGACTTTAGAAAAGTTGATTGGTCAGATTTTTTGCGATTGTAGTTTATGTTACTTCATCATCTATGTGATGCAAAAGGAATATTCCAATCTCGTCACTATTTTCTATATATATCCGAGTTTTTATCAATTTTTAGATAAATCTAAAATGGCTTCTGGCGATTCTAGTAAAACACCACAGGAACAGCAACAGGTACTGTTGATAAGAATATGTTTCTTTAGTGAAAATAAGACGAGTAGTGAAAAAATTTATCATCTGACAATTTCTCTTATCAAAAAAAAATTGAACAGATAACATACGTTGTCACTATAAATAAAATTAATTTTGTATGTTTTCTCTTATTAGAATGTGGGTTCAACAACACATGAAGAAGATTTTGCTCAAGGTAATTATGGCATCTTGCCATTAATTCAATCCAAGGAAAAAATTGATCGTCAATTAATTTCCGTACGTGATATAAATGAAAAATTAGCTAAACAAACAATCTGGGTTCGTGGTCGTCTTCATATAAGTCGTGGTAAAGGCAAACAATGTTTTCTTGTTATTCGTCATCAATCAGCAACAATTCAAGCTGTTGTTTGTGTCAATGAAAACGTTAGTAAGCCAATGGTTAAATTTGCTGCTACGTAAGATAATAATAATAAAAAAATTATATTAAAAATGAATCCTTTTTGCAAAATTAGTATTACAAAAGAAAGTATTATTGATGTTCAAGGTGAAGTTACTTTAGCACCAACACCTATTGAATCATGTACGCAAAAGGATGTTGAATTACAAGTTACAAAGGTAAATTTCATCAAGGTTTTTTGTTTAAAGGTCAATTCATATTTTGATATTTGATAAGATATTTGTTGTCAGTCCAGCTGAACCTCGTTTACCATTATTAATTGAAGATGCTATGCGACCAGATGAGCCAACTAGTGAAAGTGCTCAAGCACCTCATGCTAATCAAGATACACGACTTGACAATCGTGTTATTGATTTGTGAGTTTAATGTATTGATTTAAAAAAAAACGGTCTAGTAAATATTTCTTTAGACGTACACCAGCTAATCAAGCTATTTATCGTGTAGAAGCAGGTGTTTGCAAATTATTTCGCGATACACTCGATGCTAAAGGTTTTGTTGAAATTCATACACCAAAAATTATTTCAGGTATATTTATGACTTATGCGTGAACCTCTTCAGTTGATCTTTTCAGATTTTCATGTTCTTTTGCTTATAGATATAACATGGTATTCTAATAAAAACCCTAAAATGATTTGAGTTCCTATTGATATTTGAGTAAGCTATTTATGTAAGCTTGTCTAATTGATTTCTCTATGTGCACAAAATTTCAGATTAAAATTTCAAAATACAAGTTTTACGAAAATGTGGAACCTCTAGAAAAAAAATTCGATAGCTTAGTCAAGTTCAAAACCTTTTAGGATTTTTATTAAAACATTATGTTGTATCTATAGGAAAAGAAGCAGTGAAATCAAAAGAGTACAGCTGAAGAGATTTCCTTGTTCTTTTTATAGATAAAATTAATATGTTTTTTTTGTTGATTTTTAGCCGCATCCGAAGGCGGTGCTAATGTATTTCAAGTAACTTATTTTAAATCAAATGCATATTTAGCACAATCACCTCAATTTTATAAACAAATGGCTATTGCTGCTGATTTTGGAAAGGTCTATACTATTGGAGCAGGTTTGACTTTTTATCTAAATATCGTATAGATTTGTTTCGTTTGGTTTTTATAGTCTTTCGTGCTGAAGATTCAAATACACATCGGCATTTAACTGAATTCGTTGGTCTTGATCTTGAAATGGCGTTTGGCTATCATTATCATGAAGTTGTTAATACGATTGGTGATCTATTTACACAAATTTTCAAAGGTCTTGCCGAACGGTTAGTTGAATTAAATCTTTTAACTTGTGTAAAATTTATCATTTTGATTTTATTTAGATTCGCCACAGAAATTGCTATTATTAATAAACAATTTCCTTGTGAGCCATTTGAATTTGTTGAACCGGCGTAAGTTTCGATGAATTGATAAGAAGTATTTTTTTTCTAAGATAAGCTTTTAATAGGTTACGCCTTGAATATAAGGATGGTTTAGCATTACTTGCGGAAGCTGGTATTCAAATGGGCTCTGAAGAGGATTTAACAACAGAAAATGAACGCATATTAGGTCGCATTGTTAAGGCTAAAGTAAATGCATAAACACATCTTCTTTTATTATGTGTGTAAATTACATTATTATTTTTCATAGTATCATACAGATTTTTATATTCTTGATAAATATCCATTGGCTGTACGACCATTTTATACAATGCCTGATCCGGATAATCCTGTAAGTAAACTATATTTATTCTTTTTTCTATAATTCGATTACTTGTAATCTTAGAAATATTCAAACAGTTATGATATGTTCATGCGTGGTGAAGAAATTCTTTCCGGCGCTCAACGTGTCCATGGTAACTTTTACATCAATGTCAAATGAAAAACGTTTGTTTAACCTTTGTATGTATTTTTTTTAGATGCACAATTATTACTTGAACGCGTAAAACATCATAAAATCAATATCGATCAAATCAAATCTTATATTGATGCATTTCGTTATGGTTGTCCACCACATGCTGGTGGTGGTATTGGCTTAGAACGAGTCCTTATGCTTTATTTAGGTTTGGGCAACGTACGAAAAACATCTATGTTTCCACGCGATCCCAAACGCATTACACCTTAAAAGACCATAACCAGTTTCTTTGTTTTTGTGTTTTACTATTCCTTTGATTTTGTTTGTCTAATAGTCACCTTGAGACAAGACGAAAAAGAAAAGCAAATTAATCATATTGTTAAACGATATAAAATATTTTTAAAACAAAGAACGTATTCAAGAAAACGATCTCATTTTAGATAAACATGACGCATACATGCAGACAATAATGGAAAAGAGTACTTCAATAAATCTCTCGTTAACTAGAGACAAGCACGTATGAAAACTAAGCATAATAAAGCTTCTCATTAAACGGGGCAGAAGTCATTTATATCACAATGACCTTTCTTTTTTTGTTTTGTTTATCTATTTGAATGATTAGTGTTGATTCATTATTAGGTTAATAATCAGTAAAATAGAGGTTTTCTAGTAAATATCATATGAAACAATATAGTTTTATATCCTTATATGTTCTTTCGTTAAAGAAAAATAGTTACTAATTTATATTTGCGATGAATGGATGAGTAAATACCATAAATCTTTTGTTGATTATTATTTGTCCAATGTTGTTAGATGTATGAGGACATACAAGAATTATCGATAGATAGGCAAAAGCTTGCTCGATCTCTCTTAAAAGGTCATTCTATCGTTATTTGCTTAATGTCGGCGTTCGTTCCTTGCCTTCTCATTTGCTTAGAGAAGAGAATTGGTTAAAATACAGACGTGCACATACGTTGTTGCATGAAGAGATGTTTGTCTTTTCTTCTCTTTTTACCTCGCCCACTATTATATCTGTTCGACAGTGTACAATTTCATATATTATATGCACATAATTTCGATGCTTCTTCTTCTTCTTGCCAGTCGATTTTCGTGGATGACGTCGCACTCTACTGATTTCAATATATGCTTCTTACATGTATTATTGACGTCATTGAAACTCCAAATATATTTTTGACATCTGTTTTTTTTTGTATTTCGTTTTTTTTTTTTTTCTACTCTTTCAATAGAAGCTCGATTGGTGAAGTATTTGATTTCACACATGAATACTCTTTTCGTACAGTATTTGCATTTACATTATTCTCTTATTAATGTTTTTCTATTTAATGTAAACTTGATCATCGAAAGGTGAGTGTGCATGATTTCTTTCAATTCCTTTTTTCCATTTTTTTCTTCTCCCGCAGGAAATGTTTTTTTTAATAGTTTTATTTATTTTTGGGTGGTAGAGAACAAAACAGATATAAGTAACTAATACATATATGTGCATGATTAGTTCTTTTTCCTCCGATTTTGCTTTGTTTGCCTATTACAGCCACAACTGTCTCCCCATTCAGTATTCACTTTTTTACTTATGACTAAGTTTAACAACGGCGGACGAACTCGAGCATGAGTAGGAAGAGAAAAAAATGAATAGTACTCGTAACCAAAGAAAAAGAAGAAAAGAAAAAGGTCTTCGTTCTTTTTTTATTATTTTTTTCTTTGCTTTATATTTTGTCGTTAACGATGCGTCACTCACGCACCTACAAGATATTATTTTGAAGAGTACAAATACACAACTATTGAGACAAAATAAAAGAAATAGGAAGCCGTTATTTTCTTTCTCTGTATTATTTCAGATCATTTATTCTGTGTCCTTCATGTGATAAAAATTTAAAACTAGGCAAAGAAAAGAATAATCATGTCGAAAATGTTATTACAACCGAATTATTGCAGTTGTACTGGTAAAAATTGATTAATAATAAATTAATGAAAAAATATCTATCATATTTTTTATTTTTGTTTTTCAATAGTACATCAAGCTCGAAACTTACCAGAGAAAGGCAAGCATGGTGGTAAGATATTTAATTTTTGTAATCCGGAAAACAATTTCAATGCTTTTTAAAATTTTTTCTATAATAGGAGTTGATCCTTTTTGTACAATATCCATGGGAAAAGATAAGTTTGTTACTGCCGTACGAGAAAAAACTCGTTCACCTGACTGGCAAGAACAATGTGATATGTAAGAAAATGCAACGACAAACAAATATTTTAATTCAAAGAAAAAATTTCTTTTACAGGGCAATTGTTGATGATGCAATTATTAAATTAACTGTTTATCATAATAATAAAAGTGCTTTATCTAAAGGTGATTTTATTGGTCGTGCATATGTTTCATTACGTGATTTACAAGATTATGATCAAATTCATCGACGGTATAGTTTCATATTAAGTTTATTTTAATATTGTTTTTAATGTAATTCCTTTTTTTTTCTATTGAACAGTTGGTATAAACTTACAAATAAAGATGGTAAAATTGATAAAGATCGAGGAGAAATCGATGTATCATTACAATTTTATTCGAAAAATAATGCAACTGGCAGTGTATTAGATTTAGCAACGAAAAAAAAACATCTTTCATTGAAAGATATTAAACAATCGTTAGGTAAAATGATACATATTTATTTGTATAAATAAAATATATAATTGATCAAGGGATTATGATCGAATTCATATAAAAATAATATAATAATGAAGAACTTATCTCATGAGAATGCAATTTTTTATTAACCTTGAATTTATTCCCATATGATAGGTGTTAAATAAAAATTAATTTTCTCTATGCTTTTTTAATAGTTTCGATCGGTTTATATAATAGTTATTGCTGGGATACGCATCATTGACAAATAAATAGGGCTTTTTTTCTTCTGTATGCCTGTAATAAAAAGTTTTTTTTTATAGGAATAGTAATAAAAATGATAACAGAAAAAGCTCCTGAAGATTAATAGTTTTACGATACAATAATCGCTATGAAACAGTTTGACTCTCTTAGGTTGATTGAAAGAATTGCTACAGGTCACTTTAATATCAAAGAACCATTTTTTTAATTAAAAGGTAGTCTCTTTATGCATCGATTGATTGATTATTTTTGTAGGAAGTTATATTAATAACCAAGGCATACGCCAAGATCAATTTGCATTTCTTCTCTTCCTTTAAATAATCAAAATTTGATCTTGAAAAATATTTTTATTAGTAACATCAAATTTTTCATTATAGGTGACAAATTAAAATCGGCCTCGAAACATCGAAACAAAGACAATTATAGTGGTGATAATCAGGTACATAGTTTTTCTAATCTTTTTTCTAAGGAAAAACAAATAAATGAATTATATAATATTATCTTCTATTGTTCATATTAAATAAAATGAAATGATTATTTTTCAGTTAGCTGAACAGCGTCGTCGCCTAGGTGACGGTGATGATAGTACATATAATGTACGCGATTTTCTCGATGATTCAGCATCGGAGGTGAGCGAGATCATATTAGATGGTGTCGACAATACATATGTTCACTAACTTAGCTTTTTGTTTATTCTTCTTCTCCTCTTCTTTTGTATTAATGCACATTAATTTATTAATTTATTAACTAATTATTCACAGCTTTCTTCTCTCTAGCTTTCTAACTATTCTTTGCAGTCACAACAACTTGATAAAAATGATTGGGATACTTCTTCTATACGAGAGGAAGATGAAGAGGTTTGCATTAAACTTGCGGCTTCTTTTTTCTTGAAAAAAAATTATATCGATTCTTTAACATTTTTTTTATTGCATTAAAAACTGAATAACAAAATATTGGTTTGTATTTTTATTTTAGTCAACATCTATAGCTGGCTCGCGTATGTCACTTAACAGTATGTCATATCCTAACAATGCTGAATCGCAGCAAAAAAAGGTATTTGTATAGAATTACTTCATAAATTTATCATTAGGAGATTTTGCTATAGTCAATGTCCTTAAATAGACGAGAGGTTGATGTAAGTCAGTATTTATTTTGTCCCTTGATATGCATGATATGTGTCAATTTGTTTTTTTCTGTTTTCGTTTAATCAAACGAATTGCATGCACAGTTTTTCAAGTTTTTATTCTATTCTATATTATTTTCCCAATGCAATAAGAATCATAGAGAGTGTATATCCTATATGTATGTATGTGTGGGTAGGCTTTTTATTTCTTTTTGTCTTTGAGAAAATACAGAGTTCTTATCTAAATGGTGGTAATAAGCACAAATGAAAAATATCTTTTTAACAGATGCCTCGTGCTCCAAGTAGTGGACTTGGATCAACATTAGGTACAGGAACACCACGTTCATCACGTCGTTCAGTAACATCGGATTATGATACATCCTCCATACTTGATTCAGCCTCCATGTATGGTGGAGATGAACCGTCTACACCATCTCCTCCTATTCGTTCTCAAGTACAACAACAACAACAACCACAACAACAACAACAACATCATCGTGAAGTTTATGTTGGTGATGATTTACCACCACGAAGTAATTCAACTCGTAAAAAATCTAAAGAACCGTCACCATCAACAACATTACCAACAATAATGACAACAAAAAATCAAAATAATTCTCCGCCGCCCTCATTAACAGATCATAGTCGAAGTTTTTCTATTACAGGTGATGATATCGAAGCAGCTTTTGATGCTATTAATGATTATAAAACATCCATGAATGAATCACCGCTAAATAAATCAAAAGAGTATGAAGTTCCATCACCTGATTCATTATTTGGTTTATCAACAATAAAAGAAGCTACTGATACAGATGATATTGTTCTTGCTAGAAATTCATTCCAACATCATCATGACGAAGAAATCGATGACATTGATTTTGATAATTGTTTTAATAAATATAAACAACCACAACAAAATGAAAAGAAACCAAGTGAAGAAAAAAAAAGTAAAAAACCCGCTCCATCAACACCTGTTGTTCAACAATCACAAAAAACTCAAGAACCAAAATCTAGTCATTATTCCAAAGAACAAAAACGTACAGCACCTATTCATACTGATGATACACGTAATTCATCAGTTTCAATGCCAACACCTAAAATCGACATAACTACTACACCTACTGTTACTCTTTCAGCAACAAAACAGAAAGAAACTACTTCAAATGATATAGATGATTCAAACGATTCTATTGATGAAGATGTTGATGAATTATTGGGTAAATTGGAGGTAAGTATTTGTCTGTCTTTAATACACGCACACATACATACACATACATATACACATGTTTATTTATTAATACAATGGCTATTTCTTCTTCTTCTTCTTCTTGCAAACTATTTATTACTTGTTTTTTATTCTCTCAGTTTTACATTGTTGTGTTCGTATTGTGCACATTACTGCATGTAAAATTGCACTCAAACATGCATAGAATGCTTGCCTTGTTTTTATTGCTATATGTATATATATGTGTGTATGTGTGTGCATTGTCCCAACTGAATTTATGGATGTAAAAGACACAAGAAAAAACCTGATTTCATTTAGCGAATGTCAAGTATACGTTCTTCGGTGAAACGAAAAATTCAACCAAAAGACGATATAATGCAACAATCATTTTCTGAGGTAAAAATAGCCATTATTTTATTTATTCTATTCTGTAAGTGAAATTCTTTTTCGAATAATTTCAAATTTCGTTATCCCAAAAAATTTAACTATTTTGAGAAAAAATGTCTGTATTTCCAGCAATTGTCCTCTGAATATCAACATCGTTCGATTAATTTGAAGTATTCAACACTTCAAACAGATAAAAAAATTCAAAGTCGAGTTTTATCATTCGATGATACTGATGATATAGCAACACCAAGTATTGATTTTGATACTAAGAATTTAGTAAGATTATACGCATGATAAAAAAGATCTAATAAGACAGTATCTATTATATATATATACATTATTTTTTTGTTCCTGTTTATCGTATATCGATCTGCATGTTATTGCGGTGCGTTCTCTTGTTATTTATTTTTATTTATCGCATGTTATTGTTACTATTGTTTGATGATAATTGGTTCTATTGTATTTAGCGTCTTGTTTTTCGTTTTTAAAAAAAGTTTAATTTATTTTTCTTATCATTTAGCTCGAATCACCAGCTAATAATAAATTTTTGGGGGCTTATACTCAAAATCAAACATCATCATTGGGTAATCGAACGGATAGAAACAGTCCGGCAACATTACCTGATATTGTTGGTGAACAATCAAGCAAAAGTAAAAAAAAATATTTATTTATGCATTGAAAAGTTTCATTTTTGAAGATTTTCGTCAAAATTCATCTCAACATAAACAATCATCATCAATTTCAAGTCTTCAAAAAACAAATGATAATGGTCTTTGTGTACTTGGTTATCAAAATGTGAAAAGTACACCTGTTAATCCAAAAATTCGGCAAGAACTTGATTATCTTGATCGTGAAGTAAGATTATTTATTTATCAATATGTAAACAATATTTTTGTTTTTCTCTTCAATATTTTAGGAACTTCTTCATGTTATTGCATATCAATCAGATTTGCTTAAAAAACGAGATACACGTTTAAAAGATCTTGAAAATTATACGGATGGTTTACTTGTTAAAATACTTGAACAATGTCCAACTATACTTCAAGTAGGCACTTCTTCATCGACATCGTCATATCGAAAATGATCATATTATTATGCTTTTACTAATTCTTTTCTATTGTCGCTCACAATGCACATTCAATGAAAGCTGCTAGTATTGCTGTTGTATATATATATTCACGCGCTTCTTAATGCTTTTCTTTTTAACTCTATGTCTTGTCCGCTCTTTGACGATGATGGTCAAAATCCTATCTCGTTCTAGAACGGAACTCTCAAATACAACAGCAAATGAAAATGATGAACATCATAACAAACAAATATTTATGTGTGCATGCAAGCGTCTATATACTTGTTGCTAATCAGGGAGCAGTCTTATGGTTCTATTTGAAATTTTATGTTCTTTCTGTTCTATTCTTTAAATAATTCTTTTGTTTTTACCTGTGAAAAAAAAAGAGATCTGCTGCTCCACTCTGATGTGCCGGTGTTTTCTTCCTTTTTAAAAAACTAAATTGTGCCTTTCTTTCCTGTATATAATTCTATTGTTATTAAACTAATATCTTTCTATTCTATTTTTTGTTCATATATATATATAGCCTATTATTATATGAAAATTTCTATTCATTTCTTCTACAGTGTCTATGAATAATTATTATTTAAGCTTTTTTTCTTTCCTAGTTCTTCTCTTGTGTCTTGTCTTTTTCGTCGTTGAAATTGTAGTTCTTATTGCATATCTATGCATGTCTATCACAAGAAAATAAATTTTCAGTGTGACAACGTAAAAGATTTTCGCATAAGTGCAGATAATTGTGGACTACATATCGGTTTTGTATTACTATATAAAAGTTTGAACAAAGAAAGCTTAGTTATTTATGTGTGCTGGAAAGAATAATTTAAAAACACATTCAGGACCATATATCGTAGACTCTGACTTATTATATCTCATACAAGCCAACAACTTTCGATTGGAAACTGTCGGATGAATCAAAGATGCAGTAGGATCGTAGCGGTGTTCCATTAAGAAGCTGACTGCAAAAAGGATTACCACTAATATAAACGGTCATGTACTACATCACAAACAATTCAATACAGCGTGCTTATGGTTGTTTTCATGTGATGCTATAATAATCATCATATCTGTTTTTTTTTTCATTATTTAATGTCCTATCGATAGGTATCGTTGTTGAGCTAGATCTACATAAGACAAATATCTTAGATTTGTCTATGATATACTAGCTAACGTTGTATTCAGATCAAATCCAAATACAAAGCAAATTTTTATTGTAAGACTATAACTTATGAAAATGTTGTCCAATAAATGATATCTTCGTGAATAATATACAATAATTTTCGGTAGAGGCACACTAGAAACAAGAAAGACAAGAATGCAAAATCACAATAATTAAGGACGCTTCAAACTAGTCTAAATATACCCTTGAAAAAAACTAAAATCATACGATACTTTCGAAAGAAAAAAAGGCATACGTACTGTTGAAAATAATCTGTAAGTAACGAGGAAAAGTTCCAGATAAAGCTCGATGCAAAAATCATATTATTGAAGACGATTTTTTTTGGAAATAAAATGAGTGCTGCTAGTTGCTTCGCATTTGTGGGCAACCATCTTTCCTGCGAATCGAAAATGATATCAATTCAATTGGGTGGTTTTCCGGTTGCCGATCCGATTCAGTTAAGGTTTTAAATCTCCCTAGTGTTTAATAGTATTTTGCCACTTTTTTCCATCAAATTTGATGACACTGAAATCAGTCTATTTTTGCCTATTTGTACCAGATATGAGTGGATGTGGAGCTTGTCTTCTCTTTGTTGTTGCCGACATTCATATCAATACACCTATCCGCATGTACAAAATTAATTTTCTCAACTAAATCGCAATTCTCTTGTTTTAGTTTCATCAAAGTTATGTATCTTATTTATTTTGCTTCATCATGATGTTTTAATTCTATTTGCATACTGTCTCAAGTTTCCGACCACCAAACATATTTTCGTTTCATCCATGCTTGCCCTCGTAAGTGAGACAGAAAAAAAATGTAATGATTCATTTTATCGGTGTTTTGGGCTTCCTATTCTTTCAAGGATACAAAGAGATGAAAAACATCCAAATAACAACAAATATTAACATATGTTTTTTTTTAGCTTTGTCAAGTATTCATTCTAAAATATTGCTTGTTATCACCTGAAGGTCACGACAATCAACCGTGTTCATTTAAAATAAAACAAAGTATACTAATCAATTACAAGATGAATCGTCACATGTCACTTTATCGCAGTTTCTCTATATGTAAAAATTGCTATCCTAATTCAGAGTAGGAATTTAAAATTTAAGGTAACTTTTCAGTGCGAACTTGATAGAGCTAAGAACGATGAATCGTGATACGCACAATAAATGTGGTGAAAAAGAAAATAATAACTAAGGAATGACCGCAGTAGCGCTGCTTTCAGTGTAATCCATACTAATGCCGTCCAAAAATTAAATGGCCGTGGGTATTTTTGGAATAACTCCAGAACGAAAAGAGCTAGAGAGATGCAGTTTTCACCATTATGCAGGCATATGAGTACTTTATATATTCGCTAAGACATGCTGAGAATCCTTGCAAATTTAGAGTTTCATCAGTGCCAATCTTTCAAAGAACACCTCGCAGTTTTTTAAAGTTCCACAGAGACTTATATATCTAAACTTTGCAAAAGATAGCCCAAATGCTCCTCTACAAAATGACACAAGGCCTGCCTCTCTAGTTTTTGTCCTTCTCAAATAACACTCATTTTCCTGGAACCTATGCTAGTCCTTTTTCTCAATAGNCGAACAGTTGAAATTGTTGATTTAACAAGCAAAAAACTGGTGCGTTCATTATATCAACTAAGCAATTAGTTTTACGAAGACATATAATGTGAAATTCATATAACTCTTGGAGTTTCTAATAGTAATAACTACTATTTTAGTCTCTCTCGTTTCATATGTATTAACATTAAGAACGAATGAAGACTTCTTTCTCAAAAAGTCTCATCTAGTAACTCACATCGACTAACGTCTATATTATACTTTGACAGACTTTTATCAATAACGATATGATTTTTTTACAATTCAGAATTTTGATCTATTCTTATATGAAATTATTATTTGCCACAGCCGAAAGGCACCTCAATACGTAACAGAATACTATTGTCAAAAGAAAGATAAGATGAACTAAAATGTACTTTTTTTTTATAGTAGACAACCTATTTTAAGATTTCTTAATAGCTAAATATTGTAACAGTTACATAATACTAGTAGTTAGCAAGATCTTAACTTTAGAACAGATTTTTTCTAATTTCTTGTAACGAAAGTTATGAAGTGATAACTGCTAGCTATTGAGATTTAATAAGAGTTGGTTAAAAGTAGTCCAGAAAGGTGAACTTGAATTTTTGAAGTAAAAATCTTTAATTGAGACTAAAACTAACTTCTAACAAATGGCTAACATCGTACGATGAGAAAGTGTTAGCTCAATACTTAGAGGTGGGACTTTGACGACGACTAGAAATCCATCGGTTGGAGATTTTTAGACTCATATCTTTTGATCATTAAGAACGATCAAAATAGGCTACCCTTAATACCTTAAAAAAATCAATAAAAGAAAACACCTGAATAAAATATTGAGAGAATTCGTGTGAAAATGCATAGTAGTTATATTTTGTTATGAAAAATAAAACGAGTTTTTAGTTAGGCATCATCTCATCGAGAATCAACTATTGATGAAAGTATCAGTTGACTAACATCAAGTAAGGAATGAAAGAGCTTTTAAAGATAGTTCATAAAGTGTAAAGACATATGTTTGAAAGAAATGTGATGGTTTCAAATGAACAGAAAAGAGATACTTTATTTGAAAAAAAAATGTTTTTTTGTTTGTGCTCGAGGACATTTATAATTGATATTCTGTTGACATTGTTTTCTTGTAAATTATCCTAGTAAGAGTTTAGCTATTCTTAATAATTGATGAAAAATGCACTGAATATGATTCCTTCTCTTGTTGAAAATTCTTTTTTATGAAAAAAGGAAGAATAAACGAGAGAACTTCAAGTATTGAGAAGTCTACTTATTTCAACAGATGTGTATGTGTAATAATTAAATTTTTCAAGCAAGAATTCTACCATTTAATTTTATCTGACAGCTTTTTTCAGGCGAAAATATTGGGCTTATTCTGATCAAACTGTTTGATTTTGGCAAATTTGTGACAGTAAACTGAAAAACGATTTGTTTAGATCTTTCACATTTATCTATAGTTATAAAAAAAAGAAGGTATTGGTTTTCTTCTTGGCATGATCCTTGAAGTTTCAAAAAGAGTTTATTATTGGCTCATTCTTCATTATTGCATTCCGTTGAAAAATAATAGTCGATGAAAGAAAAAAAAATGCATTTCCCAAAATGAGATCTACAGAAATAATTGGTCTCTACAGCAGATTGTGATGTAAGTGTTCGGTATCAAAACACTTTTTTGCTCGGACTAAAAAATTATTTCAATGAAGTGATCTCTACCTAGGATGTGAAAATTGCTAAAAAAAATTGAAAGATGCAATTAAGTTTAGACGAGTTTGACAATTAGAAGAGTTTTTGATCAAGTAAATATGTATGTCTATATAAAATTATTTCGAAAGTATAATGACAAAGAAAATGGAATTAATAACAATTGTAACGACAAACATAACTATTATTGAAGTAACAAATATTTATACGACAAAAATATTGAATTTCATGATATGATCAAATAAGCAATGATGGTCTGACGAGAAACTCGATTGCAATAAGTTCGTTTTGTTAACGATTGAATCTAACAGAAACCTCGTCGAATTAATGTCAAAAGAGACAGTTTTGGTTTCTTGTTTGAATAATTTATTTTAATCAATCATTTATAATTTTTGAGGAAAAATTCACAATTGACAGATGTCAATTGAACTGATTTTCTTTTTGCACTTGTAAATAGGTTGTACTAAGATTCGTAAAAACCTGAAAGGATAATGTCTTCTTTTACAAAATTATAGCTAGTTTTATGAAATTCTAGTGTTTTATCAAGGTATTAACGGATATATCTAATTTGAAAATTCAATATCCTATGACGGAAGCATTTCTGTTGGTTAAAACTTTCAGGATCTTCTAATGATCATTAGACTTACATATGGACATAGTTTCAGATTGAAATTCAATCATTAGAGACTTCGATTAATACCTTACGTAAATACTGAAAACTCATAAAAGTAGCTATATCTTCGGAAAACAGGGTCTTGTCCTTTCAGGTTTCAACTAATCATGCTACAACTTACTTATAGAGAAAAGATCAGTTCAATCAGCGTTCTTCACTTGTGAGTCTTCCCTTGTTCATGTTAGGATTCATTCTAATATGATTAACCTTCAGTATTAATAATAGAAACTCATATGCTTCAAATAAGACTTTGGTCTAAAGTACTACCGTCTACTTATCATATCATTCATACCTTATATTTTTGTACTAATATAACCTTCGATGAGGACCTCAATTTTCCTTGGACAAACATTTGCTGCAATCGTCGTCAAGCAAATCATTATATTTATTCACAATGAACGCAAACAAAACGAGAAAAAAGTTTTATGCCAAATTATTCGTTCTGTTCTTTCTTTTTTTCCTACTTTTTTTTTATTACACGTGAGCATCAAATGGGTTCTTAAACGGGAAAAAAACTGTTTTTTTCATTGCTGCACCGTGAAAAGAGAAAAAAAATGTCATATATTAATTAACTATTTAAACATAAGAAAAAAAATCCTGAAAAACATATAGTAAAACTAATTTTCTTTTTCTATTGTCAAACCTTTCATTTTTCACATATAGATATCAGAATTAAATATATTGAGATCAAAATTCACATAAAAAAAAAAAAAAACTATGACAATACCAGTTGTCATTGTCGGTGTTGTTGTCCTTTCAGTGACGATTGCTGTTTGTACAGTTATTTTATTTGTGAGTAATTTAATCGTGTAAAAAAGAAGATTCATACTTTAAATGTGGACTCTTGTTTATTTCTATTATAGGCATTTTGTATATGGCCGGTTATTCAAGAATTACAAGAAGCTAAACGTTTAAAAGAAAAACAGAAAATACAAATGGAACCACACGGTTTTCTTAATGTTAATAGTGAACGTATTTAATTATTTTAAAGGCATAAATTTTTTATATTTATTGATAAATCATTATATTTGTCATAATTAAACTCCATTTCACATTTAGTCATCTTTTATTTACTATCAAAATCATTCGATCTTTATGCATTGAATAATAGAATGATATGTTTGTTATATATTGTTAAGAAAGTTTTAATGTATTTCAAACAAATGAATTTAAAAAACGAAGAATAGATCATTGATAAGTATATTAAATTAGAAATTGAGTAAGACAACATATTATCACGTTATTTAGTTAGAAAGACAAAACATGAAGATCAAATTGAAATCGATTTAAAAAATTGTTCATCGACCTTGAGACTATTTCGTTTAATTGTAATAAGAAATTTTGAACTTTTAGCAAGAAAATTTCAATACTTTGTAAAACTATGTTTAGATATAAAGACTCAGTTTGCTGATAGCATAAGAAATATTGTATTCCTTGGATTTTTAATATTTATTCGACTTGTTTAAAGAGAAAAAGAATTTAGCCCATGTCAAGGAATACGAGCTGTTTCGAGTCGAAAAATTGCGGAAAATAACAGGAATTCGATGGCCAACTCTTTCCGATTACGATCGGAATTGGAAAAATCCGCCGACAGGATAGTTGTCTCCAAGCTCTTAACGTTTTGCCAAGCTTTCCGGTCGGAAATGGCGTCTTTCAGGCGTAAATTCACGGATCTTAACGTCAGAATCATTGGCATGTAAATTCAAACATTCCAGAGATTTATTTATCAGGACATGAAGTCTATTTACTGTCCAGCGAGCACAGGAAAGTTTCAAGGATACTTCCAAGATCAGTATTATGAAACAACATAGGATAATCTCAAGTTTTTGTTCTCCTTTTTTTATAAAAAAAACCCAATTTTTGTTATTCGGTATGATTCTTGATAAATAATCATACATATTACTTGTATATACGTCTAAGATCGAATTTCGAAATATTATGAAAATTCGCATAAAAAAACCAACATTTTCAATGTCGATATTTATATTTTCTTCTTTTTCTTTTAATCATTCTCAAATCAAAAGTAATCATATAAATTTTGCAATTTGATTATTTTAAATCAGAAAGAAAGAAAAAAATTTTTTTTTTCTAATAACAATAAACAAAAATGAAAAAGAAAAATACTGTTCTCTATATAAAATAAGAATTATAAATAATCATCACTATACATAGGACTTTTGGTTATTGTTATTGGTACATTTTGTCTATTACCGAGTGATGTTTGTTCAAAATTTGATTTTTTTTGTTCTCGTTGAGAGTTAAATGGTAAAATATAACGAAAACTATTCGATGGTGATATTGATCTTGCTGTTCGCTTTGGTCGACGAAATTCTCTTGTTGATGGTTGTCCTTGTAAATCAATAACTGATACTGAATGTTTTCGTTTTGATAATGGATAAAAAATAGGATGTGTTCCATAAACTGGTTCATTATTTGATACATGTTGAACATCTTGTATAACTACAGATGATGAATTTCGTTCAGCGCTAATAATAAGAACAAAAATAAAGTAAAGTTATTTTTATAATTCATAATAATATGATCTTATTAAAAAAAAAAAGAAGCAAGTATTGAAGCAGAAAGAATAAAACATAATTCATTAGCATTTTAAGTCGTAAAATGTGGCCAATCTTGTTGTGATAAACGTCGAACTCGTAATTCTGGTCGAACAATATTTTGTTGTTCAACTAATGTTAATGAAGGTAAAGGGGATTGAAAATAATTATTTTCTTGTCGATTAGGAATATTAATTGATTGTATCGTTGAATTATAAATTGGTTGATGAAAAGAATTTCTTGATCTGTTTACATATAAGCATAAGCTATTGTGTTAATTAATAAGCGGTTAAAATTAAAAAGAAAATTAAATCTTACCGTCGTCGACAACATGCATAACAAATTAAACAGATTATTAACCAAATAGTTAATATACCAATAACTATAATTAAGATAATCCACCATTCAAGCTAAAAGATCGTATAAAATTTTTTTAAATATCAATTACATTTTGATTAATTTTTTACCCCGCCAAATGATCCAGAGTCATAATAAAATGTTAAATCAGATGTTTGGTTATTATTTATTATACTTGGATTAAAATTTCCTGGTATATAACGTGTATAAACTAATGTTTGTAAACCTGTTTGATTGAATATTTGTGTATAAAGTCTTTCTGATGGTGGAGAATAATCACCAATATCACCCGATCGTAGACCAATCATATAATCAATTTTAGCTTGTCCATTACTAAATGTATCGAAATCATTTTATTTACACATAACGTGTCTCGAAAATCCATATGACAAAAGAAAATTGTAAATAGTTCATTAATGATTGAAATAATTTGCATTTTATTCAAAGTTTTCAATAACAATTATCTATAGCGCTCGGCAAAAATATAAAAACTACCCATTTTTTTAATTTTTTCTATGATATAAAGCATTTAACTTAAATTCAAATAATGGCTTAAATAGCCAAACAAGTTCTCTATCAAAACTTCATAGATGAAGTATGAGAGGAAAACTTCCGGAAAACCAAATATGGTCATTTTCAGGACTCAGAATAGTGTAAAAATTAGCTTTTAAGAGCACCATCTTAAAGAACACAGAATTCTTTATAAAATAAGGGGTTGTTATATTTCTTATGACCTACTCTTGAAAAGCTGTTACCATCACAAAAAGTTATAAAAAAAAAAGAAATTTATCATAGCATTGCTAAAAAACGCTTTTTTGTTTTCTGTACCACTTATAAAGTTTTAAGAGAAGGTGGCAGAAAATGCAGCAATCCTTCATCTTATAAAAAATTTTGGGCTATTTAAGATGATGCTCTGAAGATCTAATTTTCACAAAATTTTCTGGAATCTAAAAGCTACTTTGTTTGGGTTTTGAGAAACTTTCCTTCCATGGTCCATTTATGAAATTTTCATACAGAACTTGTTTCGCTATTCAAGCCATTATTTGGATAGGAGTTAAATGTTTGGTATCGTAGAAAAAAAAAATAAAAAATATGTGAGCCATATATTTTTGATCAGTGCTGTTTGACATGGGGCAGAAGTATATTAAATGCATACTCTGTTAGTTTATTCCCATTTTTCGAAAGGAAAAAACTACTGTAAAAAGAAAATTTTAGATTTAGAAAAATTGTTCAATCCATATATTTTTCTATGAAACATTTTTCTATATTTTTAAAGCGCTTTCTTAACAATAGTCATTAAAGACGAAGCTACGGAAATTCAGAATATTTGAAAAAAACATAGCAGAGTGGAGTGTTCGATTTAGTTTGCAATATTTCGCAACAACATTACAACGATAACATATAAAATAATATAAAATCAAACAGTATAGAGCCCAAGAAAGGAATTATGTTGAATTGCCAGCTTTTTCGTTGAAAACTTCACAGAACTCTCTAGACTGTTGCATACTCTTCGATTCTTCAATAGGATCGTTAAGAATGAAAAGTTCAATTCACTCTGCTTACCCACACGTTTGCAGTGCCCTTCGTGACTAGGAAAAAGCTTTTATTTAAATCAACTAATTAATAAATAAATATCTATTAAATATCTCAAAAGAGGTCAATCATTTGAACTGTTAGGGCACTACTCAGATTGTTTTGTCTTTGTAAAATTTTGTATATATTTACTTTAATAAAGCAGAATTAATTGATGGAATAAAAACATCATTTGCTGAAAATAGATTACTATTAGCTAATGACCAACTTGTTCTTAATGCTTGATTTATCATCGATAATGTTGCTGAACTTGTCAAATTCATTTTATTTCCATCAATATAAATAATAAATTTTTTATATGGAATATCTGTATAAATATTTGATAATAAAATTGAATTAAGTAATGGTTGCGTAACCATTAATGAAGATAAATCAGAACCGTTCAGATTAATTGTATAAGTTAAACGTGTTAATGTTTGACTAAAATACATAAAAAAATTTCTTAAAAATTGAATTAAAAAAAAACACACAGTTACTTATTAATAGTTAAATATGATGAATCAAAATAAAATTCCGGTGAAATATTAATTTGTAAATTATCTAGATAAATGAAAAAATTCATGAAAATTAGACTAAAACAAATAAACAAATGAATTTTACTATTTGATTGACGCCATGCATTTTGTAATGCAGAACGAATTAAATCATCCGATGGACGTGGTTCAATCAAATATAACCAATGCGCTTGATAAGGAACACAATGACTTGTCTACAAAAAAATGAAAATCTCTTTAAAAAGTATTTGCTCTTGAAAAACTTACGTTAACATATTTCCCATAGAGTTGTTCAAATGCAGAATTTGGTGGTGGAATTAAATTATTCACATCAACACTGGTTGATAGACTTTGAACAATATAATCAACTCTTATTGATTTTCGTCTAAGAACGAAAAGCGAGATCGATTTTGATTGTTTTTTTTTGCATAAAAATCTTTTTTTCTTACCCTCCAGAACAAATATACTGTATTTGATTTTGTAATTGAACAAATAAAACTCCTGGTTGAACACCTAAATTTTGGTTTGTCCAGATTTGTGCTAGACCATTAGCAAGTGCAATAGGTTGAGCAACAAAAACATTTCGTTCAAGATATATACTATAAATTCCACCTGTTCCATTAACAATATTTGTTACACCGGGATAATATAAGAAAAAATCACATCGAGTTAATATTTGTGTACCATTAATAAACTTTAAAAAAAAACAAGAAATTTTTTAATAAAAACAAAATATTTGAAATGTTCTTTTCTTACCACAAGATAAAAACGAGTTTGATTAGCATTTAAAGATTCTGCATAAACAATTTTTGCAATTCCATATTCTAAAAAAAACGAAATAAAATGAATGAACAATAGAAAAAAATGTTTACATACGTCGATTAAATGATGTTAAATAATTTTCAATATCCTGACGAATTAAAGTTGTTAATGGTAATGAAACATTAGCTATATATTGATGAGTATCACTACGTGCAACAGATGATTGTCCATTTGGATATAAATCATATTTAATTGGTTGCATTGTCGAAAAGATAGACTATTAAAGAAAATTTATTTCAATAAATAATAAAAAGCAACATGATACTTTTAATTGAACTTGTATTTGTTCTTGTGTAATGATTTGATTAGGTACAACCATATAATAAACTCTTGTTACTAATGACATATCGAAACCAAAGCGTGGTTCAATTAATATTGATGAAACTAAATTAGAAAAAAAAACATAAAATATATACACTAACAATGGAAAGATGAGTATTTCGAACTACTGAGTACTGCAAATCTTCATATCAAATTAAAGGTCTAACTGGTAAACTAACAAATTTAAAGTATATGTTGTTTATGATATCCAGAGAGTTAGATATTCGACTCTTAAGATATTTACACTATAAGCTATGTGCCTAAAATTAAAAATTTGAGCAGGATGCATCTTTCTCTATTTGTCATAGTTGAAAGAAGCTCATTAAGTTATGTTAGTTTCAATTAAAAAACAAAAACACTTTACTTGAATTACTGGCACATTAGATTAGAGCCCGTTGAGTCCAATATTTTTGGATACGAATCTGATTCGTACATCTAATTCCAATAAGATGTGTTAGTCTAAACTTGATAGTAGCTTCGAATTCTGATACTAACACACCCAGGGATGTGGCGACCACGGGGTGCAGGGGGGTGCGCACCCTCCCACTTTTTGAAAATTTTCAATTTTTCGCAGCAAAAATAGTCAATTTTTCTTCAAAAAAAGGTCATCAAATTCAAAAAGATAGGTTTGCACCCCCCCACTTTTGAGAAATCTATCCAGAAATCTTTTTCAGTTTCCAAAATTTTCAATGCACCCCCCCACTTTTTTTTCTTCGCCACATCCCTGAACACACCTTCCATATTTTTCAGACAATATTAATTAAGTCATAAGTGGCTGTTACTTTTAGAGCACGGCCAATTGATCGAATCAATTCCAAGCTCAGACACGGAACCAACTCAACGAGCTCTATATTACATAAACTCTAAATACCTTACAATTCGAATATCTCGGTGAATGCAATTCATAAACGCTCATATTTAAAATTAGTTAGTTCGCTAGTGAAACCTGTAATTTGACATGAATAAGTTCGATATTCTTGAGTTCCAATACGCAAAAGCAAGTATTAAAGACTATATTTTATTTATATATTTGTTTAAAAAAAAAACTTTTATTTTATTTTCTCTATTTACCTGTACTACTAATTCCTGTTCTTTGTAATGCAGATGTAATTAATGTTTGAAAATTATCTTGATCAAGATCAGCTTTTAAATAATTTCCTCTTAGATCAATAAATGATGCTGCATAACTAAAAGGTATTTGTGCAACATAATTATTCGGTGCATCACATAAACCATTTAACGGTTGAAGTAAACTTGGATTAAAACATGCACTTGGAATAGTATAACCACTTGATGTTATCACAATATAAGTTATTGTTGTGTAATACTGACTAAAAAGAGCAGAAAATTCGAATAAATAAGGAAAAGGAATAAAAAGCAAATTTTTGCCTGTTACCTTATTGAATAGACAAGATACTGTTGTAATTGTACAATATAAACATTTGCATTAGTTAAGCCTTGCCTAATTGGATTTTGCCAATAATCAATTAATGCTGTTTGTGCTAATGTTTGACTAATTTTGCCAGTAAATGTTACCTTTTGTACATCACGTTGTTTAACAACATTAGCTGGTATTACATTTGATACATAAGTCAATGGGGTTTGTATATAGAAAGGACTAATAAATTGTGATGGTGATAAAACTAAAGATGATAAATATCTTCCATCAAGTTCTTGATCATTATAAAATAAAAATGCATAAACTCGTTGTATTGTTATTAATGAACTTATATTTAAATATGAATCTTCGAGTAAAATTTTTACAATATTACTTGTTATAGAACCTTAAATAGAAAAATAAATAATTTTTTCATTAAAATGATTAATCGTTCTTATTTCTTTTTAGTGTTTTCTTTTTCATTACTTTGTTGATTATATAATGTTAAAATTAATCTTTGTAAAAAATCTCGATCATTTGTTGTTAATGGATTTAAATAAAAATACGAATAAGCTTTTGATAAAAGATAAACACGAGCTGTTAATTGCTGCATTTGAACAGATATTAAGATTTGATATAATTGATTATTTAATTGTAATGAACTATCAAGCCATGTTCCATTTTGATGTTGAATATATATATTTGGTAATCGATAAATTTGTCTAAAACAAAATAATTCATTTACAAGAAAATAATTACAATAAATGTTACCCAAGATTATCAACTGCTTCTTCAACACCGAATATTGTCATATTAATAGTGTAAATTCCTGCTTGTTGTAATGCATTATTTAATTGTCGTTGAAGTCTAAATACAAACAAAAAATGAATATTAAAACTAAAACCAAAAATTTATTATATGAATAATGGTACAGCACGGAAAAGAAGATTAAAGGTATTTGCATTTATTGATTGAAAACATTGAACAATAGGTAGCTTTTTATTGATTTCGTTAAAACATACGCAAATATATGCCTGACACTTTTTTGAAAATTTACAGACATTGGTCTCAAGTTTGGTAGACTTACTACACATAGGAATGTACAGTTTCAGTTTACTGATCATCGACATCACTAACTCAGAGTAGTTAGTGCAAGCTAGTTATATAGAAACAATGGTACCAGTGTTAGCTAAGTACTGGGACATGCCGATACAAGAAGGGCATATTTTTATAGAGTTGATTTCTCAATGTTGCAGTAGTAAATACGGATATCAGTTTATTCAAATGCTTCAATGAACTCTACCAGTCATTCATTGTCAGTATTTCAGTATTTAATCCAACACGACAAATCTCTAATTGGACATACTTAGAGACTGCATAGGCAGATGGTGTACGCCATCCATCTTCCTTCTACGATAATTGAAAATTAGTTATTATTACCCAATACTTGTATATATTCACTGACAACCTTATCATCACTTACATTTGTGGTATCGGACATGGAACATAAAAATTTTGAATACTGTTTTGTATTGGAACGAATTGTGTTTGATTTGAACATAATAATTGATTATTAGTTTGTGTTATTGTTGCAATTAATACTGGATTTGATGCTAAATTACTACCGATCGTTTGGTTATATGTCATACCATTAATTGTTATTAAGAAATAGGCAATATTTGCTGGTTGTCTAATTTAGATAAAAATCATATGTAAACTTAATTGAAAAATGCAATAAAAAATTACCCTGTAGATGTAACACCTTGTTGAACACCTTTAAGCATTACAGTTACACTTAATTGTCCTTTGAAAAAGAAATTAATTATTTTAATTTCAGGGTATTCTTCCCTTTTTTCGGCTATTTCCGATCCTTGAAAATGGTATAGCTGATCTTTCTGACGTTTTTACAGCAGATTGAGCGCCAGAAAATAAGGAGACACGTGGTTGAGAAAAAAAAATTTTAAACAGCATTTTTCGGGAAAACTCTGGCTTTTCAAAGGATCATATCAGGCTTGTATATAACCTTTCTCTAATCTGGTCCGATTGAGCTTAATATTCTTTTTTGGATACTTTAGACTATATTTCAGAGGCTTTTTAAAGAATCTCGCTTTCTTTTCCTTCTTTTGCATGAGAGAACTACATAAAGGTTTCGGGTTCAACACTGTGACGCTAGCATCCATGGCTTAATAAATCCGAATAGAAAGGTCAAAAACGAAAACAGTTGATTTCACTTCTGGAAAATACTTTCAACTATCTGTAGTAATAATTTCAGTTCAATTGAACAAAGCTAATTGAAAGTTGTAACTTGACCGTATGCGATTGTATGGAATACTTTGATTAAAATTTTTTCCTCGAAACCATTTCTTCTTAGTTTATGCACTGTATCTGTTGTAAAAAGTTGGAGCAGTTCGCTTGTATCCTCGTCGAAAATCAAAAGTAGTCGAAAAAATGAGGGAATAGTACTCTTAAATCGAAAAAGTAACAGTTTTACCTGTCGCTGCTGAAACTGCGTTTGCAATTAAATTTGTCCATAATGAAATTTCATTTAATGGAATGCATAATTTTAATGGTAAAAGAATATTTAAAGATATATAAGGTATACATTGTTGATAAATTCGATAATTTATTGTATTAAGTATATCATTAATTGATGCCAGTGGTTCAATATTTGATCCGAGTACAATTGATGATTGACTTATTATTATAAATCGTATTCGAGTCATTAAATCACCAGATATTGTTACATAATGTTCAACATTTAATGGTATTGCAGTGTAAGTTTCTATAAAAGAGTTAGCTATTCAAATGAAAAATTTATGTTTTTTTTTAACATACGAGTTGATAAAATTGTTATTCGATGCGATGTATAATATAAAGAAATTGTTTGCATTAATAATTGAATATTTCCATCAGTTATTGAAGAAAAATAACCACAAATATCAATGATATATGGATCAACAGGAGTCGACGGACTACCAATGGCACCACACATAGCTGAATATTGAGCAGCCGTTGGTTGTTGCATAAGAATATTTGATGGAATTGTTGAAAAAATTGTATAATTAAAATTATAAAAAATAACTTGAGTTCTAAATAAAATAACGTAAAAAAAAAGAAGGATGAGTTTTGACAAAGCTTCTTAACTGGTTTTGAAATCCATATTGTTGTGATGTTAGATCGACTGAACGTGTTTGGTTATTCAATAAAAATCGTGTTGCAGATATTTTACAAAGTGTCGAATAAGTTTCTGACGATGAACTTGATAGTAAACGTCGATTAGATAATTCTGCAAATGAATAATGAAGAGATTGACCACCTAAATAAAAAAAAAACCAAAGTATTTTTTGAAATTTTTTAGAATTTGTTACCTAAAGGATTTATTCCATATTGTGTTAGAATTGATGAATCAATATCAATGCGAGTATTATTATTTGATAATAACCACTGCCATCGATTTAATATTGAATTAAATATTCCACTAGTCCAAAAGTCTTAAAAAAAAAACAGATTTTTTAAATTTTTTATTAAAATACAAAATTAATACAAAAAAAAACAAACAAACCTCGAGTTAAACCTCGAGCAAATAAAGCTGGAATTAATTGTTGTTGTATTTCATCAATAGATTGAAACCAAACAAGTTGTGCTGATTTATCACTACAATCTTGTATAGCATTCAATTGAGTAACAAGTGATGATTGTTGATTTATTTGATAACAATATGGATAAAATGATGTTGGATTTACAAGTGTAAATGGAGAATTACATGCTAAAATAGTAATATAGAATGGAAAACATCTATTCATATAATGATTATTTATTTTATATGAAAGCATTTAGATAGAATATCATTTTCAATAAAGACTTTGCATATTAATCATGGCTGTTAATAAATATATCCATTCAGGCACGAAAAGTTTTCTTTCAATCACTGCGCGAGTTTTTAGTCGCAACGGACGTCTTCGATAGTTAACTGCACTCTTAAATAACTAATGAGCAAATTATTTGAATGGATCTATTGTTTTTATTTTAGCGAAAGCCAATCAATGAGAAGTTATCAATCATGCTGATTAGAAATATAAGAATGAGAAACTTCGTTTGGCTGATTTTCTAGACTAACAAACTTTTCTACAAAATTTTCTTTCGCTATGTATATATATGAGTTCTACATAAAATAATAGGAACTTTTATGCTTTCACATTCAGACGTAGTTCGACATGTATCCATAGGGTACTGTGTGCAAATCTCAATACCACCAGTCGTAGAATGACCCTGGACAAGTTACTAACGACTATTTATTTCTGATCACCCGTCCGATAGCATGTTGCCTACGTTGTAACATGCATCCACTCTTGTAATTAGTTAGTATGTATGGATAGCTCAAGCAATTGACTGAAATAACTCTTCGTCGGACCGACCTTCTATCCAGAGTTTCAAGTAATATTAGTTCTAGGGAAGATATTAGGATATTGAATCTATCGCTAGGCACCATTCTATATTGTAAGATAGCAAATTTAAATATTGCCTTGTCTTTGTTACACAAAAATATAAATGGTAATATTTTTCTCCAACAAAAATTGATTTGAAACATAAAAAAAGTATTGTTTTGTAGGCAATTAGATATGCTCCATAACCTAGTCGCTCCAATAAAAGATTAAGAGAATATTTTGTTAATCTGAAAAAACCAACCTAAAAGGACTTCTTATATTTATATTCAGAATCAACGTGATTCCTAACTTACAATCGAGTAATTTTTAATAGAAAAAAAAAGACAATTTATCAAATGAAACAGAATGAAGTATTCATTTATGTAGAAAATTTAATTTCCAATATAATGAGTTCTTCTCATATTAGTTTATGTTTATAATGATGTAAGAAACTCAAAATGTTAAAAATGTTATATCATTAGTTTATCTTTACCGAGTAGAACATTCAAACTATTCCAAACTTGATCAATACATTGTAAAATAATTTCCCACGATGAACCTGAAAAACATATTTTACAAAAATATTTACTTCAAAGTTTTTTTTTTTTTGTTTATTATAAATACCTCCTGGTCGATCAATAGGAATAATAATTTGTCCCGGATAAGTTCTATTAACTGGTATTATTGGTAATTGACAAAGATTTCCAGTAAATGTTGATGAACATAAACATGTACATTGGCATGTTGTGATATTCACAATACGTGTACTATTATTTTGACATAATGTTAATGAACATATATCAGATGGAGTTTCACATCGAGATCCTTTATTAATATTAATCTTAGTTTTTAGAAATAAAAAAGAAACAAATTTTAAAATTTCTCACCAGTAAATCCACATGGACATTGACAACGTAGACTATTATTTTGAATAAGACAAGTACCACCATTAAAACAACTACTTGTTACACAAAGTGGAATATTACAATTGGAATCTAAAATAAAAGAATACTTAATATTTAAAACAAAAAAGAAAAATGAAGATTTTCAATAACGCCTTAGAAGAATAATTTCATTACCTGTAAATGTTGCTGAACATAAACAAGTATATAATCCATTGCCTAAATTTATACAAGTTCCACCATTAAGACCTAAAATAATTAAATTAATCCATTAAAAATTTCATTATTCTTTTATATTTACATGGATTTGAAGTACAAACATCAAATGGAATTTCACATGTATTACCTAAATAAATAAACAAGATAAATAATTAAGTTAAAAGTAATTTCTTACCAGTAAAACCAGGTTCACACACACATTGATATGAAGTTGAATTTTTATTTTGACATGTACCTCGTCTACATGGATTTGAACCACAAGGAGAAAGAATTTCACAACTAAACAAAATAATTTAATTATAATAGAAATCTATGCGTAAATTTGCATAAATATTTGATTTCCATTTACGAGAGAACGTCTTCAGCCAACCTTTTCAATTTCAATGATTTTTTGCTTGCAGATACTATCTAGTGCTCGAATAAAAATCTACACATGATTTGGATTCCTATTGAGATTTGACTAATAATTTATCGTATTTTTTTTTCTAGAGACCCAAGATTTTCAGAAAACTCATATTTTTAAAATTTGTTCTGAAATGTTGTGCTCATGGAAAACCCAACTAGACCAGCTTCCATAAAAAACAATCACAAGTTTTGAATAAATTTTCTTCGAGATATAAATCTTTCAAAGATGCATCTTGTATACACTGTTCATCAAAAAAGGATCTAACTCTTGAAAGTCTCATGTGAATTTTTTTAATGGAAACTAGTCTAGTTGAGTTCTCTATATGCAGAAAGTTTGAGATCAACGCTCAAAAATATGAGTTTTCCGAAAATCTGGACTCTCTATAAAAACAACAATTTAATAGCTTAGTCGAATACCAATAGGAACCCAAATTCTTTTAGGACTTTTATTGGAGTACTCTGCAATATTCATAAGCAAAGAAAAATTATTGAAATTGAAAGAAGGCACCTGAAGAGAGTCCCTCACGACGTTCTGGGTATACGATCACAAGGTGTTTATCAATAATGTCTCATAATCATATATGAACTGCTTATAGCATTTCTGGAGGATTTAAGTAAAAGGATGTTGAATAAATGTGTCCCAAATTAGATAGAGCAAAACAATTTTCATCTGCTTAGCAAGACCAGATACATTGTGTTTCAGATTTAAATCTCGTAGGGATCGTGATAACAGCTTTTGTAAATTAATTTTACAAACTTTTAATATAATGAAAACTTTAACTTATGATGATTCTTAATTTTTCAAGATCTGATTAAAAAAAATTCTTTAATTATCGAAAGTATCAAGAAAAATAAGATTTTTTGTTTTTCTTTTACTTACTAAACACCATAACGTTCAGGTGGGCATTGACAAATCTGTACACCCGTCAAGGGATTAACAACACAAGTTGAATTTCCTTGACAAGGACTATTCGAACAAATAAGTATTTGTATAGAACATTGTAAACCTGTATATAATGGTGGACATATACATGTATAATTTGTTAATGATAATGTTAAACAAGTTGCATTATTTAAACATGGATTCGAAGAACATGGTAATAATGGTATATCACAATTAATACCTGTCATTGATGATGGACATAAACATTGATATGCACCGTTTGGAAGACTTATACAATTTCCTGTTCGACATGGATTCGATGAACATCCAAGAAATAAGATTTCACAACGAGAACCTGAAATACAAAATTAATTAAGTTTTTTTAAATATTTATTTTCAGTTATATTTACCGGTATATAATAATGGACAAATACATTGCCAATATGGATAATTTCCTGTTGACATACAAGTACCACCATTGATGCAAGGCATTGATCGACATGGATCATAAATTTCACAATTTGTTCCGTAAAAACCCGAATTACAAAAACATAAATATGATCCATAAGAATTTAGACATCTTCCACCGTTTGCACAAATACCTGGAATTGTTATACATTCATTTATATCAACACATCTACAAATAAACAAACAAAAAAAATTAAATATAATTAATTTAATTAAAATTTATTTTGAAATTCAACATACACTCCCATTATATATTGAAATCCAACTGGACAATTACATGTATAAGAATAATTTCCATTAGCAATACATGTACCAATTAAACATGGATTTGCTTGACAAACATTTATTTGACATAATGCACCATAATATGAATATGGACATTGACATTGACAACTTATTGGAGATGTAATTATTGATGTACCAATTGCACATGAATAAGATGAACAAGGATTAATTTGTATTTCACAATAACTTCCACTATAACCTGCTGGACAAGCACATGAATATGTTAAAGGACCAGTTCGTATACATGTACCACTATTTCTACATGGATATGATATACATGGATCATATGGTATTGAACATGTCATACCAGTAAAACCAGGTGAACACACACATGTATAATTATAGTAAATAGGTGATGATATACATTGTGATAATGGTCCACGACATGGACAACTTGAACAAGGATCACATGCTAACTGACAATTAACACCATAAAATGGCCATGGACATTGACATATATAGTAATTCGATGTTGGTTCTATGCATGTACCACCATTTAAACATGGACGACTTGAGCATACATGAAGACTTATTTCACAATTTATACCCGTAAATCCACTAGGACATACACATATATATGATGATGGATTTGGTGAAAAACATGTGCCTAAATTTTGACATGGTTGTGATGTACATGGTGCATATGGATATTGACATTGAAGACCAGTAAATAATGGTAAACATTTACATACAGCACTTGGCGGTGTTGTTGGAAGATTTATACATGTACCATTATTTAAACATATTAATGATGTACATTGATTAATTAATATTTCACAATTAATACCAGCATAACCAGGTAAACAAACACATTGATATGTATTAAGTCCTTGCACACAGAGTCCATTATTTTGACAAGGTTTTGAAATACATGTATTGATTAATATAGAACAATTTTGACCAGTTGCACCAGGTAAACATATACAACGATAACCATATATTACATCTAATATACATTGACCATAAACACATGGTGATGGTAAGCATAAGTTTATTGATGTTTCACATCGTTGTCCAGTATAGCCTTGATAACAATCACATATATAACTATTTGTTTGATCTATTATTCGACATTGTCCATATAAACAAGGACATGATGAACATATACCATCGGATAATCGTGTATCACAACGAAGTCCACTATAATCATTTGGACACATACAATTAGCTAAACCTGGTCCAAGATAATTACATGTTCCACGAATACAATACGAAAAATTTCCTATTGTTGTTTGACATAAATTAATTGGTGTTTGACATAAATCTCCTGTATAACCACTTGAACAAACACATGTACAATTGGTTGGACTTGTTATGACTGGTATACCGATTCCACATTTTAATGATGAACAATTATTAATTAATGTTTGACAAACAACACCTGTGTACATTGATGGACAAAGACAAATAAATGATGATGTTTGTGAAATACAAGTTCCTTGATTTTGACATGGATTTGATGAACACCAATTTATATTAAATTCACAACGAAGACCACCATAACCAATTGGACAAAAACATTGATAACCAAGTCCATTGTTTAAAGTTGAACATGTACCATTATTTAAACACGGTTTTGATAAACATGGTTGAATTACATTTGTACAATTGACACCATCAAAACCTTCTCTACATATGCATTGATAACCATTTAATGTTTCTATACAAATACCATTATTTTGACATGGCATTTGTGTACAAAATGAATCTCTTAATTGACAAAAAGTTCCATGATAAGATTCTGGACATGAACAATTAAGTAAACCTGGACCAATATCATAACATATTCCACCATTCAAACATGGAGATGATTGACATGCTTGAATACGTATAGCACATGTTGTACCTTGAAAACCATATGAACATTGACATACATATGAATTTATTTGATTTATACATGTACCATTATTCAAACATGGATTTGATGAACAATAATTTATTATTGAATCACATCTTTGACCAGTATAACCCGGAAAACAATAACATTGATATGAATTAACTAATGGTATACATGTTCCATTTACACATGGTGTACTTAAACAATTATTTATTTGATTTTGACAAGCAATACCAGTATAACCAGATAAACATGAACAAATACCTGTTGTTGAACTTGTTCGTATACATGTACCATTATTTAAACAAATAACAGATAAACATGGATCAAGCATTATTTCACAATTAATACCAGAATAACCTTTTATGATAAAAAAACGAAAAACAAAAACAAAATTCAATAGAAATAAGTGATTTTTTTTCGTTTACCAGTTGGACAAAGACATCGATAATAATTCAATGATGGTTGTAAACAAATACCAGCATTTTGGCAGGGGGATGATGCACATTCATTTATATCTATTTCACAACGATTACCAGTTAAACCAGCTTGACATGTACATTGATAACCAGTACTAGTTATAATGCATGTAGCATTATTAAGACAAGGTCCAGAATTACATTGATAACCACCATATTGACATTGTATACCGGAATATCCATTTGGACAAGTACAATTAAAAGCATTTATCATATCAATACATGATCCATTATTTAAACATGGCAAACTTCTACATTCATTTATATCTGTTTGACAATTAAAATCAGTATAACCAGGTAAACATAAACAATAATAAAATCCTGGTACTATTTGTTGACATGTACCAAAACGACATGGATTTGATGCACATGCATTTATTGTTAATTCACATCGTGGACCTGTATAACCATATGAGCATGAACATTGAAAACCAACACTTGAAACAATTGTACATGTACCATTATTTCTACAAAACAAAAGAATATTTAATACAATTACAAAAAATCTATTCAAAACATATTAACTTACAAACAAGGACTACTTGAACATGGTTGAGTTACTATTTGTTCACAATTAGTTCCTTGAAAGCCATATGGACATTGACATTGATATGCATTTATTAATGATATGCAAACAGCATTATTTAAACAAGGAGCACTTGCACAAGCATTAACGTCATTCTAAATACAAAACTAATCATGATTAAAATCTATAGAGAATTTCATAAGCTATATTTTAGAGTTTCTTAATTTTTGAGCATTGTGTGCAGCTATATGTGAAGTTAAAAAGATGAAAATTAAATGAGTTTACTTAAGATTTAGGTGAATTTTAATCATTATATATTTACATAATTCTAAGGAGTCTTAACCATAGAAGATATATTAAAATGGACAAGTCTTACTTCTTCACTTTTATCTCCTTATGCACGTATATGTTTCAATAGTGTATGTTCATTGAAAATGAATCTCTCGAATCAAAACACTATTTCATCGTTATAGTTTGTGTAAATAATCAAAAGATATTTTAAGATGTCTAATACAATTTTGAAGTGAAAATAATATTTCTTTAATTGAGTTTTGAATATTTTTGGAAGACTACAAACTTCAAAAGTGACATTTGATTATCAAATAACCAGCTATATTTTGTGGTATTTACATACATTTTCGAAGAAAATAATGAGTGTTGGTTTTAAAACCAAGGATAGAAGCAAATAAAGAAAAGAGTATAAAAATACGATACTAATATTTACACTACGTAGTAATAGTGTAGTAATCTTTACCTTTTCTTTTATCGTAGTTAGTGTTTTGGCATCTATTTGTAACTGTTTCAATCCGTAACAAGTATCGTTATAGTCATGTATTACTTCATCTATGTCGAATTATATCTTCATCACTCTTGGATCAGAAACTATGAACATTTTATGTTAACATTAAGCAACCGTTTATATCTCATGAATTATTCAAGAAAAGATTCGATCGAGCACTGGTATTTCATGGATTAAAAACTTGAAAACCTATTAGAAAAAAAAAATGAGAGCACATTTAACTTACATCACATAAAACTCCATTACTTCCCGCATAACAAGTACATATAAATCCATTAACTTTATCAATACATTGTCCACGACGACATGGTTGTGTTATACAATCATCAATATTTATTTCACACATATCACCTGTAAAACCTGGTAAACATTGACATGTATAACCATGAGGTTCTATATCATAATTAACTGCACAGCTTGCATTATTTGCGCATGTTACTGGATTCAAACACGGATTTATTTGTTCGGAACAAGTTAATCCAGAAAACCATGGTGGACATAAACAAATAAAATGATCTATTCCATCAATACATGTAGCATTTGACATACAAGGATTTGATGCACATTTATTTATTTGAATTTCACAATGAGTACCTGTATATGATGATGATGAACATATACAATCATATCCATTTAATTTATTTTGACATATACCATTAATACAAGGTGAACTTAAACAATAATCAATTAACATATGACAATTTGATCCTGTATATTCAGGTGAACATTGACATGTATAATTCCATATTTGATCTAAACATGTTCCATTATTTAAACATGGATTTGATAAACATTCATTGGATTGATTTTCACAATTTAAACCTATATAATCATCAAGACAAATACAACGATAACCATTTAATAATGATACACATAAACCATTATGTAAACATGGACTACTTAAACAATAATTTATTAACGATGAACATGTTGTTCCCTAAAAAAACAAAACACAATTTCAAAAAAAAAAGATTTTTTTTTGTTCTGTTTTTTACATTATATCCTTGTGGACAATCACATCTATAACTATCGATTAATGTTCGACATATTCCACCATTTAAACATGGATTTGATTGGCATTGATCAATTTGAATTTCACAATAAAAACCCGTAAAACCTAGTGAATTATTTCAAGTATTAGCAAAATATGTTTTGAGCACAGTTTTACTTAGAACTTATACTAGTTGACAGAGCTTGCGAATCTGAGTCATTCCGAAAAACAAATATCAAGAAAATAAAAAGCTAAATTTTTCCGTAGAGAAATGAAATTGAACGTAGTTTAGTTACATATTTAGAATTAACTAGAACCGGTAAGTATTTATCATAATTTTATCTAACGTAATGTTTCTGAACATTTATTTGTTTGAGCTCTTGACTCAGACTAGTTCATGAAGAAAAGTTCCTAACTATCTGATCACTTTTTTCTCCAAACTTAGTGGGTTATAGATAATCGACCTTGACGATTTCGAATATCAAAACGAGATTGACAGCTAGAATTCCAAAGATCTATTATCTGAAAAAACAGTTTTTCCTAGTGAAAAACTTTTTTGATCTGTTCAGATTGTAGAGTATGTCGAGTCGACTAAAAGACACTATTTTGCTGTTGGGGAATCGTTAGCATGTGGGTGTCAAATGAGTGCTTGGTGAAAAAAACGATTAGATAGTTAGGAGCTTTCGCTCGTTATAGAAAACCACTCTAAAAAGATTTAGCTTATTATCTTCTTGATATTTTTCCAGAATAAAATTCAGTAAACTGAGAAACTCAAACTCTATGAACCAATTATTTGGTTAAAAAATTTTAAAAAGGTATTTTTTTTGCAGCCTGATCCATTCTACCTGGAATACAAATACATGAAAAATTATTTAAATGATCAATGCATCGTCCAGAATTTAAACATGGATTCACTGGTTCACATTCATTTCTTTCAATTTCACATCGTTCACCTAAAAAGAAAAAGATATATTCAAATACTTAAGTCATCGAAAACTTTTTTATCTTACCCATAAAACCATTCGGACAAAGACATACATATTGATTAATAAGTGACTGGCATGTTCCATTATTTTGACAAGTTTGAGATTGACATTGATCAATTATTGTTTCACAAAATAAACCAGTAATTCCATTCGGACAAGTACATTGTGGACCTAATTCTGTATTCGAACATATTCCACCATTTTGACACTAATCAAAGTTGGAAAAAAGGACACATATTTTAAAAGTAATCCTTAAAAAAAAACATAAATTATTTTTACTGGTTGTGATTGACAATAGTTAATAATCAATTCACAATTATCACCATTATATCCACTAGTACATAAACACATGAATTTAGTTCCATTTTTAATACATCGTCCATCATTAAAACATTCAATACCAGTACATTGTTCTTGTAAACGTGCACAATTTGTTCCACTATAAACGGATGGACATATGCATTGATAGCCATTTATTAAATCTACACAAATACCACCATTTAAACACTAAACAAATATTCAAATCTTAATAATATCTTTGTTTTCTTCAAATTGAAAATTCTTACCGGCTGTGATAAACATTCATTCATATTAATTTCACAATAACGACCTGTATAACCTGACTTACACAAACAAGTAAATGTTGTTGCTGTTGTTGATATACATTGTTGTACACCTTCACTTGAACATGGATTTGTTAAACAATAATTGATTATTTGTGTACATTGTAAACCTGTATAACCTGGTGCACAACAACAACTATAACTTGTTATTAAATTTGTACATGTTCCATATAAACCACATGGCAATGATGAACAATGATCAATAGGTATATCGCAATTTTGACCTGTATAACCGCTAGTACATTGACATATATAAGGTGGCATTATTGTTGAATTCATAATACAAGTACCATGAATACAAGGATAATTCGCACATGGATTTATAATTTGTTCACAGCGTGTGCCGGTATATAATGGTGGACAAATACAAATATAAGTTGCACTTGCATTTGTATATGAATCTCGACAAGTACCACCATTTAAACAGGGTAGACTAATACATTGACTAATTATTGTTTCACATCTTACACCTGTATAACCAGATGGACATAAACATAAGAAACTATTAATTTGATCAATACATGTTCCATTATGATAACAAGAAGTGAGTTGACAATCATCAATATTAAGCTAAAAATAATTTTTATCTTTTTCTTTTTCTTTGTTTAATGAAACTTCTTACTTCACAATGAACACCAGTAAAACCAGATTGACAACGACATGTTAGTATTCCACCATAATCATATATACAAACACCGTTATTCTGACATGGGAAACTTGCACATAAATCAATAGGTGTATAACAATTCAAACCAGTTAACCATATTGGACAAAGACATTGATATGAACCGATTGTATTTATACATGTTGCATTTGGATGACAAATTAATGCTGATGTACATTCATTTATATCTGTTTCACAAAATACTCCTGTCCAGCCGGCAGGACATAAACATGAAACTGATACAACATTATTTACACATGTGCCTTGAAAAATAAAATACAAGAAATTAATATTTTTTTTTCTTTTTGTGATCATAATGAATGTCTCATAAAAGCTAAGAATGAATTATCAATGATATTTTTCATACTTTTCTTCGTTTGGACAACTCGTATTTTCGAGTATTGATCTGAAACTTTGTGTATATAGAGAACTCAAATAAATTATTTTCCATTAAAAATATTCACAAGTTTTGAACAAAATCTTTTCGCTCAGGTATAATAACAAATTCTATCTTAAATGTGCATCCGTAAGGAGTAGAGAAAAGATTTCTTTATGCTTTCTATTGAATTCAAAATGTCTCCAAAAAACAAAACAAACAACATGAAGAACTAGTGTTGCATGATTCGTAGCATAATTGTTTTATTATATGTAGAGGACTAATGGATGCGATACTCAATATGATGATGCATAGAGAGAATTGAAAATGTGTGACATGTACTGAAAGAAAACGTTCATGAAAAAGTGTTTGATACATTATCATCACTCGTTTAGAAAAATAATATGAAAAAGAATGAAATTCAATATTTGATTACTCATTTCAGTACTACTAGTTTAGGATAGAAACTTAAAGATCCTGATTTCATAGCTATGACACACTTTATTGATATTTACCATTATTTCGACAAGGAGTACTCGAACATGGATTCATTGATATTTGACAATTAGTACCAGTATAACCAGTTAAACAAATACAACGATATTCATTAATACCATCAATACATACGCCTGCATTTAAACATGGATTTGATAAACATTCATTAATACTATTTTTACATTGAATTCCAGTCCAACCAGGTTCACATACACATAGCCATGTTGATGATGATGCAACACATGTACCAAATGAACATGGTCTACTATCACATGGATTTAATACTGTTTCACAACGATTTCCTGCCAATACGAAAAAAATAAAAATAATTGTTTTTTCTAACATGCATTTCGCATTCAGTGTTTTATGCAGAATTTCTCTTTCGGAAAGGTAAATTCGATCTTTCGAAAGATGTTGCCTTCTCAATTCTTGCACTGGATAACAAAAGAAAAAAACACTACTCTCATTATTTACCTGTATGACCCGGTTGACATGTACAACTATAACCATAAATTGTACTATTTGTTATTATTTGACATGATATAGAATTTGATGCAACGCATGGATTACTTGAACATGGATCAATTGGAATACTACAATCACTTCCTTGATAAAGTCCATTACATTGACAACTATAACCATTTATTGTATTCACACATGTACCACTATTTTTACATAAAGAAGGTACTAATGAACAAGAATTCATTGTTTGTTCACAAATTGAACCTATTATCAAAAACAAAAGTTAATTTACTTTTTGTTTTTATTTATAAAATAATGTTATCTAACCTGTAAAACCTGCTCGACAGTAACATGTATATGTTAAATTATTATTATTAATACAATTTAATGTATTATTTGCAATACATGGTTGAGAAAGACATGGATTAATAGCAATTGAACAAGTTGGACCTGTATAAATAGCTGAACAAATACAGGAAAAACCTGTTATCGTATTAATACAAACACCCTTATTCACACAGGGTTGAGAGCTACAATAATTTATTTGTATGTCACAAAATTGACCTGTATAACCTTTAAAAAAAAATTAAATTAATTAAAACAAAAAACAACAAAGAAAGAATATTATTATTTTCTTGTATAAAAATATACCTGTAGGACATATACAATAAAATGTTATATTTCCTAATAATTGACATTGAGCGTTATTTCGACAAGGTGAATAATCACAAGGATTAAGAGTTATTTCACATAATGAACCTGTATAATAAGGTGAACATTGACATGTATATCCAGTAGACGTTGATGAACATAAACCATTATGTTGACAAGGATTAATTGCACATGGATCAATAGGTGTTTCACATAAATGACCTATATTATTAATAAATTGAAACAATTTTTCAATTTTTTTGTTTTTTAATTAAACTTACCAGTATAAGTTGATGGACAACAACATGTACCATTAAAACAAGTACCATCATTAAGACAACCGGTTGAAACAGGACATTCAGGATCAAGATAAGATGAAAGATTTTTTGTTAGACATGTACTTATTGGACTCCAACCAGGTGAACATACTTTTCCACCTTCAGAATTACAAGTAAAATGACCTTCGGAACATGAATTTGGTGCATGACATTGTATAGTACAATTAGGACCATAGAATGTAGGTGGACATTGTTGCCTTTCTTGACAATATAATCCTGTATATCTAGATTTTATGTTGAAACAAAAAAAAAACGTTCCATCGTTTTAACTTGATTGTACTAAACATAAAATGCTATCCCTAATGTGAACGTACTGAGTTCAAAATACCCGTGTACTAAATCAGTGGTTTGCAGGGTACTCTGTTCCCATCATGTAACAGAATATTGGTTCGTTATTCTGCTGAAAATTGTCTTAGTACATGGATATTTACTAGGTACCTGTCTAGTTTCCTATAGCATACTATAAAAAAATCTTTCAACAAGTTAGTCGATTAAATATTTAGAAAATAACTCATAAAATCCCTTAACGTTGTATCACGAACTGAGTACATTCGTTAGGGATGAAAATAGAAAAAAAAACAATGCCAAGTAAAGTTTTGATAAATTATAAAATAATATTAATGATTATCAACGAGAAAATAAAAATCTATATTGAATAAATGTCAGATCTGTTCAGTATTTAGGAAATAAAAAATTAATAAACTTATGACGATCAAAAAAGTTATAATTAAATTTATGACACATGATTTTTGAGAAAAGCTAAATATTTTCCTTTCATTACTTGACATTTTTTTTTTTTTGTCAATATCTTCTACATTTTTAGATCATCTCCATTACTTACCCAGTTGCACAACTACATACATAATAATATGAACGTGAAAGTGGATCATATGCTGGATTACATAAGCCACCATTTAAACAAGTTGAATTTATGATACACGTTGAAAGATATTGACAATTAAGACCAGTGAATCCTTAAATTTTAAATACAAAAAAATTTCCTGCAAATAACACCAAAATTAACTAACCAAGTGGACAACAACATGTCGGTTGATTTGTATTATTAAATGCTTGACAAAAACCATCATTATTACAAGTCAATGCTTTAAATAAAACAAGATCATTTTTTTTTATTTTGATTTATATTTAACTTTACCATTCGATGAACAAATTGGTTGAACATAAGATTTATTTCGAAATCCACATTCAACTCCATACCAACCTGGTGAACAAACTTTTGTACCTGTTATTGTATCACATACATATGAACTTGTACAATCATCATTTGAAATACATCGAACAGAACATTGTTGTCCATAATATGTCACTTGACAATAAGTCATGAAGCCAACACTTAATCTAATTTTAGATGAATAAAATAATAGAAAGAAAACATACAAAATTCTACTCACTGATTCATATTTGTTGTATTTCTTGATACATCAAGAAGGGTTTGCCTTTGAAATATCCCAGATGATGCTGATGGATAAGATGAATCGATCCGAAACGTTGCAATAAAACGATTTAACAATGTATTTTGATTAATAAATGTAAGATTTCCAGTATTCATATAATCATAAAATATAAAGATTTTAATATTGATAGAATTCTAATAAATATTCAAAATGATTAAAAATATATTCAACAAAAAAAAGCAAGAAATTCGTAACTCACATCAGATATTAATGCTAATGGAAATTGAAGAGGTAAAAATGTCGCTGCATTTGATATTAAATGAAAATTGAATGAACCAGTATTATTTATTGTTACTCGAAATGATTTAGAACCTAATGGACAATAAGTCCAATTTGTTTGTAATCCACTAAAATAATAAATCAAGTGTATTTCATTTTTAGTTTAATTAATAAATAATTTCAAATAATAAGAAAATGATTCTTTTTTTCATATTTCTAGAACTTTTTCTCAAAAAAAAAGAAAGCAAAATATCGATAAGATATTATATCACGATTATATGTATATATAAATGTTTTTTGATTAGAAATGATTTTTCAATTTATTTATAAAGTTCTTTTATGGTTTTACGTCAGTGGTTCGTATCGAATTGACAAGAATTTTCTTTTCTATAATTACTAATCATTTTTTGTAAAACAAAAAAAAGGCAAAAGAACTTATGTCGACTATACTTATATATATTCAATTTGTCTTTTTTTCTTGAGAATTATAAAACAAAATCAATCAATAAGGATTCTAGAACATTGAATGTTTTTTTTTCTGGTGCTTCATCACTTTTCATTATTCATGCACGCATGCATTAATACATAAATGAACATAGTCAGTCAATAATTCAATTATGTTTATGCACAACGATGGAAATTCAAATTTCTCACAAACGATTATGACTCATAATGAAAAAAAAACATCATTTTCTCACCTATAGACAAAATCTAAACAGACGATCGTATATAAATTACAGGATAATGTTGATGAACAATTTCCTGACGAAATCGAACCATCACAACACTGACCAGAAGTAGTAATACCACCATTTAGTATATCAAATTGAGTTAAATCAACAAGTACAACAGAAGGTGATTCTTGACAATCAATCTAAATTCAAAAGAAAATATTAGTCGATAATTAGTGACAATAGTTCAAAAGAAAGAGTTCTTTTCTTTTTCTTTGAACACAAACAAATGAAATGTGCACATTTAAATCATCATCAATGAATTAGTAATATAGATACATATAAGTACTCGATTAATATAATTGTTATTATACTTGAGAGTACTGTTACACCTGCAACCATCGGCACAAAAAAAAAGAAAGTCATCAACTTTGATTCTTTTTTTTTTTTTTTTTTTTACAAATTTGTCAATACACTTGACTAACAATGAAAGAAAAACTATTGAACAGATTGACAATATGTAAATAATTATATGCATAAGGTTTATTTTTAAAGTGCGTCAGATTTCCATTTCAAAGATAAAAATTAAATCAAATCAATAAAAGAGAACTGCAACATATTGTTAATTTACCTGCCGATTATTCAATAATAATAATGATACGAATAATATGTTTATAGTAGAGAAATATATATTGTTCATTGTTAATCTAAAAAAAAAGCTTTAAATATCATCTGATGTTATTCTTATATGGTATTAAACAACAAATTGAATCATAATTTTTTTTTTTCAAAATAATGATATTTAACGTCTGTTTCTTTTAAGAAAATAATTTACGAGAGACAAAATTAAGACTATTTCTTCTCTTTGTACATTCATGATCATATACCCGATCTTAACATATACGACAGTGAATATGCTTTTTTTCATTCGACTATCCTAAAAGCTATTATTTAAATGCAAGTATTCTGTTATAATGCTTAGATATATTTAGAATTTTCCGCACAATTGTAATGTTATTAGTTAGAATTTCTTTTTATGTCTGAAGTCGGCTTCTCAAAGTGTTAACTAGTTCACTAATTAATAGAGAATATGAAACAGGTTCATATCGTCGTGAGATAGGCTAGCTGTGACGACATCGATGTGTCTGTCATGCCTTATAATTCTTCTTCCTGTTATCTATTTCTTCCCTCTTCCTTTCTTCTTCTTATTTTCTCTCTCTATTCTTCTCTCTCTTGGTTGAGTATATAAGCGTGTGATTTGTATTTAAACGATGCGATTCTTGATAAGAAGAAATACTAAATAAAGTGTAATACCATCAGCACTAGCATCTCTTCTATCAGAAATCGTCACACTAGCTTCATCTTATATTAAGTTTTGTTATTGGTAGAAAGATTGTACTTACATGTTAATAATCAAAGTGCGAAACAATTCCGATGAGAGTTTCCATGAATATTGAAAATGAATATGTGACTAATATGAAAAAAATACAACAATGTATAACACCTAAAAGGCTGAGATTTTGTGTATAATCCTAAATATGCGTAACCATTATAACAGAATACTTGCACACAGAGCTGAGAGCAAATTTTTCTTTCAACACTCCATGTAATATTACAAGATATTAAAAAAGTGATGAATGAATATGTTTTTCACGTCTGTCTATCTTAGTTGTGTAGTAATCTGTTGGAGCGGCTATATAAAAGAGCAACAACAATAACGACGAAATAACGCCTCCTCACGACTTTCGTGATCTGGTAAGATTGTATGTATGAGTGAGTAGGCGATAGTAAAGGTATATATTCAATGAATGAATAAACGATAAGTCGAAAGAAATAGAGAAAGAAACTAAGAGATCGTACTGTACGTGTCAATAAGTTGGATTTTGATTATGCATAAATGGTTTCCTATCTTTCTCTCTCTCTCTCTTTTCTTTGACTTACCTAAGAAAATTCTTTCTCTCCTTCTCTTATAATATGAAGCGACGAATTTATTTATGTTATTACTCTTCTACTCTACTGAACTTTTACTCTCCCGTCCGTTCTTTTTTCTATTATTGTAGTGACATACACGAACAGTATTTTGTCCTGTTCTGTAATGTGTCTTGTACAGTGGCACTTCATTCACATTGATATTAACGTCCATACTCTGATCCGTCTAGGTTAATTCGAGTAGGGATGTTAACATATAATATGTCAAGCAAATTCTAGGTGTCTATATTAGGAATTTTTCTCATTTATATGAATCATCTCATCTGAATTTCCACTGTACTAAATTATTTTTGCTTCTTAGTCTAATTGCATTTCTTCATTGGTTGCTCATTATTATTATTCTTGTTGATGACATACAAAAATATGACTATAATACAAAAATAAATTAAGCAAGACAAGCTCACAAAAAAATTGACTTGAAATTACTCATCTATGTACGAGAAAACATGACATTTATCGGCTAATCGATTAATAAATAAATGATTCGCATACATTACTTTATTGTTTCTGTTTACATATGCATGAATCAATGCAGAAATACTTGCTTATATACTATATATAATTTCCTCAAACTTTAGCAAGCTAGATATAATATGTATATAATGATTTTTTATTCTAAATCATTAAGATTTGATCATATCAATAGAAAAACATGAAAATGGTTTTAATGATTATTTGAATGCTAAACTATTAATTAATATAATTGAAAAAATTAGGAAAAACACTTGTTAAAGGTTCCTAATATAGATTATATTAAAGTTTGAAGACATAATAAAACATGTTTTGTTTCCAATATGAAATATAAATTGATTTCGATGATATTCATGATCGTCAAGTGTTTGTTTCTGTTATATATATGTATTTTTTTTTGTTCATTCTTAGAAAAAACTAATATATATGATCTCAAATATAAATAGAAATTTACAAACAAAAACTAACGCTCAATAGCAGATATTCGTGTGAGACGACGCGATGAAATTGAAAGCGTTATTGTCAATATGTTGGTATAAGTTCTCTAAACATGAATTCATGTATAATATATGAGTTCAATTGAAGTCTACAGAAATTAGCCGATGCGAAAAATTTATGATAAAAGAACAAAAGCTTTAGCAGTATGAAAAATGAAAGAAAATCAGCTCATAAATTATCTGTGATCCTTCCACTTTTACATGGTAGTATCATGTAAAAGTGAAGTGGACGCCGATCATTTTCCACAACATTTATTTTTAAGTAGCAGAAAACAGAAAAATAAAAGGCGAGTGTGGGTATGGTTATTCTTGCACATCCACACTCACACTCAAGATAGTTCATATGCTGCATGTATCAGAGAAACGTATGCCTCTTTGTAGTGATCTGTTGTTTGCTACTAGCGTCTTCTCTCTTTTGTTTGTATTAGTTTAGTTTATTCGTCGGAGTGAAAACTTTTATTAAAAAAGCTTTTGTTTTTTAATATGAACTTTCCGATCATTTTTCACTTTCTCGTACATTTAATATCGGTACTTATTACATTTTCTGCCATTCTTTTCTTCGTCGATGAAGGCATCTAGATTGTTTTCATGTCTTTTTAATAGACTGATGAATATATAGTTTACAGAAAATCGATTGTGATTAAATCAGAGTTTTATATTTAATGACGTTCAAGTAGATTTACAATAATTGTCTTACATGTACAAAATGTCAGAGAAAAAAAATATAATATTCTCGAGTTTTAATAGTATATGTTACATTTTATCTTAAAATAACAATTGACAGTTATAGACTAATTTATCACTAAGTTCCTTCATATAGTATAATCTTGAATTGAAAATAATTGTTCCAAATATTTGTCTCTTTCTAATTGAGTATTATATTTATTGTTCTTTAAAATGTTATTTAATTATAGTGCATTCGATCGTCAAATCAAAAGAAAACGGTAAAAACTAATATTTTTGTCACGTCTTTGGTTGTCTTTAATAACAAATATGTCTGATGTTGGGCGATGAGTATTGTCATAGTGATATGTCTAACATACTTTCAGACATATCACTCATTGAATAATGTCTCTTTATTTTGTTCATATTCACTTATTTTAATGTTGTCAAGCTAACCTCTTGTTTTTTGAAGAGAAATTGTGCGTGCTAGAATGATCATAAAAAGAAAAAACTAAATTTAACACTTTTCATACGTGTGAAAAGTAATGTAATCATACACGGTTTTATACTCAATGAAGTTTAAAGACATTTTTGCCTCCTAAAATAGTATTAAATAAAAGCGCTGTTACGTATGTTTTAATGGACATTTTATATTTTGCTTAACAAATAAAAAGGTATAACAACTAACATGTATGTTTCGTGATCGAAACATGTTGACATACCTGTTATTTTAATGGTCTCTTTAATTTCACTTCTTCGCAGTCTATCTATTCAGTGGTGATATGTAACTTTTTTAAAAATCCAAACACCTTTAAATTTCAATATCAAGATATTTTGCGTTAATATTTCAGTAGAGAATGAAAAATCAGAAATGTCGTTTATAGTATTTCTAAAATAGTGCTTTGTTTTGTATTATTTTTTTTTACAAAGGCTGCGTTGTCGTGCACAAAAAGAAATGCACCAAACAATGATCGGAAAGTTTTGAGACAAGATGTTTGTTCACTTTTGACCTATTTGTGACGTGTTAAAAGCTTTAAGTTACGGTTCTCTTTTCCAGTATGAGATTAGAAATTTGGCCTCAGGTTTTATTTAAGACTCGTGAAATAATGTTTGAAAAGTCTAAAGAATTAATTTAGACGAAGCTTGTGAACTGACGTTTCTGGTGAATGTGTTTGTTCATTTTGGTTTGTTTGCAAGCATTTCAGAAGAGCCAAAAACTATAGGTTGTCACCAGAATTCGAATACGGACTTGGCAATATTGTGTCTATTTTTGTTCAAGAGTATTGAGAAACTTTTTGAAATACATGAAAAGATTATTTTTAATAATGAATCAACAATTTCATGTTTACTTTACAAGCCCATTTTCGAACATATTAAAAATTGTCGCAGTTGGTCGTTTTGTACAGTGGACACTTCTCTTTACAAAATTTGATGTTGAACTAATCTATAGATTTTACCCAAGTATTGTTTCAAGAGCTCCTTTCAACGTATAATAGTTGTCGATCTCTCAAAAATGAACATTTAGGAAGAAAGAAAATTGAGGCAAAAAGTGAACAAACATCTTGTCTAAAAACTTTCCGATCGCTTGTTAAAAGTTGTATGAAAGAATATAAATTGACAAGTAGCTTAGAGGAAAAATAAAAATCTCGCCATTACCAACGATACAATGTTTAGAATCAACTGATAATTTTAAGAGTAAGATCGTAAAATAAAATGCTTCATATCGCTTCACATGATATTTGTATGAGTTAGTTTCTAGTTAGTTGAAGTCTTATTTGACGTTATTTCAATTGAGCTTTTGCTAATCAATCATCATTTGAATCGAAGATAATTTTCTCTATAATCAATTATAGACAACACTATACTACTTTAAATGTTTGTATAATATTTATCTGACTTTTGTCTTTTTGAATAATCTTGTAATAAGTATTCTTATGTGTCTGTTTAAAGAAGGGAAACATAACTTTTTAGTCTAAATGTAATTTGCAAAGAAATATTGTTTGTATTTAAATTAATAAATACAAAACAAAATATGTTTTGTTTTTTCTTCTGTAACTATAATAATGATTTATTAGATTTGAAATAATTCTCTACTATTTTATCGATATACAAACATTAATTTTCTAATTTTTAGATACGAACATATCGTTCCTTGTAATATCCTTACTTGTATACGTAAATTTCAAAAGAAATAAACATCATTTAGCAAACAGATTGTTTTTTGTCTATTTTTGAAGAAAATAGACACAGATCGTTGGATATTTTTAGATATATCAAAGAAGGATTTCAACTAGTGTATGCTTCCATAAAGAAAAACTTTTTACTCCAACACAGATGAAACACATTAGTTTGAAAACATGCTGATAGATAAATAAGTATACCAATATTCTGGAAAAATCTATCCATATTGCTTTATGACAATAATATTATTATACAATATAAACAATCAAAAATAGATGATAGTATCTAATGTGCAACATTCCATTGTTTTTTTTAATTCATATTTCATTCAAATTCAGTTAATGAGTGATATAAAAAAATGTACACTAATACTTATTTATGTATTTGTTTTTGTGAAACACGATCTAACAAGAGTGTTGAAGTATATAGGGTAGGAATTTGCGCCTTCTACCAGAGACGGTGACAGACGTTGTTGATATATGATCACAGACGGCATACAAATAATGTCTTGTTAAACTACTTTCCTATTGTATTTCTGGAGGAATAAGTGGAAAAAGAATGAAGAAATGTATCCCAAGATAGATAGAATAAAATGATTTTCGTGTAATGATGAGCAACAATTATATTAGGCTTCACATTTGAAACCCATAGAAATTGTGCTAACAACTTCTTTTTTGTAAAATCAGAGTGAATAATGAAGTGGTTTCCTCAAATAATTATGAAAGATTACATGCAAAACTTGGCATAAAACTCAAGCTTAATCTTTGTCTATGTGCTTATTGAAAAGATGATGTCAAATATGAAACTATTGAAGCTTGTTTGACTAGTTTCTATGATGAGATGAAAATTTCGAAGAAACATTAAATAATTATGCATAAACAATTTCGATAAAGTATTTTGACAAAAATAAAATGTTTATAAAATCGATCGAAAATTCGTTCTTATTACATAAGTTTGGCGAATATTTTAATCATCTATACTAATCATACAATTAGATGATTCAATTAAAATATTCGATAACTTTTTGAACTAAACCATTCGGTTCCGTTTTTATATCAGAAAATTATAATAGTATCTTAAAATTTTGAATAGTTCGGAATGGTTTTTGTTTTTTATTTTCTCAAAAAAAAAGAAAAATATTCATGAAGAAACATGATATCACCTACCTAGTGTTTCCATTGGTCTGAAAGTTTGTACGGAAAAAATATTCGTGCTATTTTTCATGATTATTATTATGTTCCTGACAAAAAAGAAAGAAAACTATATCTAGCAATGTGTTTTTTTCTCTCTTGCGTTCATAGACAAATAATGAAAAAAAAATGAGAATCATAAGCATATATTTCTACACAAGGGAACACAAAAAATTTAAAAGAACTTTAATCAACATCAACAAGAAATCAAAACGATGCAGTATGATTTAAATAATGCAGTTTATAATAATCAATCTGATTTCGCTGACGATCAATATCCACCGATGAATCCACCATCGTATGAAACAGATGTTTGTCAGTAAGTAACATCGTTTCTTTGACAATAATGATTACCTATCTGTTTTTAGATCATATCCAGGAGCACCGCCCTGCGCACAATATTCTCAACAATCAATCAGTAATACTGATTATACAGTATCAAGTGCACAACATAATGGTCACGTTCTATTGCATCCACAAAAAAGTGTTCTAGCTGTATCTCCCCGTCATGCATTAGCGACCACTGTAATTTTAACAAAAATCACTTTAAAACTTAAAGTATTTTTTATTTTTTCTGGTATTGCTTATTTACTATGGGGTACATTAGCAATTGCTCTAGAAATTTCTATTCTTCTTTATTCTTATGCAACATATTATCGAGGTATATATTCAGGTCTTGCTATGTTAAGCATATCAATTAGCATGTTAATTATTGCATGCCGAGTATCTGATTCGATGATTTCTATGGTACGATTATTGTATTTTGTTGTAGTCTTTTGTACAATTGCAGTTATGTTAGCTATTGCTGACGTGACTCTATTAAAAAAATGTATCAATCATATAAGCGAAGATTTATGTGATGCACCAATTGCATATAAATTAAAGATGATTATTCTAATCGAGCTTTGTATTGCGACAATTTATACCGGAATCAATCTGGCAATCGTGCGATATGTACAAAAGAAATCGAGATCAATACCACCTGTTGCAAACACTTTAGATCATCAATATTGAACATGTAACTTAAATAATTAATTATAAAATAGAAAAAAAAATCCTTTCTATTTATTTTTTATCGTATTTATATAATATTCATTTCTTGATAGATATATGGTTATAAAAGAATGATTTCTAACTTCATTTATCATGAACGGATGTTTTAATATGTGCTCTTTGTTGTGTTATATAGTAATGTAATCTATTGTATGCTTCAGAAGAATAACATTCTCTTAAAAAAATAAATATCAATAACCTTTTTCCTTGTTTTCTATGATGCAAATAATTGTCGTTTTCTGTTAATAAAAATTCACATGATTGTATTTTTTCTTCGTCAAACATCCATCAAAAGTGCATTGACTTTCACATTCATGTTTTCATTGTCTGATGTTAAAGTATACTTGATGTAACAAAATTGACATAATCAATCGACGAAAGAAAAAGAGCCTAACGCCCTCTTTTTTGCCTGCTATGGCTATCACTTGTATGGTTCACTCTTTAGGCCAATCTTTAATCTATTCCGATTTTTGTTGTTATTAAGATTTGATAGCAGAAATTTTTTGGTGAACAAAATACTCTTTTATTGATTTTTAAGAAAGTAATAAGTGGAAGTTTTCTAAAGTCTAAAATGTATATAGTATTTTCTTGAATGCAAAGTCATTCACTGTAAACATTTTTTCTATATTATGCGCACTGTTGTTTTATATTTGCAAGTACTAGACATACTCTCTCTTAAAGATTTTCTTCTCTGTTATCTTTGTTGTTTTTAAATACTGATAGAAGTTGTTCTCATTCCTTATTTAACAAGAAAAACATTTTACATGTGAATCGAAAGATAAAATACATTAAATAACAATGGTTTTTCAATATATTCAAATATTGATAATATTTTCTCTGGCAAATATTTTCTTTGCTGATGATTGCCCATCATCATTTAATATTCAAACAAATGCAACAGATATATCTTTTCAAACATCACCTACTCTTCTTATTATTCTATCAAAATATTCATACAAATTATCTATAATCGATCTACCAACACAAACGGTTCTACTTCAAAGTAGTAGAGATATTTTTGCTGGAGTTTGGGAAGGTGCTTATGAGACTCTATATTTTGGTTATATGTTTCGTGTTGGTTATGAGAAAGAACATCGAATAATAGGAGCTTTGAAATCATATTCATGTTCATCATCTTCCGAATCAATTACCTTTTCTTATAATGATTTTTATTTAACATTTATTCAACAAGAAAATGATCGTACTATACATTTACAAATTGAATATACGGGATTTAACGAACATTTTGACATAAACCCTTCACATTATGTTTTTCCATTTTTAACATTATCATTTAAAACTCGAGATATTTATGAAGATTATTATGGCTTTGGTTCATATTGGGGTTTTACTAGATTTCGTGGACAAAAATTATATTGTTGGAGTGAAGATGGTAGTTGGTCATTTTTAAATATTTCTACACGAATTCCACAAGCAAATGCAACTTATATACCAATGCCACTGTTTATTTCAAATCGACAATATGCTGTTTCGGTCAATGAAACTCGACGAGTTAATTTTGATTTAAGTTCATCTGATGAATGGATTATAACAACAGAATGGAATAGGACGGATATACAATTTTATTTTCCAATAAAAAATTCATTTTTATCAAAAACTAAAATGTCAAAACCATTTGAAAATTTTTTTAACCTGTATAAACAACAAAATCGAAAAATTAATCCATCGTTTACAGCATTAATTCAAGCTCGTGGTGAAACAACTCGTATACCACCATTATTTGTATTTGGGCCATGGAAACAAACAGGAAATGTCTTAAAAGATCACACGGAAGTTGATGTTGTACAAAGAATGATTGAACAAGATATTCCTATCACAGTTAGAATTGGTGTGTTACATTTTTTTCCAACAGGCAATCAACAAGGTAAGAAATTCATCATATGACTTTACCTGTCAAATTTGAAGATCGTTTTTGATTTCGAATCCTATGTATAAGGTAGATCTTAATGAGATATTAAAAATCGCAAAAGAATAAGAACACTTATGGCTTTCTTACAGAGTTATGAATGTTTTACTGAAATTTTAGGCTATAGCATGGCATGTATAAAAGAATTCAATGATGATATTCCGACCTAAAGTTTTGCCTATAGATAAGCCTACTTGTGGCTGAAATGTCCTGAAAATTCCAGCTGGAAAGAATATCTTCTTCACGAGATATTAAATTCTCGAAAAAGTTGAAATTCTTCAATATGAGTAGTTTTTGAGAATTTGATATCTCACGAAGGGAATATTCTACTTACAAGTAAGTCTATCTATAGGTAAAATGTCGGGTCAAAGTATTGTCGATCAATTTTTTTGTATATACTGTGCTATAGGCTATAATTTCGGTGAAACAGCTATAACTTTGTGGAGAAAGCCTAGATGGCTTTATCCTTTTGGGATTTTCAATAGCGCATTTGGATTAGCAGCTTTCAAGATTATTCTATACATCCCGTTACACATTTTATTATTAGACGGAAGGGATTAGCCTGAGGGTTGACACGTTACTGAGGATAAGGGCTGACTCCTGGAACTAGAGTACTGTAACCCATGGGTCGGAGAGAATACGAATATGGAAAGGAGCAGTTTGTGAAGACACAAACTTCATTTATAACACCACTATTCATTAAAAAAATTGAAAATATGTGTTTTCAATACTGGTGTTTAATAACGATATCCATGATCTTATAGTTGATTGGCAGTACTGTTAAACTATCAACGATTTACTATAGCAATCGAACTCACGAGTACACTATCGGTATAGTTAAAATTGAGTGTATGCTTTTATTAGATAAATCTGCTGGACAAAATAAATATCAGCAGCCCCTCATTTGAGTCTACCGTATGTATAGAGTCTGCACTCAAACATGATTTCCAGGTTCAGCAGGTTTCCTCATTAAAAATCCAATCTATTTTTAAGGCCACGAAGATGAAATTCGTCAAGAAAATGCTGTTTATAAAGAACTTGGCGTAACATCATTATGTTATTTTAATCCTTACATATCAACATCATATAAAAAATTATTTGATGAATGTTTAGAAAATGATTATCTATTAAAAAATAGTTCTAATCAACCATATTTATTTCCATATTTTGGTGATATAATAAGTCGTCATTTTTATGTTGGTAGTGTTGATTTTAGTAATAAAAATGCTTCTTTATGGTATCAAAAACAAATTCAACAAAGTTTTGATCTTGGTTATAATGGATTTATGTTAGATTTTGGTGAATATACACCAGTAAATTCTATATCATCAAATGGAAAAACTGGTCATGAAATGCATAATCGTTTTATTGAACTTTATCAAAAAACAGTTTATGAAATGACATTAAATTCTACAACAATTGAACAATTACTTAATTTAAATTCAAATGAAAAAAATAGTTTATCCATTAATTATCAATCAGATTTTTTATTTTATACTCGTAGTGGTTATACAAATAGTGCACAATATACTCAATTACATTGGACAGGTGATGCTAGTTCTGATTGGAATCCATATTCAGGTTTACCAGCTCATGTACAAGCTTGTCTTGGCATTGGAATTAGTGGTATACCATACTGTTCAAGTCCTATTGGTGGTTATGTTTGTGAATTTTATCCAGATTTAACAGTAGAATTATTAACACGTTGGTTACAAGTTGGAACATTTTCGGGTTTTATGCATGATGAAACTGAAGGTTCAGCATGTACTCAAGAACGTATACAACTATTTACTAATAATCAAACTGTGTATGTTTGGCGAAAATATGCAAAATTACGAACACAACTTTTTCCATATATTTTTACATTAGCACATGAAGCACATGCAACTGGTCTTCCAATAACAAGACATCATTTATTAACATATTATAATGATGAAATAGCTATTCAACAAGAATATCAATATACATTTGGTAATGATATTTTAGTTGCACCTATAGTAAATAAAAATCAATTTCTACAAGACGTTTATTTACCGTCCGGTGAGAATTGGATTGATCTATCAACGAATCTTATTTATGATCAAGATACCGATGGTCGATATCGAATTGGAAGATCTGATATACTTCATGGTGGTCAATGGATAATGAACGTTAAAGCTGATCTATTAACAATACCATTATTTGCTCGAGCTGGTTCAATAATTCCTCTTATTGATCCAAGTGTTTTTACATTAAATCCAGGTCAACCAGTATCAATTTATGATCGATTCTATATTTTACATTTATGGATTTTTCTTAATGAACAAAATGAAGCTAATGGTCTTGTTTGGGATGGATTAAATATAAATATGAATGCGTGTAATTTAAATAAATCATTATGTATTAATATTGATGATCCTCAACATAGATTATTAATTTTACAATTGCCGTTTAATAAACCAGCAAAGTCAATATCATCATCTAGTGTGCAATCATTTGAACAAGTTAGTAACTGGCAAATTGTAGCGAAAATTCTACCTAGAGAACAATTACAAAATTGTTTTACATATGATGAAGAAAATCAAGTTATATGGATAGCTATTGTTCTTTTACAACAGCAGTCGTCATTCAAATGCCAAATTGATTTTTAAAGAAATTTTATTTTTATTTTATTTTATTTTTTTATTTATAATGGTGATTCCTTAAGTTAAAAATCTATTTCTATAATTAATCATATTCCATAAATTTTTAATATTTTTAAAATAATATAATCTGACTTAAGATGTCACTATCTCGTCATCTGTTTTATACAAGTTATTTGAGAAGGTAATTGTCATTTGTTAATATTCTTTTGAAGGTGATTCATTGTGGACATAACATATCATCACTATATGTTACTGATAAGAAGTAAAAGAAAAGTCGAATAAAACTATTAGCACATTTTTTTTCGATTCACTATAGTATTTTTGTTTTTCATCTTATTATTCTTCGATTCGAGTAAAAGCAACATTCTAAAATTATACTTATTGTTTAGATCTTTTTTTTAAACATTTTCAATATGACATTTCATCAAAGCGAACATTCTCTTCTGGTAATTCCAGGACCAATCGAGGTTAGCGATGATGTCTTGTTCGCTAATGCATCACCATCTCAATCACATATGTCAAAAAGTTTTACACAAACTTTTGGAGAAGTCATTAAAATGTTTCGACAAGTACTTGTTACTGAACATGGTCAACCTTTTATTGTAGCAGGTAGCGGGACACTTGGTTGGGATATGGTTGCATCCAATTTGATTGAACCTGGAGATGAAGCACTTGTTTTACATTCTGGCTATTTTGGTCAAAGTTTTACTGATTGTTTAGAAACATATGGTGCTAAAGTAACTCAGCTAAAAGCACCCGTTGGACACTGTCCGTCACGTGAAGAATTAGAGCAAGCATTAAAAGCAAAAAAATATAAGATAGTAACTGTTACACATGTTGATACATCAACTGGTGTACTAAGTAATCCTCGAGTGATATCTGAAGTGGTACATGAAGTAAGTCCTGATACATTGGTAGTGCTTGATGGAGTATGTTCAGTTGGCAGTGAAGAAATTCGTATGGACGAATGGTCATTAGATGTAGTGATGTGTGCAAGTCAAAAAGGTTTAGGTGTACCACCGGGACTTAGTCTTGTATGCGCCAGTGAAAGAGCTATTCGTTTAGTCGAAACACGTAAGACTAAAATAAATTCATATTTTGCTTCATGGCTAAATTGGTTACCTGGTAAAGTTGAATCATTTTATAACTAATTTTATTAGAATTTCTGGTTTTGTTTTTAGTAATGCGTGGTTATGAACAAGGTAAACCTGTGTATTTCGCAACACCACCAGTTCAACTTATTTGTGCTCTTCATGTCAGTTTGAAAGAAATTACTTCAAAACCTATTCAAGAACGTTGGGCAAAACATCAACAAGCTAGTATCGATTTTAAACAATTTGTGACCGACGAACTTGGATTGAAACAAGTACGTTTTGTTTGATCAGTAGTATAGTTATCATTTTATTAACTGTTTTATTTAGGTTCCAAATGATCCATCAATAGCTGCTAATGGTATGACAGCTATTTATTTTCCCGATGGTTTATCAGCATCGGATATCGTTCCACGATTACTTGAACGCGGTATAGTCATTGCTGGTGGTCTTCATAAAGAAATAAAAGATAAATATTTTCGTATTGGACATATGGGTATATCTGTTATTGATACAACAACTCGTCATGATCTCGAAAAAGTTAAAGATGCATTGAGAAATGTATTGAATGCAGCTGGCTACGTAAATAAAACTGTCGGTAACAATACAAAATGATAAATAATTATTCTATCGTTTCTTATTTTAATACCAACAATTTATAATAGCAATAATGCATTGATTTTATAAAATTGTTTTTGTTATTTAAAAGACATGATTATTGTTTTTTTGTTTTCGTTTTGCGTTTGCTTTAATATGTTCTTAAAATAGGTTATATTGTTTACACGTTTTATTGAGGGTGAAAAAGAATATGATTCATATTAACGTAGAAATATTTGATTTGAAAATAAAATGTTAGAGAATAAATAGGGTTGTGTATCTCTTCAATAATTAATAATCGAAATTAGTTATTAAAACAACAGTAAGTAAAGCATCTAATAATTGAAATAACTAGTATATTTCTGAAGAAACTTCAGCTAAAATTTTGATCGAGTTAGATGTTTATTGTCAAATTACATTTGATGCATGAAATTCGTTTCTCTAAACAATTTATGATATATATGAGTTTAATAGATTCAAAAAAGAATTTTTTTCTCGATAAATTGAACAACGAAATCAATAGATATTTTGTAGATATGGGAAAAAAAATCTTTTCAGTCTCTATTGAGTGTAACTATAATATACATTCAATATATATCAAAGAACTATTTCAATCCTACTCAAAATGCCAAAGTGATATATATCTTTTCATTTTATTTGGATTGTATTTCAAGAATAGAATATTACATCTTTTCTACAATTTGATAAAACGAACTTCATTTTGTTCACAAATGCTGAGACAGATCTGATCGAATAGATAGAGATGATGTAGAAATTTTCATAAATACTTTAAAAATTTGCACTAGATTCTGAATAAAACTTTACTATGATAAATAAAGCAATTAAAGCAGTCTTTTTCTTCTTCTAAAATTTGACATCATGATGTACCTAAATCAAATCAACATTCTTCAATCTACCAAGATAACAGCATGCTTATTATATGCCAGTAATAGTCTCTTTGACATAGATTCTAATCCTGACTATGTATTAATATCTTTAAATAAGTACAAAATATGAAACATGATGTGGTTGCTATTGGTAATCACAAGAAAACTGTTTTAGTCTATCTAGTTTGAGACACACTCCTTTGCTGTCCTTTCACTTAATTCTCGAAAAATACAATAAGGAAGTAGTTCAAATATTATAATTAGTTGTTATTGATATACAATCTTTCATCATATATCAATAACGTCGGCTACGATCTGTGTTGGAGGAGAGATGTTGCTAAGGATCTCTAGCACGTTTGTGAAAAAGAGGGCAAAATTTTGCTTCTATACTTCAAAATCCGTTTTAGACTGTGTCATAAAATATTCAAGTTTATTTATCAATCTACACATGCATAATATGTTCTTTAATTTTTTAATTTTACTAATACATTAATATGATTATGCTATGACATGTAAAGTCGCATGGAACGCATGAATGTTAGCAATCGAGCTAAATATTCTTGTCAAGGTTTGAAGAGAACTAAATTGGCTGCTTATTTCATTTGTGATAATACGCTATTTATCGTTAGCTAATAGCTGATTGGAGTTCTCATGAAGTTATATTGAATGTGATTGATTATACTATTTGTTAATAGATACTCATCCCGAAGCATCTCATTGACTAGTAGTTCAGCAATACTATCATTGCGAGTATTAATTTTTACTACTCGTGATATAATTAATCGACCATTTTTAATGTCCATGTGGCACTTTTCATACACACTTCCCGATACTCTTGTACAACTGTCATACAGTCGTTCTTATCTGTCTCTTCTGACATTTTCTCCAAACGGTTTATTGATAACACAAAGTACTATAAATTTAGAAACGTAGCGTTCTATATGTGTTTCTACGTAATTGTCTGCTATAGCTTGGCCTTACATTGTCATAAGATGAGCTTTTACAAATAAAGCGCGTCCTTATGTCAATAACATATCTATTGGCCCGAGTATATCTTCAACACTAAAAGCAGATAATTTTTTTTGCCAAATATCATAGCATCAAGCGATGGCTATTGTAGTGCAGGAATTACTACCAGTACTTATATATTCTCGTATAAAATGAATAGTTTAAACTGATTATTATTGAACTGCGAATATCTGACTGAAAAAACAAATTTCTGAACTATCTCAAAGATGACACATGCCATTTAAAATTCAATTACCGTTAACTAAATATAGAGGAGACATCTTTAAAAACCTCATCAATTTATCACAGAAAATAAAAAGAAACTTCATTTTTAGTATTATTTTATTTTGAAACGTTGATTTCCTTGAATTAATTATTTTCATATAAAACTTCTCTATCATCACTATAGCTGGCACTTAATAATAGAATATTCATACAGTTAAAGTTACGAAATACATAACTATTTATAATTCGAAACTATTTGTAAAACTCGTTCGAATTTATATTGGTATGATTTTCAAACGCACCCTAGATTTATTCATCTATGAAAAAATGTAATCGGAAGGCATCTGTCAACACTGAAGATAAATCGCTACATGGACTTTGATTATATTTCTTGAATGCAACACAAGAACCCTATCATGTCATTTATGATAATGAAAGTTAACTAGACCTATCATAAAAATGATATAAAAATAATAAAAAACAAAAGTTGTGTCTCTGTAGCATAGAAAGAAACAAAACAATTAACATATCTTTTTCTTTCAAACATATAGAGTACCGAACAACACAAATAAGAACAAGAAAGCGACCGTCTTAAATATCTACATCGTGTTATCCATTAGAAGAATAAGCAACGCTTTTAATTACAACAAAATTACGCATAATATAAACATATAATAGTATATCTAGAAGCTGCTAATAGGTGTTCGAATATTTCTTGACGAATAACGTAAACAGTATGAGATTTTCTTTTTTCTTTTATGTTTTTCAAGCTCTCTCTTAATTTAGATACTTTATTAAATCTATTTCATCAAATTATATGGAAAACGAAAATGGTAAGTATCATTATATATGCGCAGTATTTATTTACATAATTTGTTTTATTTATTTTTTACAGACACAAGCACATCTACTTCATTACCCCCACTCGATGAAGTCAATAGTACAAAATTAAATACACTTTATTCCTCGATAGCTTTGCCAGGTGCATCATCGAGTGGTGATCCTCAAAATATCAACTTTAATGATATTGGCTGTGATGTTCGATGAACATCATTCACTCTTATTGATAATATGTGCTTGTCTGTGAGCATAAGCCAAAAGTATTAAAACAATGCTGTACAAACTGCTTGTTCATATATTTGTTTTCTTTAAGATATAATAGATATTGTTAATTATATTTTAATCATTTAGTTCAAAACAATAAAAAGAAGCTAAGAGCATGTTTGAAAAATTCTACGACCTACTAGAAAGCTTATCTAGTTCTTATTATATATATCTTTAATTACAATCGTATATCATTGTATATAACATACTAGTATGAAAGCGATCTATTAATACAAACATGTTAAAAGAAATGAATGATAGAGCAATTTGACAGAAAATTTCATCGTATTTAGGCATGTTCTGTCTATACTTTTATCTATAAACCATTGGTATATTTTATATTATCCATGTGTTGAAAAAAGAAACATTTGTTATTTGTTGCTCTAAAAATCTGATTTATCTCTAATTATTGTTGTGTTCAGATATTTTTTTTTGGTAACGTGAGTTATCGAAACTCATACAAACATAGGAGTAGTCTTCGATCTTAATATGATTTGTTGATCAAGCGTGTGCAACAAAGAGAAATGCAGATTACTTTGGCTATGCCAAAAGTAATGATACCCAGAACGATTATTGTGACCGTCTGAAATGGCAAATTACTGCATTAATTCTCACCGTATCTCACTACAATCCGCCATACCGTTTTTCTATGCTAGAAAAAGACCAATTTTTCTTCACTATTGTCCTTATTTTCTGATATGATAGATTATGGCGCCAGTTTTTTAATCATCTTTCAACTCTTCTAAAAAATGAAGTCTAGTTGCCGAAAACAGATCATAACTTTCCATAAGTAATTATTCATTGAATAGGAAATGTCGTATGTATTTTAATATAGAATTGCACATTTTTCTTATCAATTTAAATCAAATATGAACAACTTTCATCGAAATTTGAATATTATGATCGTCACATAAACTGAAAAATGATGGAATTATTATTGTTGCCTTATTCTTTATTTTATTTAAAGCATAAAAACATCTCTTTTCTACATGATACTAGCTGATTAAATAAACAAAAGATTAAGAGAAAGAAAGAAAGAAATGATTATAAGTTCCAATGGAATAGAACCGAGATAAGAAAAGGGGGAGTATATTTATGTCAAAAAGATGTTTTCTCTGACATGACAGAGATATTGAAGAAATATAGAATATTCGTTTTGTTCTAGTTCAATAGCAGATGTTCGAAAACAAATATGAAGCCACAGTAGTAGACAAGAGTCTTCCATTCCCTCCCCCGTATCTCAGCTACTTACGTGCTGGAGATCTGAAAATTTGTGTGCATATATTACATTAAGATTTCAGTTTGGAAACACAAGCTCGTTTCGATTGCTTGAATACAACGAGTGATGATAAAGAATGCCTATCGTTGCATCAAGCTTTCAGCTTGAAGAAAGATTGTCTACTAAATTTCTCGTTATCTGTTATTAAATAAATGACTAATGCTTGATATTTTTGCATGAAAGTAGAACCTAGTCGATCCTCTTTTTTTATTCAAAACATCAGAGAATTTAATCCAAGATAGCTGTCTCTGCATGCTTCTGTAATCAGATGACGCTTTCATTTAGTAGAAGATTTTCTCATCAAATTTGTAAATAATAATGCTCAACTGTAGACAAAACTTATATATAAGTCTCAGCTCGATTCATTCAACTATCACTAAGTTATGGTCTTCAATGGTCAGTATATAGTTTTTCCCTACTCGAATGGTCATAGAAAAATGCCTACTATTCTATAAAGAGTTGATGAAATTCAATAAAATTAATACGGTTGATAATTGGAACAAACTACTAAATAATAAAGAATGGGCTGACTCACGATATTCTTCTTTTACAGAGTTAAAAAATAAAAAAAAAACAAATAAGGGAGATCCATCATAATTCTCATTCTATTTAAATAATCAAGGTGAGCTCGAGTCTTACATCTATACTTTTAATGAAGTATGGGCACACAAATTTTTCGATCTATAGCATGTATAGTAGTCAAGATACGGGAAATAGAAGACTTTCATCCACTAATATATCTACTATTGAATGAACCATAATTTAACTTATAAATAGACTTGATTTTGATTCAAACATACATGTAAGTATCTCTTATTTCATTATCCTTTTTGTTGAAGCAATTTATCATGATTGTCTCCTTTATGAATATGCAGTTTCAATAAATTGTTCACCGAAAAATCACACTGATGTTTACTGATACCCTAACTACGCCAGATCAATGTTCACGGAAGCATTGATACATCCATTAAGCTTGAATTGGTCAAGTAAATCAGCGAACATCGATTCAGTATGCCAACAGCCTCACTGTCGGTGAACCCACAGTCAATATTTCAGTATTTACACTGAAACTGCACATCCCTAGTCTCCATTTATAATAGTACTATTAAAATAGCGAAAGAACTTAATGACTAAAACTTAAATACAATAAGAGCCAATTATGTTCATACAGGATCTAATAAAATCGATTTTTTTTATTATTTCTTTACAAAAAGAGCAATAGTAAAAATAAGCCAATTAATTAAAATTTGAAAAAGCCGGTGACATTGAAACACACACATAGATTATTTGCGCCATCATTCAATTGTTAATAAATTGCTAAAACAGAAAAAGAAAAAAAATTAAATATTTCATATCTAAAATATTAATGCACAAAAGAAAGCAATCAACAAGAAAATACAATAATTAATTATTAGAATAATAATCATACGCACAAAGTATAGTCAAACAGAAAAACATAATAAGAAACACTTGCTAATCATGATAAAAAAAACATTAGTATAGCCAAATCATATATCTTTGAGTTACGTGCACAATAACGAAAAAACAACGAGAACTGCGAATTCATCATTCATTTACTCTTCAGTTTTATTTTGTGTTCTGTTATTATTCATCGGCATTTTGTTTTTCTACATTCTCTTCTTCTTGTTCAGTATCATTATCGTCTGTAAAAGTATTTAGAATAATATTGTTAGGAAAACAAAACAATATATTTTTGTTTCTTTTAATCTATTTCTTTCGATAAATATTGTCTAAATATTTAAAATAAACTTTTTACCTTTTAATTGTCCAGGTTTTTTATCTGGTTCAAGATCAAGTGAAATTCTCTTATCACCTTCACCTACATCCAACCATCGATCAACGGGAAATCTATTTAAAATAATAAATATAATTTTATTTAATAAAGAAATTTATTTACTTATAAGTTTCATCATGTGAAATATGACGAACTTCAATTGAATCAAGATACCAACCATTACCTAAACCACTTCCATCATGTTCAATTCGAATTGTTTTAATCTTAAATATAGATAAATTATTTAAAAATATAATTTTTCATTTTAATTTTTACTTTTCCAACATCAGCTGCATAAATTTGAAAACGATTTGTTGCTCCTTGTTCAAATAAATTTCGTGCTCCATCAAGTGATTCTTTTAATTGACGTCGCTCAAGTTTATCTTTATCACCAAATAAACTTATGTATACATTTGCATCTTTAATAAAGCAATATGAAAATTTTTTATTCAAACAGAAGAAAAAAAAATGAAATTAACTTACCAGTTCCAGCTGATCGTTTATCGCCTGTTCTAACTGTTATTTCATATTCAACGGCATTTGCTTCTTTTGTATCTTCTAAATATTTAAAAGAAATTTTTATTACATAAGGTTTTTCTTTTTCTAATGTAATAAAAGCAAAAGCATAGAATAGCAAAAAATAGAGAGAGAGAGAGCAGCTTGACGAATATTTATTAAACCAACCATCATTATCGAAAAAGTCATCATATTCATTTTTTTCAGAGGAGGTGTCATTTTTATTTTTTTCATCCGTCGACGATATCGAAGAACGTTTTTCTTCTTTGTCACTTTCTGCTTCTGATATATATGTTAAATATATTAATTAATTCAAAAGAAAAATTCACACAAAAAAAATTCGTTATTTACCAGTTGTAAGTTTTGATGTAGGTTTTTTATTAGGTTCAAGTTCAAGACTAATTCGTTTATCATCTTGATTTGTATCAAGCCAACGTTCAACAGGAAACCTAAATAAATTAAATTTTAAAAAATTATTAAACAACACTAGTCGTTTTTACATGACAGTATTATTGTCATATTTAACTTGAACAAAATCCAAATACCAACCAGAAGCTAAACCAGTACCATCATGTTCAATAGTAATTGTTTTTAACTAGAATAAATGAATGATTTTATATGAAAGTTTTCAAAAATGAAGGAAACGAACTTGTCCAATGTCAATATCTTTAACTACGAAATCATCTTTTTGACCTTTTTCAAATATATCCTTATGGTTCACAGAAGTTTTAAGTTGATATCGAACGATTTTGTTTTTATCACCATAGAGAGAAATAAATACATTTGCATCAGTACCAGCGAATTGTACTGAACCTGTTTGAACAGTTATTGTATATTCAATGTCTAGATAAAAAGAAGTTTTTTTTGTTAAAAATATTAAGATTAAACTTCTCGATTAACTTACTTTTACTTGAATCAGATGATGATTCAGTTGTTGAAGATGTTTTTTGAGTTGGTTCTTAAAATAAATAGTTCAATTTTTTAGTTAAAAAAAAATGAAATATTCTATTACTTTTATCAGTTGCATCATCTTTTTTAGGTGTTTTTTGTTCATCTGATTTTGTCGTTTTCGATTTTTGTTCATCAGTTTTTGTTGACTTTTTATGTGATTCATTTGTACGTGTTGATGAAGGTCCTTGTTCATTTCGTTTCGTTGTTTGTGGCGATTGTCGAGATCCGAGCGTACCTGCAGCTTTAGTTTCTACGAAAAAGAAAGTAAAATTAGTCACAAGTAGAAATTGCAGGACCAAGTTTTTTTATCCTAGTTCTGGTTGAGTTCCGGAAAAAAGAGAAAACTATTCCAGAAATTTATTTGTATCACATTGAAAACAATTCGTCAATACTTGTTTTCTTTTATTTATTTAGTCGGCGACCAGCACTTTTCTCGATCATCTCTCTTGAATTATGTTCTGATACATGCGATGTACAAGATAATTTGCTTAAAATCATACAATATTTTACTACAAACTTGAGTTATGGTTTTAGCAAATTTTGTTTAATGGTTCGGGTAAAGTTTTACTTTTTAGTCGCGCACAGCTATGACTACGAGAAAACTCTTCCAACTGATGAAGTCCGCTCTAACTCAGATTATGTTGATTGGTAGGGCTCTTTGTCTAGATTAAAGCTCTACAACGATTTGTACCATGAGCACCTTCTTCTTCAGTTATCAACATTTTATCAGCCTATGATTTTGCTGAAACTTTCAGAATATAATAAGGATCATGAGATCTGTTTCCGATTGAAATTCCTTAATTTAGTCTTCCTCCTAATATTCTGTCATAAGCTCAAAAAAAATTCAGTAAAAATGATTATAATTCAAGAAGAAAGCACTAATGACACAGATTCTTGTAAAAATTTTATCTTTACAATTGATCCTAAAAATTAAAAAATTATCCATCCTAGCAGAGGTTATCAGTTACAAGAGTTGCTTCGTTAGTAATTTTTTTATTTGCATGAATTTACTTTTTTCATCTTTTCCCGATGAATCTGAAGATGGTTGAACAATGGCTAAATTAATCAACAGAATAATTCATAATAATGATGTAATTTTCTTTTTTGTCATTTAAACTTACATGCTTCAGGATATAAATCAACAACAGTTGTCGTTGAATCAATTGGTTGAGCTGGTAAAAATCTAAATAAGAAGATGATCTTTAAATTTTATTTTTATAGAAATAAATATCTTCACACCTAATTTTTGTTTTTCGTTTATTATCCGAAACTTCAATTGAATCAAGCGGCCATGATTCAATACTATTACATGTTAATGCAATTTTCGTCATCTATTAAACAAAAATAAATTTCCTCTAAAATTTTATATATTAAAACTTCATACTTTTCCTGCATCGAACGCTTTCCTTTTAAGTGTCATCGATTGTCCATCATATTTCTTAGTATCATTTTCATCACTACGGAAATCAATAGGACCTGAACTTCCATTATCTCCATAGATAATGAATCGTATTGTACTTTGATCATTATCACCATACATAATATTGTCATTACTTTTTACTTTTATTTCATAATTTATTTCTACAGAAAAAAAGAATTTAATAATTTGTAAAAACTATTTTTCGTTTCATATTACCTGTTCGATCAGGTGGAGCTAATAACAAAAAAATATACATAAAATAATCTATTTATAGCATAAAGGAATTCGTTAACTTACAATCAGCTGCTCCTTTAGCGATTTGATCTCGAACTTCTTTCATTGCACGTTCGATAGCTCGTTCAGCAGCAACATCGTCTAAAACAGAAAACATGCCGTATAATTCATTCAATTTTATGGAAAATTCATCAAAAAAAAGGAGAAAACTGTCATGCGAAAAAAAAAAGAAAATAAAATACGAGAAGTATTCAATAAATGCATGCAGCATATTTCAAAAAAGAAAAATCTCACTTGGTGAATTTTTAATTTCTAAATATTTTTCAATCAATTGATGAAAATTTTTAAATATAAAATCGAAAATTTTCTATTTTAAAATAAACTTACTTTGATCTTTTGCTAATGAAAGTGCTTCATCAAATGTTTGTTCAGCTTCACGATATTGTCGCAATTTTGTTTGACTATGTGCAGCAAGAACTTTAGCGTTTAATTGCCACACTGCATCGTTAACAGCAACAGCTTCCGTAAATGATCGTTCACCATAACGTTTAGATCTTTCAAAATCACCTAAATAAAATTATTATTCAGGAAAAGTTTTTGTTTTTAAAACAGACCAAGTCCAAAATGGCATTGACCAATTTCATGAAATAGCCAAGCTTTTTCTAATGATGATGTTGCTAAAGGAATTTTTCTTTCCCATACTTGAATAGCTTGTGGAAATTGTCCACTACGTGCATAAACTCGACCCAAATTATCCAAGGCACGTGATGAACGTTCCGGAAATTGTTTTGTTTCGGCAATTTTTAAATCTCGATTATGATATTCTAGTGATTTATTATAATCACCTAATTCTAAATAAGCATTTCCTAAACGTGAATAAACATCAGCAAGTACAGATTGTTTTTCAGCAAATTTTCTTTCATCTAAACGATCACAGAAGTCAAGTAAACGATGTGCACGACGACGTGCATCAACAAATTGGTCTTTATTTTGTTCTAAAAAGAAAACGAAGATTTTATTAGTGATTAAAAAAGAACATATATATATTTACGATCATCAATAGCTTCAAGTTCATGACGAATATGTTTATAAGATTCTTCATCACCTTCAAGTTTTTTAATAAATCTCGAACGAGCATAAAGTGGTTCTTGTTGACGCCAAAAATCTGTTCGACTATCCAAATAATCAAGTCCATCTGATGCTAATTGATAAATGGCATCACCTGATTTTGTATTTGCCTTTGTAACAACTATGATATAAAATTTTATTTTTTTTAAATAAAACGATAAATGAATAAAAACACAAATCTTACCTGTATTATTAATAATTTTTTCAAGAAAAGCTCGATCTTCATAAAGATCTCCTAAAAGTTGTTTAGTTGTTTTTGGATTAGATACAGGTGTATGTTGTTTTCGTTGAACAGCAGTTTCTTTCTTTTGCGAAGCACGTACATAACCCATTGGTTGTTTTTTTTTCTATTAGTAGTTTATAAAAAAGATAAATGAATCAAACTATGAACTAATAAGTTATAGCGAAAAAAAAACATTAAGCATTTTCTTTAAAATTATTAGCATTTCAATCACACGTTAATAACTAGATTCAAATGAGAGAAAGATCACCTTTTTGGCTTCGTCCTGTGAAATAACATGCATATGTGCAGAAGTTTTACTTAATTCATATGTTTTACCTCATCATTCTTGTAAAAAATTGATAAATCACCACTAGCTTCAAGTTTAACACGATTGGGATCTTAATTTAAAAAGAAAAATAATAATTTTTAAAATAAAATTTTTCCGATTAATAAATACCTCCAACTGAATTATCAATAGCTTCTTGAGCTTTGTTAATACCTAATTGAAATTCTCGAAGATCAGATCGAAGTTTTTTACCACGATGATAAAACATTAATGCTAATTCAAATTCACCCATTGCGTAAAGAGCTTCGGCTTTTTGATATAAACCCTTTAGTATAATTGAACAGTAAAAAAAGACAAGAAAACAAGAAAAAAAAATCACTTTTGTAAATTCTTTATTAGCCTTTAAAGAATGTTCAGCGTCTTGCAATGCTAAATCATTTTTTCCAATTTTTAAATAACATGCTGATCGTGAAACTAAACCATTTAATCGATCACTAGTATCTTTTTCTGTTGATTTTTCTTCATCTTGTGGTAAAAGATCAAGTGCCTGAATAGTTTACTTTTTTATGGTATGTTTAACAATATATAAAAAATTTACCTCGGTATAACATTGAATAGCTTTAGTATAAAGTTTATCACGAGAAAACTTTTCACCTTCGCCCATCAAAGCTTGAAAACTTTTTAATGGACCTTTCGCTTCCGAGGAAACGCTCATTTCTTCGTCTTTTTTAACCATCGTTCGTCTTGATGTTTGATGTATGCAAAAAGTAATGTCCGCTTTGTTTCAAAGCGACCAAATCTTGTTGAGAATAACAACCATATTCAACTTACAATCACTGCTAAACAACAGCACCTATATTTTTTTCTTTCTTCTATAGAGACCGCTCATTGTCAATCAAATTCTTTTATTGCAAGCTCATGCACGAATAAAAAGCAACAATAGTGATTGAAGTAAATACATATTAAATTCAAACATTATATATTTATCTCGATATTTCAGCAATACTGAATTTCAATAGACAAAAACTTAGAATCGATGATATGATCATTTTATTTTTTCAATAAACAATTAAATAAAAGAAACTATTTTACCATTGAAGAGATTATCAAAACTTCCAGATTTTTTTACTACAAAAGAAAGCTGTTAGTACAATCTCTACAGGAGTAAAATATGAAACACCATCTGACTTCTTAAAAGGCAAACGAAGGAATTTACATATATACATTTTGATTTGTGAATTGCTACTCATTGTTAATGTGTGTCGATTATAAAAGATGTTAACTGTAATACGTTATATTGAACATAAAAGAAAAGCAAAAAAATACTAACCTTCAATTCGATCGTTTTTCACGATAATCCTACAGTGGACTTCGGTTTGATGCCTATGTCTGCCGTGCTCTATGATAATCTGTCAATAGAGTTCGACGATTCCGTTTCAGTTCGAAAACTATCATGTGGAAACAAACCATTAAATCATCAGATCGATACGAAAATCATAAATCTAGTCTGAAAAATTCTGACTTAAATTGTTGAGATTAGCGACGCCACATATTTCAAAACTTAAAAAGAATACCATATATACATACTGAAATCTTTTATCCAATGAATGAAAAAAATGAAGATTTCTCTACCATAGATTTAAGAGTTTATATATATATGATGACTTAACGATTCTGGTTCGGTCCTCGGTTCCAGTTTTTTTGGAACTGCCGAACTCTATCTGTTGACTCTGTCTATTGGGAGGAGAATCGAAGTGAGTAAGTACGAATTCCTAATTAGAATTCTGCTGAGTCAAATTTTTTGACTACGCAAAACGTTTTTCACTAATATATATACTTCTTATAGTGCAACTTTTTGATGAAAATATCTCTCTGATGTTTTTCTTTCCTTTAAATTTATATATGAACTTATAAAATAGTGTATTTTTGTTCTTTACTTAACATATGAATAATAAGCTTGTTATTATGTAAGAATAAAAATACTTGACAGTTTCACTGATGTAACTCTGACACTGACTTCGATGCAAGATTCTATTTCTATCCCTATACTTCAACACTCTTGTTAGATTGTGTTTTACAAAATGGAACATATTTGTTTTGTTTCATTGATTGAAATAGTAGTTCTTCAAATCTAAAATTTACTACTAATACAATTATTATATAAGAATATGAGAAAAAAATCAACTTTGATATTGTTTCTTTATTATTTATCACGACTATAATATATAAAAATATTTCAATTGCTCACTAACAGTAATGTCATCAAGGTGCACAATTGTTAATCTCAGTCATTATTTACCAATAAATACCTGACTTATTCATCATCATAAAAAAAAAAGATTGGTATGACTGCTAATGTCTGACTTTAAGAAAATGTCACATAAAAACTATTTCGTTTGTCGTGATTATATGAAGTGATCAACATGTTTCTTGTGACTTCACGTGCTTCTAGCATAGAAAAAAAACTAGTCATCATTGTCAAATAAAATTCACATATTTCTATAGATATCGCAAGTTGTCAAAATAACATATTTATTTTAAACTTGATTCGTTAAATTCTAAATCAAGATTGGTTGAAAGAACAGTAAAAAAAAGGGCAGAGAAGAAGAAGAGATTGAAAAGAAAACGAAAACGAAAGAGAAAGCTTAAATTACTCTTTACGGGTTCCTACACGCGTTTGCGCGTGATGAATGCCATGATCTTCATAATTGTTATAAAACACGCTCGTGTCAACATTCGCTTACCATATTATTATTCAACCTGGCGTCTTCCGATATTTCGCATCATATATCCGATGAACTCTATTATCCCAATCGACAACTTTTAAAACAATATATTAGTTTAGCCATAAGTGGAAATGAAAATAGATTATTAACAAATATGACTCCACCTATAGGCGATAATGGACTTTCCTGTTTAAATTCAACATTTTCATCTATAAATCCAGTTAATCAAGCAAATTCAAATAATATTGACGAATGGCTTTTACTTGATTCAAATCATGGTTTTATTCGTTTATATGATCCAAATGATGCATCAACATCATATTCACGTTCAAAACTCGTACCATGTACAATGTGGACAACAATTGAACAAATATGTTCAAGATTAAATAATGATTTAGATCCCCGAACATGGTATGTTCAGTATCATGGTGATCGAATTCGTCATTTACGACCCGATGATGCACCATTATTTATCCAGCATAATTATCTTCTTTCGATTGGATTTTCAAGTGTTCAACGCTTACAACAAGAAGGTGATAAACATGATCTTGGTTATCTTATTCGATTCCTATCCGGTAAAAGACAAAATTTCTTTATTTGTTTCGTTTATATTTATATAACTGTTTATTTAAGATCAATTAATAATTGATCCAAAAATTCAACCTCGAAGTTTATCAACAATAGCTTGGATTCGTAAAGGAAAATTAATACGAAAATGGATTAAACGAAAATGTGTCATATCCACTAGTCGATTAACAGTTTATCCCGGTTTGTAAATAATTAAATAAGTTTCATTTAAGGAATATATTTTTTTCTTCTTCTAGATGCAAATACAAATCCATGTGTACTTGAATTACAACGAGCAAGCATTGAAGAAGTTCATCTTAAAGATAAACCCTTTTGTATTAAATTAACAGTGGATGATGGACGAGGTGGTGCTTTATTTCTTGCTTTGAATAATGATGAAGAATATAGTCGATGGCTTAAACGTTTACGCAAGGTATTTATTTGTTTTTGTTTTTTTTATGAAATAAAATTCATCTTTTGATATTTCTTTTGTATGCTTTTTCGTGTTAGACAACAAATAAATTACCTGATATTGCTGATTATTCTTCCAGTCATCTTGAATTAATTCCAAAAGCTTTATTTGTTAATCCAAAATTAACTGTACTTAATTTACGACATAATAATTTACTTATGAGACCAGTCAATGAAGCAGTTTTTACTGTTGGTATGTCTCTAGAAAAATAATTTCTTGTTTTCTTTTTCTCTTTCATACCTTTAAAGAAAAGATATTTAGTATGGTTTCATACTTAATTTATAACTGGCAAGATGATTTTAAAAGTTCCATCGGCAACCTTTCATATTAGACAAACAATTAGATTTTTATACTAAATATACTTTATAGGCAGGAGAAAAAAAAGCGATTATCTAATCAAAGAATACTCATAACTCATTATATTCATAGATAGAAGTAGGCCTTCAAGGTTTTTATTATTATTTTTAACAGGTGATTTTTATAAAGATGATTCAAGATTGATCAAGTAATTAGATTTTCAAAAGTTGATAAAGCAATCATTATGTTACTTCATTTAATCATTATCCAGGGAATTATATTTTGATAACACGATTTATTTCAGTTTTAAGATAGATAAACAATGCGGAAAATGATTTGATTAGACTAACTACAAAGGTTTTCTGTACTATACATTTTTAAAAAATTTGAATTTTTAGGAAGCTCATGAGGGAACTACTTGAACTGATGCCTACTATTTGAGTTTATATTAGATTCACAAGAATGTATCAGTAAAAATAGAAAAATACTAAGAGTGTGTGTCCATGTACCTCTGTAATCGATTTATGACTGCTTTACTGAATTTTTGATCCAGCTTTAGGTATTTACCGAAAAATCAAATAACAGAATTTCTAACTGAAATTTTATCCATAGATAGATCTAATAATTCTGAGGATCTTCTGAAAGTTTCAGCCGAAAAGAACGTTCTTTTGTTGAGATATTGAATTGTCAACTAGATTTGAATCCTACATGTGGTCTGGGATTATTTTTGGAAATTTGATATCTCAACAAAAAAATATTCTTTTTGACTCAAAGGTGCAGTATATGCTACGTGTTATTTAATCCTTCTATAGGTAAAATTTTACATCGAAATTTCATTTTTTTGACTTTTCACTATATATTTAAAACGAGGTCAAAAGCTCACTGAAATTATCATATATCGCCTCCAAAGGTTCATGATGACGAACACCTTTAGGCTTTTGTTAGTCTCACCAAGACGTCCTTGTGGATCTAATGAGTCAGATGTCGAAACGGGGAAGAATATGTTGTTCTTCGCCTCAAAAAGAGCTATTCTCGCCTCCCCTTGTTCCGCCCCGCCTTAACCTTAAATTTTTTCTTCGCTACCTCATCACGTCCTTAGAAGTTGTTTGCATCTTTTCACTCAATACCATGCAGATCAGCTGCTATTGAAAAAGAGCTTTCGACAGCAGGTCTAGTTGTCAACAAAAGAAGATCAGATTTAGGCTCAATAACTGTTAATAATATTTCATTTCTTTGTTTGATAGAAAATAACAAAGTAAAAGATTCATTGCTTTCGAGCTATACCGTTTTTGTGTTTCTGTGCCTATTTTTGTTACACTCTTGTATTCTTTTGTCTATTTTTTGCACTGTGTGGTGAAACAAATCATATAATCAACGCGACATGCTAATTAGCCTTGGCCCGTTTCAGTCTGTGATATGAGTTAAATCAGTGAGTATCAGTTCGAGTGGTTCCAACATGAATGAAAATATCTTTGATCATTTCTGTCGAAAATATGTCGAACTAAAAGATTTATCTATTTCTATTATATACGCTTAATTGCCTTCTCAATAGTATAGCATCGATTTTAAAACATAACTGTCAAATATTGTCACCTTATCTTCGCTTGACTGCACATGATACTAATTGATTGAATGTCCGTTTTTTCTCTATGTGAATCACATGAATGGTTTATATGAACAAAGAAGAATTCATTGCTTTCTCATATTTATACTGCTATGACAACCGTAATCATGTCGAACTGTAGTTACAATCGCAGCTTCATATTACAAACATATCTTCGCAATGATAAAATTCTTTAAGAATAAAGTATAGGCAACGCATCAACACCGCAAAGTATAGTAAATGATTCCCCTAAAAATAGTTTTGGAAGCACAATAAGAGCTGATTTCGTCTCTAAATGTTCTATGCATCTCATGAATACTTTAGTAAACATATTTTACCCAACAGGTATTCTGTCAATATGTTGAAGGTGAGGGTGAATAATGATTGAAATGTCAGACAACATTTCTATGTGTCTATCAAGCCGTAAGTAACCAGCTCAGTAGATGAAGAGTAATAAAAAAAAATTTGATTTTCTTCTCGATTATTTGGAACAAAACTTTTGTCAATAAAGAATTAATCCTGAAGCACTTTGCATATCATGTTTTCGAGAAATTTGAGTTTCAATAAAAATACTGTTGTTGTTTAACTGCCTACTGAAAAGAGTGAGAGGGATAAATAAGAAGCGAAGTGAGTCAATGTGAAGGTACTCGTCCATTGCTGAGGGTTTTGGAGAATGAATCATCAGAAAAGTTTGAAATTTTCAGGACAGATAGATCTTAATGAACAGAGCAAAAGGTGTGATCGACTCAAAGTTCCTAAACACTGGCTTCTATGATATACTAGGATTCCAATTGTCTCGACTTGCTTTACTAGTTTTCCCAGACGTTATATTCGGCTGAGCTAATTTTTTTTTCTGGCACTAGATACAGTTTGGGGTGGATATCTTTTTAACTTTTCTTCTTCGAATAAAAAAAATCAAAATGCCTAAGCTATCCTAAAAAGTGCATGAGTGTTTTTTTTCGATGGAGCTACCTAACAGTCAACAGACCGATATTTTTTGAAACAAAAAAAGCGAGCCACCTCAAAAAGTTTATAGTATATATGAAAAAATTTCCAGCTCGGTCAACTCTACAGAATCGAAGAAACAAAGACGTTTCTACATTTTCTTTTCATGAAAAAGTTGGTTTGAGAAACATGCGAAACAATATATAGTTTTTGCTAATTTGATTTCTTCTTGAATTTTTTAACGCGAAAAGACTATTGTTGGATCCCAAAGTGTACTCAGTAGAAAGGTTCTACCTCAGATTATTTACTGGCTACAAGAATATTGAGTCATGAAAGGAAGAGATACAATTTCTATTGAACATGTGAATATGAATCATTTTCAGTCAAAGACGAATTTTTATCATAGAAATATCAGCTTCTTGCATTCAAAAATAAGATGGATGAAAAAAGGCGATTCGCAATGGAAACTCCCTGAAAAAAATCCTTGCTCTAAACTTCAGTGAAAAAGCTTTTTATTTTCACAATTGGCAAATGAAACATCACTCGATGCAATTAATCATACTGATTGCAAATACGTCTTTGTTCTTCTCCAAAGTACTTCTGTAATAAAGAAATCACGAAAACAACCTTAAAAACCAACGTTTTTAGAAAACCTGTATCTCAACTCGGAAGCATTAGTAGTAAAAAAAAGTGACAGCCAACTTTACGGAAGATATCTTTTCGGACAACGCTTACAAGAGAACTGTACCAAGTGACATCCATTGTTTGAGTTTATATTAGACCCACAAGCAGGTCTCAATAAAAAGAGCAAGCTCCTAAAACATTTCGTTCCCATTGGTCTTTGTTAGGTACTTCCTGGAAGATCAAAATTCTATCATTTGATTTTTTTTGAATTATCTACAAATGAAACCAAAATTCAGTGAATCGACCATAATTCGACGACCAAGACTCATAAGGACGAACTCTTTCAGGCTTTTGCTATACTTATTGAGAACTGCATGTAGCTCTAGTATGAACTCAAACGACAGGTGTCAGTTAGGGTAGGTTTCTCGTTACCATAAAAAGAATAGTTATTTTTTCAGAACGAAAACTTTCCTAATAAATCTATAGAGCAGAAGTCCTAGTTTCATAGTATGAATGAATTATTGTCCAACTCTTTATTTTTCACAAAAAAATGATGTGTTTCTCTAAAGGTACTGGATTTTCAACTAAGGTTTTACAATGAATTCAGCAACTTTGACAAACAGTTTTTTACCGAAAACACTGGTCGCTAATCAAAGTATATAAGTTACTACTCAAATCTCGAAAAATTCTAATTTTTGTTTCACCTAAGATCCACGTTGTTTTTCACTTTGTGCTTCTTTTAAAATGTTGAATCCAACGTAGCTCATGGGATAAACTTGATCTATAAATTAGATATAAATTGTAATAGTCAATCATTGTTTAATAAAAACTTTATTTTTTTTAGGTTGGCTGGATGATTTAACACGTTTCCAATGTTTAATAAGTTTAAATTTAGCTGATAATGATTTAAAAATATTTCCTAATGTTATATGTCATCTTCCTCGTCTAGTTGAATTAAATCTTGCTAGTAATAATATTGAATCAATTCCATCTGATATTATCAAATTACAATCGTAAATTATTTTTATTAGAATTTTTATTTGTAAATTTTGTTTTTTTGTTGTTATTTGTTTTTAGTTTAGAAGTTTTTAATTTACAAAGCAATCGTTTATCATGTTTACCAAATGAAATTGAATATCTTAAACGATTACGTGATTTTTATTTAAGTTTTAATTTATTTAAAGATATTCCAATACCATTAGCACGTTTAACAAATATTCGTTGTTCAGATGTTAATAATTTATGTTTAGCCGGAAATCATATTCGAAAATTATCGATCGATGTTATTCAACGGTAAATAATTATAAAAATACAACACTAAAAAAAAAGTTTTCTTTAATTCGAAATATTTTTCTATTTAGTCTTGAATATTGTCGTCAATTAGACTTACGTATGAATCAAATTAAATATGATGATAATGATTTTATTTTATTAAATCAATTAATTAATTTAACACATATTGATATTTCACATAATAATCGTATAAATGAAATCGATTTACGTTCATTAAGTAAACTTGAACAAATACGTTGTTCATATAATAAAGCATCACGTTTAATATTAAATGGTCATTCATTAAAACAATTAAACGGTTCACATAATAGTAAAATTTCCTGTTTTTATTGTTTGTTTTGTTTTATAATTTATTTTTAGAATTAAAACATATTGATGTAGTTAATTCACCGATGAATTTAGTTCAATTGGATATAAGCTCGTAAGATTTTATGAAAATTTTTTTATTATGTGTTGAATTTCGTCTTTTATGAAACGCGATCTAAAAGGCAGGGTTAGGTGAATCGAATCTATATATTGTTGTTACTTTTTCATTTTCTATTTATTTTTTTATAAAGAACATTAAGAACAAGTTTCTCATGACACGAAGTCTAGTTCCTAGTTTTTATGCACAAAACGAAAATAAGATTCCACCACACAGTACAACAAACTTTGTTTTTATAAACGAAAACCTAAATTTAAAACTGTTTACAAGCGAAAATTATTTATTAACATTTAACTGAAAACGTGTTCGAATTCCGTGATTTCTGAATTCATGGAACTCTGAGAAGTACAATTTTACTCACGGAATCTTCAGAACTCAAGCAACTTCAGTAGCTAAAGCTACTCTAAGAACTCTAGACTTTGTTAAAATTTAAGTAACAGATCAATCCTAGCATTTCAAAAGAAACTGACATCATTATGCTTTGCTTACCCCTAAATTTTCAACAATTCCAGTAATGTCTTACATCCAGGAATTCAGGAAAACAGAAATGTCATGAGAGATGACAAGTATACGGTAAAATATTTCCCGTCGGTATTCAATTAGGGTTGTGGCTGTGAGTGTAAAGAAAACTGAAACCCATTCTCACCGAAAGTGATGAACGCTACTCGAAGACATGGATTTTATCCAGCGTAGAAGTGATGTCCTCCCAAAGTTTGTGATTATTATAAAACATACTGTGTGTGTGCTTCTAAAATTGGCCTTTACTCTGCCGGAGTTTTAAACCGGCCCTTTGAAAGAGAAAATCTAGATAAAACACACTATCGAAGACCATCACAAATCATGCCAGACGTTAACACACAATCACAGACTATATATATATATATATATATATATCAGTAACGTCTCGTTATACTATCTGAACTATTTCCTGATTGAATTTCTGAAAGGTTAAGTAAAAGTATTGTGAAGAAATACAGTGCTGGCCAAAAGTCCCGAACCCCCCTGAACTTCACTCATAATAAGAGCTAGACAGCTGAAATTTTGTATGTATATACCCTATAATGAATGCTGATCGTAGGCACAACCCCCGTCATAATTGATCGAGTTAGAACGGAGTTATAATAAGTAGTAGTCGTGTCNTGCGATCATTTTGTGAAACACGATCTACAAGGAATGTTAACGTATAAGTATACAAAATTTGCATTTCCTGAAATGTAACGAGATGTGCTCCTAGGTGGTATGTAATAAAATGTCGGACAAGAAGAGAATTGAGAGAGATCACCAGAATAATGTGCATTGATGAAAGAATAAACGACTGATGGTAGCAGTCAAGAAGAAGTTTACTGAAGTAAAGATGTATAGAATAACGAAAGAGTTAATTCAATGAGTGTACGTGAAGAAGATAAATATATATTGATGTGCAAATATAACAATGAACGAATTATTATAACTAACGAAAAAAAAATGAATAAAAATGTATACATACCACAAGATGAGAGAGAGAGAACATAGATAATGGCTATTATCGTCACACACCTCTTCATACAGAACATGTTAGACACTTGTATAGTGTCGCTTCTTCTTTATGCACCGTGCCACATGCACACGTGAAATTGAAGTCTGCTGCGGGATTAGTATAAAGCCCAAGTACCTTTTAAGATGCCTGTCCTTTACACTTTTTTCTCACTCAGCAGTATAACACAGTACAATCAAATAAAAACATGTTGGTACATACCCTTATTTACAATATTAGCAATTCCATCTTGTTTAAGATTTTACTTGCACATCAATTTCACCTAAGATTTTTTGTTTTTAACTTTAGTCAAAAAACCGTTTCTTTAATAAATATATCTGGATTATCAGATACATCATCGGATGCATCATTATGGTCTGTTGGTTTTGCTCAAAGTTCTGGTAGTCGAAATAGGTTTGTAATGATAATCATATATTATTTATTAATGATATTATTTTGGACATGTTTAGATTAGCAATAACAACTGTCAATGAAGCATCATTTAATTATTCAAATAATGATGCTTTATTCGCAATGTTTGATGGTGGATTAAATAATGAAGTACCACTTATTCTTAAAAATAAATTACCTGATATTCTTCAAAATGAATATGAACAATGTAATCAAGCAAATGTTTATCTTAAACATACATTTCTTACATTACAAAAGTTAGTTTTTCTTTTTTTCATAATTTTTATTTAATTATTTATGATGTTGTTTTTAATTTCTTTTAGACGATTAAAAACAACTGGACAACGTTTAGGCGCCGCATCAACTGTTGTTCATATACGTAGTTTGCCACAATCGAATATAATAAATTCAAATATTTATTCATCAAATACAACAACATCTTCATCATCATCTCAAACAGAAAATAATCTTCGTTATGAATTAAATGCAGCTAATGTTGGTCATTGTGAAGCCATACTTTGTCGTTCATCAATAATACATCCATTAACACGTCGTTTTACAATTCCACATGATGAAAGTGAATGTAAACGTGTGCGAAAAACATCGAATATAATTATTAATGAAGATAACGCATTAAATGCAATAACATCTCAAACAAGAATGTTAGGTTGTTCATTTCTTTATCCAGCTATTTTACCAACACCACATATATCATCATTTATTCTAAGTAAAAACGATGAATTTTTTATTATTGCAAATAATTTATTATGGCAGGTAATTGAATAAAAAGAATTTTTTTTTAGTTTAAATTTTTTCAATAATTTCTTCTTCTTTCTTGTAAAGAATCTTTCACACGAAGAAGCTGTACGTGCTATACGTTCAATACATAATCCTGTGCTTGCATCAAAAAAACTTGTTGATATAGCGCAAAGTTATGGTGCAAAAGAAAATTTAGCAGTGTTAATTGTTAGATTTAATTTTCAAAAGAAAATCTATCATATATCAAACAATTCTTATCAACAACAGCGATTGTCACGTCAACAAACTTATTCAACAAATACTAGTTCAGGTATATGAGAAGTTTGTTTGTTGATTGTTTTTCATACGTTTGTATTGATCAGTCATATTCCATACGAGAATTATTGCTATAATGAAGTTTTTTTTGTTTGAATTGAAATAAGAAAAGTGATTTTGTTTCGAACAAAGAAGATATCCATTATTGATTAGTTATTGTATCTGAATTTTAAACCGATGACAAGTTGTTAGCCAGTGTCTGATCCTGATTTTTCTTCTGAAGGAGCGATTTAACACTCCACGATGGTGAAAAATTTTTTTTCAGGAGCACAGACTGGATATGCACTGGACCAAGTTGTTTTGCTCCCGTTCCAGTAACTTCTTTTCTAGTGGCTCCGGCTTTGATCTGGATAAATCTAATGTGGTCCCGATTTGGAGAAAAGTATTTCAGAATTTATCCATGTCGCATCTAAAAGAATTCTTTAATACTTGTTTTTTTTTATTCATTTAGTCGACGATTAGCAATTTTTTGGGTCATCTCTCTCGAATTATGTTCTGTTTTATATAACATATAATATATTTTGCTTAAGACTATATTTTACTAGAAACTTGAGTTTCGATACCAGTCTCAGCAACATCTATTTTCCATGGTTTTAACAAATTTTTTTCTAGTAGTCTTGCTCCTGTCTAGCGATGTACAGGGTAAGAGTTAATAAATTTTTCTCAGTCAGGGTACAGAATACGAAAAAAAGCTTACCATGCATAATTCTAATCTAGTCTCACAAGTCTTCAAATATTGGTTCCAATTCCGATCTCGTTCATCTCTACTATAAACAGGTAGTACGTGGCGCAATAGCCACAACCTTTGAAAAGGTCAACTCAATCTTCAGAAGTGCGTCATCGTTTCGGTTCAAATACTGAATACAGCATCGCTTCTAACCGAATTTTCAAATTTATATGAATTAATAAAATCAGAAAAACTTGTCTTTATATATAATGAATAGTATATTTTAAACACTTATAACATATTTATAAACAAGAATGAGTTTCAAATAAATTCTACATTGTCTCTTTGGGGTTTCTATCTGTATTATCTGTATTTCTATTGATATTCAGTATAAAAATATCATGTATCCATATGTTTATAAATTTATTTTCTATCGTTTACTACTAAATCTATAAACAATAAAGATTGCCATTATTCGTCTTGTAATTGACTTTTTTGTATTTCATGATTTTATCGCTTTTTCGATCATTTAAAACTTTTCTTTTGTTATTTTTCTATCATGAATAATAGATAATTATTTTTGTTTTACGAATTCTATAGGTGAACATTCCCCAATAGCAAGTCCATTATTACCATTATTAGATTCAACAGGCTATTTAAGTGTTGGTGAATTAAGTGGCGGTGATGAAGATGATTCTAATGAAGAGCATTATTCATCAAACATACCGACAAATCCTACCAGTGATTATTTTTATCATCATTCTGATCAAATATCATCATCAAGTGAAGCTGTAGCAACATTAAATGATTCAACGAGAAATCGTCTTCTTTCACGTAGTGGTCGAACGCGTTATTTAACTGCATCACTTAATGATACATCAACAATAGATGATAAAAAAAATGAAAAAGTCTTTCAATCTGATATGGGAATATTTAATTTTCCTGCATCAAATGCCCAACCTATACGAATAGTACCAAGTGAACTAACAATTGTCAGTGAAATTCTTTCACCATCACCACCACCACCGGCAGCAACATTATCACGAGCAAAACGAATTAAAAATTCATCATTAACAAGCGATTGGTAATTTCTAAATCTTAAACAAAAAACGATAATACATTTCTTGTTCTTTTTTATTTTCAGTCCCTCACCAAGACGATCAGGTCGTTATCGAAAAAAACTAACGCCTCCTGTTCGTCCACCGTTAGGTTATTCTAAACCACCACGAACTGATTTTTCAAGTAATAGTGATATATCAAACGATGGACATGATTTTGATAGTTCACCAATCTATCCAGCTGGATCACGTCCTGTAGCTGATGCTGTTTTATCAACATCATCAAGTGACCATGATGATCATGATGAAGATGATTTTTCATACATTGTTGATCAAATGAGTTTAGCATCCACAAATACAACAACAGATTGTCAACAACAACAAAATGAAATAAATATATTTGTACGAAAACATTGTCCATCGATTTCATCAACGACACATTCAACTGTTAATAGTACGTTAACATCATCGTCTGCTGGAACGAATATTCCACCGCAAATTCCTAATAAAATTACTCGACTTTAATCAACGAATTTATGGTTTTTGGTTTTCTGTTGCTTTTTATTATTATCATTATCTTATTTATCAGTATTTATTCTTTACTAACAATACATTTCTAAAATCTCGTTTTCTGTTTTTTTTTATTTGTTTGTGTTTTTTTTACTTTCTTTGTTTTGTTTTTATGAATGATCATTTATTTGGATATTGATAAATGTACATTGGTTGCTCAGAATTATTCAATATCTTTATATAATCTTCATATTCAATACTACCTAAGATCTTTAATTATGTTTAGACAATAAATATCCGTTTGACTTATGTAATAGGGATGGTTTTCAAAATAAATTTTTAGTAAAACAAACAGACAAAAAAAACCTTTTCATTAGTTTCAAACGAATACAACAAAAATTCTAGCATTAGTTTGATTATTTTGATGAAAAAAAGAGTCTTAATAAAATAAATTGATTTTGTTTTAATCGAAATTAATCTGTTGATGCATAGAAAATGTCTGATAAATTTACAACTGATATATGAAATTTAATGTGACTGAACAATTTAAGACAATAAACTAAGGAAATGAAGAAAAGTTTAACAACAATGTATTTTCGATTTTTTTTCTATAATGTTAAGCACTAAGCTCAAATTTAGCTAGAGATTTTAAAAGTCAATGGAGTTTTCTATCCAATCTATTCAATACCAAGCTTTCCTATGCCAAGGTTTCTAAAGAAGTTGAACACGGTAACTTTCAAGTTAGATAAGATTTTGCTGTAGCAGTTTTAGACAGTGTCATTTTAAAGAGCATAAAATTCAGGAAAATGAGGATCACCGTATTTTCTGTGGTCTTTCCTTAAAAAATTAAAAGTATCACAAAAAAACGAACTTTATCGAAAATCCATCCCTCTTCTTTGCTCTATAAAATGGCATTGTTAAAAAAATATCTGCGGCAAAGCCTTGTAGAACCTGAAAGTTACCGTGTGAAATCTTATTATGGAATGCATTGGATAGAAAACTCCATTGACTATTAAAATTACTATCTGGATGTGTGTTAATTGGTTAACATTATTGAGAAAAATCAAAAATGCATTGTTGTTAAACTTTTTGCATCATCTTGTGTTCACATAAACTGAAGTATCAGAATATGAAAGCGAAAATATCCTTATTGAAAGATAAGACATAATTAGTTGAATTATTGCACCGACTTTATCAAACAATAAAAATAATAAAATAGGTTGTCGACTTTGTAATAACTAACCACACATAACTGCAAACAGAGAAACATTGTGAAGTCAATGTGTCATTATCTTTATTTTCTTATAATATTGATTTTCGAGAAGAAACATCGTCATAGTAAAATTAATTTCTAATTTAGAATCAGTCTTAGCTATGATCTATGTCGTCGAACTCTTTACATCGTTCGATTTACTTTCGCAACAGTTACATATATATTGAAAAAAATATAATCAAATTTCATCTTTATTAAATGTTGAATCATGTTGCTGTAATATAATCACATAAATCTCCAGTTGTTGCTGTTGATTGTGGATCAATTCATGCTAATAAGTATGTTTCAACGGCTATCTCTTGATTGCAGACACTTTTCCTGCTAATTAAGGGAAAATGTTTGCAATGCATAATCTGGAAGAGAGAAGAAACAAAAATGATCGTAAATGGAAAATATCCGCAGTATAGAATTAAGACACTGATTTATTATGAGAAAGAAGAAAAATCATAAACGAAAGGAAAATAAACATTTAACTTTGTTTAGGGTGTGGGCTGCAGGTATGGATATTTTGTTTGCTAATAACCCTAACCCTAACCCACACCCACACTTACAGCTAAATCAACTCTCATCTACATCCTAGACAAGTAAGTACCAGATTTATCTATAATGATTGAGCTACAAAAAAAAAACAATAAAATATAAGTAGCGCGACGTTAGCGTCGCTAACCCTCTACTGAAAGAATATGGCCGCGTTAAACATAACAATTCGATGTGCCTGCCTGAGAAATTTTGTGTAGCGATCGCGTGCGAGGTATTGTAACGAGAGAGAGAAACGATGAGCATGCAAAAAGTAGAAAATCTGTTGGCGTATATCATCAAGAAATATGTGCTTAAGTACTATCTGTCTATGCTGCATAACTAGACCGAGTTTGGGTTTTCCCCGCCAGATCAACATCGGGGAATGCTGACAGGCCGTTTGATAGGCTGAATAACAGAATGACGAAAAATAGACACTTACGACAGCTATCATCCTAATGCTTTATGTCACTAGTGATACCACTCAAGATATTCATGAGACTAGTCACTTAACATGAATCTACATGAATACATGTAATTATGTCAGTATACATGTACAGAGCCAAAAAACCTAACACTTATTCCGTTTCATGAAACATTCCATCAATCAAGAATATCGAAATAGATTAAGAGATTGTTTTCTCGATTTAAAACTCAAATGTTTTACATCTGCTACGCCTTCATTTCTCAATGTTGCTTTGGAAAAACTTTCAACTTTCCGCTACTGTTAGGCATTGTTTCAATATTTTCAACTCAGCTAGCAAGCAATCATGATATTGGTCTTCATAGACTGTAGTGCAAATTTAAACAAACGTCCATAGTGAGCGGCTAGTCATTCGTCGGCGCCCCTCACGGTTTGCTGCTTCCAAATTAAAGTTGATTTATACTCCCCATCGTCCTGTTTTAGCTAGAAACTGCATGATTCGGCTTTCGCTCAATCAGCAAAAATGTGCGATTAAAATCAAAAACGTTTTCTATCTTTCGACAGCGGCAAAATCGATAAAACACAAAAAGCACCTTAAAG